AACGCTGCAAATCCAGGCAACCTCCTTTTGTAGCAAAAACATTGTTTTTATGATGCCATGATTTAAGTATTGCAATAATGAAACATAAACCAAATCATATTCATTAAATACTGTTATTAGACTGAAAGCCTGCGTAACACTCAGTTACGCACTTTCAGTCTAATAACAGTATTCAGTGGGCAAAGTGTGCATACGATGCTGATTATATCATCATTTTGCAAAACATTTTGAATGAGTTGATGCTTTAAGGAATTCTTTCACATTTTGAGAATTGCAAACAACGGATTCAGTTTCGTTGTTTTTGTTTGGATTAAACTCAATCGGCATAAGTTTTTAAACTAATGAAAGAGTGTGACATAAAATTTGATCGGTAAGATATAGGTCAAAACTTTGTTTTGTCGTGTGTAGTGCTAATTCCCTGGAAATAACCTTAGTGTCTCTGGGGATAAAAGTGTGTCAATGAAACATAATGAGTTGACAACTCTGCGTCGGACTTGATCAAATATGCGTAAAAACAGTAAAGAACAGCGTTAATGCCAGCTCTAGTGAATTGTTAGACCCAGCAGCAGGGAGTAGATGAATTCCTGTTCAATGTAATTGGAAAACAAATAATCAATTTCGTAAGATATGTCAAAAGGTTAGCAGGGCCAATACTATACCAAGGGGATGGGTCAATACTTTGATTTCTAGCAAGACAAAATAAAACAAAACACCACGGAATAATGTACTGAAGGGACCAGGATGGGTCAAAACATGGGTGGGTCTAACAAGACATAAATATTTTCATTTGGAGGATGGGGATAACAATTATCCATTTCATTTCTCGCATACTTCGTTACCATGGTTTTATTAATAAATGAAATTTGAACATTTTCAGAGATAAATATAAACACAAAATTTTTTCTAAAAAATAATGTGATTTATATTGTCGTTATTATGTAATAAACATTTCTTGTACATATGATTAGATATCAACTTCTAAGCTAGAACTATGAATATCTAGATATTTACATTCCGTACATACATGTATACAAATGTAAAGAGGGTAGACAATAGATGTTATAAATATATGTGGACAATACAAGCAGTTAAGGAAGATCTGTATGTCTAGAATTTTTTTGAATTTTCAAAAATTCTCAACATACAGATGTACCTAAAGTAGTATCGAAATTAGTTGTCACCCCAGAAAGTAAAATCAATTAAATTACTGAATTAATAGAGAGGTTTTGCACAGCATTTTTAGCTCAATGTATCTAAAATCTTTAAAGCATTCACCAGATTCATGCGAAGCAATTCAAGTGCAGTTGTGGATACGTTTAAGCTATTACCTGTTGTACAAAACCTCTTAATTGAGAACTTTACTCTCAGTTGAAGCCAGATTGTAGGAAAATCAGTAGCTCAACAATAATTCCTGAAATATCACTGAGCTACTGATCTACTACAAAAATGGTCTCACTGGAATATGTGACAATACTTTCAGACATGATAATTGATCTTAAATATTTGAAATAAATCAGACAAACAAAATCAAAAATCAAATGTGTCTCAAGAAACAATCCCTCTTGGTACATTGAAAAGTCCAATGTTACACACTGAATAATCAAAGGTACAAAAGTGAATGATCAAATTTGGTACATAAAGGTGAATGATCAAATTTAGCATACAAAAATAAATAATCGAATTTATGAATTAACGAAGATTGAAATCTCAACAATCCCTTTTGACACACAGAAAGATCATTTTGGGCAACACAAACAAACATACATCATTGATCATGTGTACGTAAATTAATCCATTAAATTATTTATATAAAACACAATCATAACAGTTACATAAACTTTAACGGACACTGGCATAACAATAAAATAATAACAAATATTGAATGATATTAATATTATGAAAGCAAGTGTTTCTTTCCCATGGAAATACAGAAATACATGCCATTCCAATTTCAAACTAATTTGTATTGACCAGTTTTCCAGTTGACTGACTGCTAAATCAATACAAGTTAAGATATAACAATACCATGACATACATTAGAGAGTATGAATAGAAAACATTTCAATAACAATTTCATCCAAGGCTGTCTTTCACCTTAAGGTAGCCTGTGTAGGATAAATTTTACAGGAAGGTCTTCAAAATTACACATATGAAGATCATAAGGTTGTACAATAAACCCCACTTTCAATAAAATGTTACGAACATTCTGGCTCCTCCATTACAAGGGAAATTAAACCACATAGTTATTAAATACAATTGATATACCTCCTAACTAGAAGAGAAAGTAATTTTATTTATGTTACACAAGAGTAAATAGATAAACCATATCAGCATAATGGAATAGATAGTAGTTAACTCTGACATGACGATCTCTTTTAATGACTCAATAATCATGTCAAATAAATAACATATCAGTTACTACAATGTGCAAAGGCTGCTCCACTTCCAGGAATATTTTCTGTATCTAACACTGAAACATGTTATAGACTAACTCATAGTACATGTACTAATTCATTAAGTTATAAAAAAGGCCATCCTTGATCATCCTTAAAAAGCTGATATAGAATTTAATTACTTCTAGTGTTATTGATAGTGGATCCATTCAGTAATAGTCCATTGATTAAATCCTTTAATATGCAGATGAATGCCTCTGTAATTAGACTTATTCTTAATTGGATTGAAGATAGGCCTCCAAGCTGTTTTCTTATTACACAAGTATTTTCTGGGATTAGCTTTTCTTGGGAATACTTAGTATAATGTACACATAAATAGATAGATGTATATGAAAAGATAGATGAAAAAATTACTTATGTAAAAGATGAAGCAGTTTTTTTATCATTTCTGTGTATATTTTTATATAAGTCTCTGAAGTAAAGGAACTTATAGTTAATTATTTAATATCAGTGTACCTTGTACTTAAGCTTAATAATGTATGTATACTCCATCTTTATTCAGTTGAGTCATAAAATATCATATCTAGTAAAGCTTATAAGTTGATGATGCCCCAAGTACATTTAAACTTTCTATAATCTCACTCACTTTGGCAATGAACACATCACGTGACATGACTTGATCTTTTAGAGTAAGCCTCAATTGTTCAAAAAATTGTTCACAGATAAGATGGCAGAAACTTAGACAGAAAAAACATTTGAGGCAATTTAGTGCCCAATCTTCATCAGAATTCTTCCATCCTGTAATATAAAGGTAAAATTGTAATGTTTTCACCAGCAAATGTACATACATGCTATTATGAATTATGCTATATACATATTTGTATGTAAATGTATACATTATTTTACATTTCACTTTTTGGTACATTTGACTCATGATTAATTTGAAAAGAATATTCAAGAATAAGATGCATGAACAGTGATGAACAGTGACATAATGATTGGCAAAATAGTAAGGTGACAAGTGAATACTTCCCAAATAATTTTCATAACTTAATCATATAGGCATGGTAAAGTCTCCATAAAGTATCTTTACAATTACAATACAAAGAGTGTGTAGAGACTTTATGGACAACCTGTATATAAGTGAATATAATATGCATGATGATGCCGTTTATCATTGTTCATCCCAACTGGTTGTTATTTCTCATTTATTAACCTATACCAATTTAACTGATATATTCAAACGTCATCATTGTGATTATGCATGCAAATTCCATAATTATTAGAGGCGGAAATAACAAGATTTAATTTCAATTGTTACTAAATATAAATATCATACATCAGTAGTTTACATACAGAATCTTGAGATCATATCATGTAACACCATCCACTCCCCTCATATTTATCTCATCAATGCCACATCTCAACGTTTCCACATTTTTAAAATGTTTTATCTCATCCTTTCACATTACATGTTTTATCTCATACTCTACAACTATATTGAAACTAAGTTAAAGATTCATTGTGCAAATTAAAACTTTAAAGTAGTGAATAAATGTATATATCAATATAAAAAATGCATTATGTCGTACTTCATGTTCTTGTCACAAAAGTGTAACGAGAAAGAGAATTGCATCTTAGATTTTAGTACCCTCATCTTAAGTTACTGCATACAGACTGGAATAGACATGCCTTAAATACAACAATAATCTCAATTGTTTCTCTCCTTTCCCTTGAAATACAATAACGATTTGCAATCATTTAGAGTGTTCGTTAAACTTTTTTTCATCTCATGATAATTCTATTCTTTTCTTCTCTATTTTATCTAAAAACATTTTTAGATTTCAGACATAGTAGATGCCTACATACAAATTAATATCATAATGGTCTCGTTGGGATATATTCAGACTTTTGTACACTTTAATTGCGATAGTGTTATTTGAAGCAATTGTTGACTCATTGCTGGTCAAAGCTATTTTGGAGATTTTCTGCTGGTGACTGGCCATTTTGATGAAAAATTAAATAAATTTGCAAGAAGCATAAAATGGACTGTATCAACACCTTCTGCGCTATGTTTTATGCCATTGTGAAGCTAATGACAATATATCTCAATTGCACCCAACAATATTCCCCTAGTGACCCCCACAATATTTGGTAAGATTATTGGTACAGATAGTGTATCAATTATTGGACAGCACCCCAAGATATCTTGGGGTTGGTCAGATATGATTATGACGTCATAGACAAAATATCTCGGGGTTGGTCAGCAACGAGTTAAAATATATCAAAAGTGATAAATATTTTTACATTGCACTGTGTAGCTATTTTCCTTAGGTGGATTTAAATAATATGATTTATATCTTAGTAATCTATCTGGGCACATTTCTTGAACATTTCTTAATAAAAATCTTTACATATTTTTTTGAGAAACGTATCCCAGTTTTAACACATATTTGATGTGTGTTTAATTTTGTCAAATATTGTCTGATTCTGTTGCATTTCTACACAAGTAAGAACAAATGCATCAGTGATCGAAAGAAAAATGAAAAAAATTATTTTATTCTACTATTGAACAGGTCAGATATCCTAATGCTATGCCTAGCATATAACAGATATCTATTATGCTATGCCTAGTAGTTAAACAGATATCTATAATGCTATGCCTAGCAGTTAAACAGATATCTATAATGCTATGCCTAGCAGTTAGTCTGTAGGGCACTAGTTCTCCTCCTAATCCCTTGCTTTGGCAGGTGCAGGCTTGGGTACATTTGACGCATACTCATCAAAGCTGAACCCAATGATGTCTTTACAGGGGCACTAGCGCCACCTGGCATTTGAAACATGACTGTGCCGATAACAGCAATTCCATCATCAGTTGGCTCCAGGGCTAAAGGATTGATGTTCAGATAAGACTCTGGATTATCACGCGTCTCACTCGACAACATATATTTTGAGTTATGTTTCGATGGGTGTTTATGTTTGCGTAGAGTGGGAGGTGAAGACAACCCATCTATTGAGTTCTCATAACTTGTATCAATGTACACTAAAACTTTGCCGAATGGCCGTGAAGCCATGTGCTCCATTTCGATTGCTCGTTGCTGCCGAGAGCGACGTAGGTCAAATGCTTGTTTTACTTTCCACACAATAACACATTGGGCAAGGAAGAGAAAGAAACACGAGAAAAACACTGAAAAAAATACAAAAAGATTTATATGCGGTTGATCCTGTCTGAAGTAAACCTTGCCAAATGTTTGGTTACTATCTATTGAACTTCTTCCTTTCATTATCACATAGAATCTATATTTCCTTAAGTTGTGTATTTCATGCGGTAGAGTGATGACAAGTCTAAACTCGACTTGTCGCACAATTAAAGTTGTGTTTAGTTGGGTCAGCGTTAGGAAAGTGTTGAGTTTATTTGCTGTTGCTTCATTGAGAAAATATTGCGTAGTTGAGTTCTGATTAGATTCATCTCTTCGTTTCCTTTTTAACACACTAACTGAATGTGAATCTGTATATTTATCTTGTGGTGTATAAAGAGACTGACTAGTAAAGCCATTGTGTTCAACAGTAGTAGTTGTCAGTGTGTCTTCTAGGTGTTCTCTGGAGCCCATCACATACTCATATGTGTCTAAGTAACGTTTTGATCTGACACCTGTACCACTTGTTACAAGTCGACTCTTGTACATTGGGTCTATGTCGACATAATGCTCATCAGCTACTGGGTCATAGGTGACCACAAACACATCTGCATGTGGTGAAAAATACACATCAGCACCTGAAAAATTTTGTGATTTATAATTCATGAAATCAAAAGTGACCCAGGACTCGTATAGAAGGCAGTTCAATAATTTTCTCAGGTGAGTGTGTAAATAATGCTCATCATAATTACTTACAAAAACGTTTTAAGTTTCAATATCATACAGATTTGATTATTTCCATTCATGAATTTTATCCTGGGAAATTAAAGCAATTTTAAATGTTAAAATAAAAATCAAACCATTGAATTATTCATCATGCCACTGTTTTTTTGTAACATTTGTTACTGCTTCATTTCAATATAGTTTAAGCGTTAAAGTGACAATTAAATTTAGGAATCTGGATCTTGGATATTTTTGGAGAAACAGGTGAGTTGCATTTCAGAAAAAATTACTAAATTAAGTAATAAGCATAACGCAATAACAATGTGTTACAATAACAATGTGTTACAATAAAAAGTGTAACAAGTTGTTACACATAAGAATGCTGAATGCTGACCACAAAGAAGGTTGCTATAACAATGTCACCACTTTTTCATTCTGACATAAAGAAATACAAATCATGGTTTGTCCACTTTTAGTACAAAACTACAGTACTTCAAATTATTTTTATCTTTTCTGAGATAAACATCATACTATTACAACCAACTACAATTCCATTATAATGAAAGACAAAGTGAAGAAAATTCAGGTTTGACTTTTGATCTGATATTTTCTGTGACGCTTCATATTTTTCACTTACCACCTTTAGTGACATCTATAGTGATCCTGATATCAACGTTCTGATATTTTGGATGTACTGCAAAAAAGACAACTCTTCGTGGATAGAGGGCAGCAGGTGTATTTTCACAATACCTCTGCGTGTTTGGGTCAAAGCAATAATCGCTATCCACAATCATCTTCCTGTAGCACTGGTGGCCATCTTTAGGTGTCCCGTCAAAATATTCCTTACACAATGAACACTGAAATAATGTTAAAATGTTATTTCGCTCATTAAAATACATTTCAAAGAAAACTGCATCTTGTCTATATTGAACCGTATGAGATCTATTTTCAAGATGAATTCAAAAATAGACCGTTAGACTAGAATTACCAGGTTTGAGGTAAGAGGATGATTTACAATGAAGTCATATTATATTCAGACAATGTGAAATAGAGTTAAATCTACAAATCTATCAGCGGTGGACACAGTTGAGACAACCAGAGAGTTCACGTTAAACTGAATGTTCACTTCAGATTCTAACAACACGGGAATCTCACAACACAGCTCTTGAACTGAGCCGCAGTTCATGCACTGACTATTATTCGTGAAACTATCATACCTGACTGTCTGAGCATTGTGCATTTTTATCATCTTTGGAAGACTGGCCAGTACATCTACCAGGTGTTTCAGTATTGTTACCACAAGGACACCCTGTGCCCGTGTCAGCATCACATGTGTCTCCATGGCCATGACACTTGCACCTACAAAGACAAATAAACAGCATGACACTTACACCTACTACAAATAAATAGCACAGTTACAAATAATCAATATAACACATACACCTACAAATAAATAGCATGGATGAAGTTAACTGATCAATCTAATTATTAGCCTTAAAGGGTTCGGATTAGCATCCCGTATAAAAACAATATGGCGGCTCCAGGCGAATCAACTGGATCAGTCCATTTTTAAGAAATAAGGGGAGTTCTGTAAAATCCAGTTCATTGAAATTGTCTTTGAGATAAAGTAATCCGTTTATAATGATTTTGAAAACGTTATCCAAAGAGTGATTGCGTTCAAATAATACATGTACAACAGCCAATATAAATTCTTGTATTAGAAACCGGTTTGTCTTGCTTTGTTTCTTTTGTAGGATATTTCATATGCCAAGCTGTGTGCTATTACGTTATGGGGAAATTTAGATGCCAATTTTTCCTTATTATACACAAATAGAAGATCCTGAAACTTCACCCATAAATGTGGAATTGATTTGTCAAAATAAAAATCACCCTTTTATAAATGTGTGACGATCTATAATATACTTATGCTATATAACAGTTAGAGGTGTTGACACAACGACCTCGAACCTGTGAACCCTTGAGTATTATTCCAGGATCGGGCCTTTTCTACTAAACGGTGAGCAACACCAGAAACGAGGGTTCGATTTGCTAAACGATATGCGTCACCCTTTAAAGGTTTTTAATTCAAAATGATAATTCCTTGTAAATTCTAATAATATTCTCAAAAAATATTTAATATAAGACAAACATAATGAACAAGAATAATAAACAAAATTAGAATGTTCATTGAAAACCTATAAATATGAAATTAAAAAATAGGAACGCTAGATTACTTTTCGCATGCTTGCGTCTTGTCCTGAGAGACCCTAAAGTGTCCCGTCATGCAATGGTCACATGTGTCGCCCTTTGTAAAGTTGGTACAATTCACACACACGGCATCTTCCTTGGGTCCTCTAGTGGGAACACTCACCTGCAAGTAGTATGAAGGTATGGAATAATCACAATGATAATAGTTTTTCACAAATAATTTGTTTTTATGGATATAGGCTCTTTTACACAATTTTACACAACATGTCAAATATCTTAATTCAATATCTATCCGCACATCTGAATTTTTTTCACCATATTTGAAAAATTGAAAGAGTTCAAAATTCATAATTAAACAATATAGCAATACCCTCTTATTACAGTGTAATGAACAGCAAATTTCAAGATCTGATCTGAAAAGTAAGATAAGAACCAGTTTACTAACAGGGACAGTGGAATATGACTTACGTTATGTGAGCTTCCATGTGAGATAGAGAGCAGGACTGACTGTTCCAAATCTCTCTCAAGACATGTCTCTGCATGACCATTACAATACAATCTACAAGATACGCAAGAAGCTCCATCTATAGGATTCCCTACGTAGTTAAGCTTGCATTCCTGGCACTGGGTACCCTAGAATAGAAAGTAAAATTATTTAGAACAATGACAATACAGTAATTTGAAAAAGTATTTACAATGTAAGAGATACTAAAATGACTCCAAATTAGTGATGGAGAAACTTTCTACAATCCTGATGCATCCCTTGAAATCTTGCATGTCTACCAGGTACAAGGTTAAGCTCAGATGGATGAACAAGATACACATTGATAAATATCTCAGTTGAAATTCATATGGAGTCTTGATAAATATTCCATCATAAAAATACTGTCTACTCACCTGGGTGTTGTTCATGCATTCTAAGCAGACATCTTTCTTCTCTACACTCACACAATTGCTATGTTTGTTGCACAGACACTCCGTGGAACAATTGTGACCAACCCAACCAAAATGACAAACACACTTCTCTGGTTCCATACATACACCATGCTCCCCACATCCTTGGGAGCATGTTGGTTTGCATATTTCACTCCTGAAAGAAAAGGATTACAATAAATTGACAGTAGTACAACTTTGACACAAAAATCGGGAACAATACAAGAACCAAAGTATGAATAATTGGATGAGTGAGAATATGAAGCTTATGGAGAGTAGTGTACTGGGAGTGTTAGTTTCAATTGAGAGTACAACATATAGCAGAGTATATGTTGACATCTAAATCTGCAAATTCTCGGAAATCAGAGAACAAGTATACTCAGCAAATATGAAATTATGTTATTACAAAATAAGAGGGCAGTTGAAATAGTCCAGACTATTTGAGTTATAAATGCTTAATTCATGAGTGTTTTACTTACAAGGGGTCTCTATGGTAGCCGTGCTTGCATTCACATATATAACCAGATTCCTTATCTGTACATTTCTCATTCTCCTGACAGTCATGGTTGCCATTGGTGCACTCATTCTCTGCGGGACATGAACTCATTGACCAGCTAGGCTCCCCAGTAGCATCCCTACTCCAATTCTGTGCTTTCTCTACAATTCACCAAGTCATAATATCAAAATATCAAAAGACTAAGGCCAAATGATGATTATGTAAGAGTGTTAGGGTTAAAAAGCTAATAACAATAATTCTAATATGATACGTGATGTCACAATAGCTAGAACAATTTAGTTGTGTTACTTGTCTGTTTATCATATTAGAATCGTAACAAAGACCTCAATTTTCTGATTTATGTCAAATATATGACCTCAAATTTTATTCTGGCCCTTGCCAAAGACCTCAATCATTACGCAATTTCAGTCTTTTAACAATGAACAGAATAAAATTTGAGGTCATATATTACGCCATAAATCATAAAATCTCGGTCTTTATTCCTTAAATATACACAGGTATTATGCCAACTGAACATTTCATTCTGAAGTATGTCAAATGCAGCATATCATTTGAGGGATTTTCTAACAAATGGTTCCCTGTTTATCAAAGTTTCACACTCAATTGTACAGTCAGCCTATCGCAATAACTGCTAAACAATCCAATCCTTGCTTGTAAAGCAAATGCTAGAAAAACAATAAAAAGAGTTAATTTTAGTTAATTCACATGGTTTGCATTTTTTGTTGAACTTATGAAATATATGGGTTGACTAGTTACCTGGTAGTGGTTCATTCCCTAGTGTTACATTCATTGAATTACATAATCCATACTGGGGACCATGTGGTCCTCCTTCCATGCACACTCCTCGTCCATTGAGGCCTCCAAAGGCGCACCAGCCACAGGTTGGGGCCTCCAAACAGTGGCTACACTGTGTGTGTATACTGCATTTGGCTGGACACATCATAGCACTGTTTCCCATAATCATATGACCACATTCCCCATTGCTACAGTGCAGAGGGAGGTACGTTGGGGTCATGCACTGCAATTACAAAGTCATTTTAAAGAAATAGTATAAATGAAACATTTTGAAGCTACTGGTTGAAATTGGATTACGAGCCAGCGTCATGTTATTTTCCATAATGATATTACTGAATGAATGAAAATGTGAGTAATTTAAAAATTGAGAGTACTTTCTATTTTAGAGATTATGTAGTCACATGTATTTCAGAAAAAGCATCATATATGATTATAATTTATTAAAGTCTTACTTCATTAAGATACTGGCTCCACATACAATACGTTGTTCCACCTTCTGCTCCATCAGCATCCAAGCATGCTTCACATGTAGCGTGTTGGTAGCACCTAACAGAACATAACACAGAATCAACAAGGGATGTAACAAAACTACAAATTCATGACTTTTTCAATAATCAACTATTAACTAAATTCACCTTTTATTAATCCTATTAAATACCATTTATAAAAAAACATCAACATGCAAAATGTCTGTACCATCTGCAATTTGTTACAGATGTCAACCAACCAATAAGAATGTCCACACAAAGTTGGAGACTATAACAATATGTCTCCCTTTCTGGTGGTGTAACATAAATCAACGACAACATATAGTATTTCTACAAAAAAAATCAACCAATACAAAAAACTCTTAAAATTGCTACCTGGTAGGGCAAGGGTCTGGAGGAGACAGTGCTAGGCGGGTATACTGGTTGTAGACGGATGGTTCAAGAGATTTACTGAAGCAACCCCAACCATACATTGGAATCTGGTTCAGGCGTCGACCAATTTCAGCTGAAATAATGAAATGAATTCATTTTACTTCACCTTATAATTAACCTGAGTACAGAGTTCTAAACTAACCTCTGAACAGGTGAGACAATTGTACAGCTAAGCAGCCCTACTCCCACTGCAGGTGGCCATCACATTCCGTGTCATAAATTGATTCAAAGCTGGCATGATTACATTTTCTCAACCAATCAGCAAGCAGAAAGAAACAACAGTTTCTATAACATTTAAATGTTTGTCAAGGTCTTGTTGGCTCAAAAAGATCAGAAGATTATTTCAAACTATCAGAGTGAAGACGAAAAAAATGCAAAGGGCAGTTATATTTTGACAAGGGAAGTTTATCCCTGAGGGAGATAAAGTATATCTACCCGGCGGCCTCTTTCATGGAGATACATCATATGTATCATTCATATCACAGTGTTATAAGAAATCTTATACTTTTATCAAAATGCAAACTCTACTATTATATGTGTGAGAAGAATGAGTTTTGCAATCTTTTAATTTTGATTTTCCGGGTATATTAAGAATTTAGATATCTGATAGTATTTATTATATCAAAATCTCTGAAATTGTATATAAATTTCTCTTACATGCCCTTGTAAGATGCCTGGTCCAAAAGCATTTATTTCCTTCAATACATTTCTCACAATCGCTTGAGGCGCATTGAATACTTAGGCATTGGCTTGAGTCTGTGTGGCCCTGTTGGAGCTGAGTACATGGGTTGAGTTGCTGACAGCTATGGCCAAGTGGAATACACTTGCCATGGTCACATCCACTACACCACTGGCACAACTGCAAGTAAATTGAAAAGTTAACTCATGCTATATCAGATTTTATTTGCAAAAACTTGACTTTAAATAGGAGAAAGTTTTAGGTTTCACTCAGTATTTATTCAGAATATCAGAAAATCAGAATTTGTACTCACCAATTGTGCACTCGGATGAGCAGGCCAGATAGCCAGACACTCGCTACAGTTAGTATGAACGCCACATTCTCTTCCCCCCTCCCTCCAAGCTGTGTTGCAATGTTTGCCATTCTTCAGAATTGTAGTCTTGTTCGTCTCATAGCATCTGCAATTCATTATTGGAATTATCTAATGAATGAATTTAGTCCTAACAATGAATGAATTTAATCTCTCAGGAAAATGAGTGAAGACATTTTTGAGACCTATTAACTTAAATAAAGTATTTTGACAAAATATTACCACCTGGTACGTTATTGCACTTGGACAGAAAAGCGTAACAATATGTTGCAGACTGTAACATTGAGTGCAAAAATGCCAGTCACAAAAACAATGCCACCACTTCTTGGTGATAGTGGTTAGAACATAAAATACAGAACAACCATCAACAAAGAACTGTATAATAATCACAAATACTGTACAAGGCAATAACATAAACATTGAAGTTTCACCAACTGTCATTTGTTGCAGACGCTGACTAACGAACACCAACTGCCAAATGCCATCAACAAAAAGTGGAGACTGTAACAATATATCACCACTTCCAGTGGCATACTAAGAAATTAGGAAATCTTACTCTAATGGTACATTCTTGTCATTTGAATAACAGGCAGAAAATTTGATGGTTCCATTGTTTCCTTCTATCTGGCAGGAGGAACAGCCTAACTGTTCAGAACACAAGTCAATGTTAGTGACCAGGCTGCATATATCCTCAGGCACAGTTAGCTTCACCATTGTGCCTTGGCTTACACCATTAAAACCTCCCATGAGGTAGATATTGTTATTGTTATCTGATATTGCAGTCACACCAGCTAGAGTCTCAAATGGTTCACCCAATATTGTCTCACCTAAAAGGATAATACAATCACCATGAGTGGAAATTCAGGTAGTTGTTTCAGGAGGAATGCAGATTATAATAAAAATATGACAAAGACTACCCTTCGTTTAATCTCAATTACATCAAAAACAATTAAGCACATTCTAATGCCTTTCCTATAAAATATGTTCTATATGAACATTATAAGAACTATTAAATAATAATCAACAAAAAGCAGATGGTATATTATTGAATGCAGTACACCAGTTAATTTTAAGATTTTCACACTGAGGTAGCTGAGGTATGAGGTAGCTGTTTTGCATTATCTGATGGCTTACCATTAGGGGTCATTGGAGTCCATGTATTACAGTCAAACCTATAAAGCAGTATAGAATGGGTCACGTAACTCTCACTCATCCATCCTCCAACAACGGCCATATACTCGCCAACCACGACCGCAGAGTGGAAGTAGCGCTTGTCAGCCTGGAAACATAAACAATGTAATCAGAATATTGCAAAGGAACACTTCAATTCTGATCAAAATTAACCTGAATCTAAATTGGCTTACAGTACGTAGTGAATGATGCAACTCTTACTAATCCAGCCTCCAACAATTTTGGGCATTTTGAATCTCCAGTGAGGTTTCGCAATGACATTGTTGACAAAAAAATGCTGCCTTACTTTCAAAAAGCTTTTGGAAACAATTAGAATGGATTTATTCAAGCTCATAACTCACCATAGTACCGGGCTCCTGAGGCAGCATGCTCCATCTGTTCTGATGCAAGTGAAGTGTATATAGCCTGTTTGTCTCAACTGTTGTGTTTGTCATATACTCATATCCACCAAAAACATAGATGGCATTGCTGTGTGGGTGGAACACAGCGCTGTGACCGTAAAGACCTGGAATCATTGATAAAGATGAAATGCATGTATACATTATGCAGTGTTTTTATTTATATTTGATAGCAATATATATACTGGGTGAACTTATTCTAAAGAATAAAAGTTGAAACTTCAGAGAGTGAAAATTTCAAGACTTTTTAGACAATGTTCACATGTAGCCATTTTACACTATAAGTTTAATAAGAAAAAAGCACATACCAAGGGGATATGATCCACGTGGCTGAAGGTCTTTCCATATATCAGTGGCTGCATCAAACTCATACACTTTATCTGAGTAGTAGTTAACCGCGGAGAATCCCCCAAGGATTACGAACTTTGTGTCAGTCACCAGCGTCATAGTGTGACCAGCCATTGGGGCAATGTACATGCTGTCATCTAAGTTAGAAGTCTGCAAAATAAAATGATACTTAATATATATTTAAAAAATTATAAACTTTACCACGCTAATTTAATATGTAAACTACAATAAGTACTTTAGACCCCTCTCCTTACGTCTCGTTCTCGTACTGACCTGCATGTGACTCCAGCTGTCTGCTTCTGTGTCTGTCCCATAACCACCTGGTACCTGCAGGAGATAACATACAGCAATAAAGGATCATCTTTTATGGTTTCTTTATTAAATAACAAGATGATGTACACTGACAGACCTTTATGCAGAAACATTACCACCCCCAGTGTGAGAATATTTGGGGAGGTTATGTACTTGGTGACAATATGAACTGACCTTGATTGGCTGATACTTCTACAAGGACGACAATGTCAGTCATGGAATCTTCTCGTAACAAATTAAGTTTTGAAATAACTAAAAGGTTTAATATTTGTTTGCTGACATGCTTGATTTTTTATTACCTGCAGCTGGCTCCATCTATTGGCATCTATGCTGTACTTCCAGAAATCATTATATGAGCCCATTGTGTTAATGTGTCCCCCAAACATATAGATCATCTTTAACGTAGGAATACACACCATAGCATGCCAGTACCTGAAAGAAAGAAAACGTAATCTATGATTCTTTTCAAAATAAACAATGGCTCTATAAACAATATATAAAGGAAAACATTAATGTTTAAGTAAATGCATTCACTAGTTCAGATAGGAAAATTCCACACTTGCATGATAATTCGGATTTGTCTGGGATAACAACTTCATGACATGTACATTGTACTTGTTTTTCTTCCACCTGATCTTAACTTAAATTGAACAGCTGATGAAAGTAATTGTACTCATCTATAGTAAAACATAATCCTTTCTTAGTTAGCATACATCAGGCCTTTTCTTTTACCTAAACCTACACTTTTAACTAACCTAGGAGGTGGTGCAGTGTTATCTGGTTTCAACAGCTCCCAGGAATTGGAGCCAACTGTGTATACCCACATATCATTTTTAGCCCCATTGGCAAGTGAGTAACCACCAAACATATAGAAAACAGCATCATCACATGTCACCATGACGTGACCCATACGTGAGAGATGGCTGGTGAATGCAGAAGCCCCGTCTCCACGCCATGGGTTGATTGCGTCATGGTATTTAGCTTGAATAGGAAGGTAGGGGATGCTACAATCTTCTCCTGTGTAGGCATCTGAACACATACACTGACCCAGGGCCTTTAAATAAAAGAAATATCTCAACATTGGAGATAACAGGATCTATAGCAGTACCGCTGATTTCCAGTTATCAAGTATGATATGACTTGCCAACTGTCAGGGAGTTGGTAATTACCTTTATTTTCTGAAGATGGTGTCTGTAGGCCACCAAAACGTCAAATCAAAAGTAAACTTTTTCCGAGTAGTGTGAGAACATTTTTGTTTTGAATTAAATAATCTATTCATTCAATCTCTTTAGTGAATCACATGGGACACATGTATTAACATTACCTGGTCGCAATAACCCTGGCTTTGATTTGCCATACAGTCATTGGGGCATAAGACCAATTCACAGCCCACTCCCCCATAGCCTGCCTTACACACACAAGCCCCATTCACGCACTCCTGGGTTCCACGACAGTGATCCGGGCAGCGATGTATCTGATAGGTGGCATTAAACCCCTTTGTAACTGATCCTGGAAAAAAACAGAATGCTCTGCTTCGTCACGTGACAAAATATTGAAAATGTCTGAATAAAAATTGCATCATTGATTGGCTGATTGGTTTTGTGGCATCTCACAAAACTCTGGCAACTGCCAGGAGGAGCAATATTGAAAATGAACTCAGCTGGGGTTTATTTACACAGTGTTTTATCAAGTTGAGGTAGGAACAATCAAAACCTTGTGAATCAAGATGATTTCCGACCTAATGTAATTAAAAACTAAAATATGTTACATAACCAGCTTTAACAGACATTCGAATGTGGAAAGGTTTTAAGATATATATCTAATCATGAGTGAACCAGTATTTGTCAAATAAAATGTTGAAATGTACATGTTGAGCCATTAATATACAAGACTCCATACAAGAGATACTGCTTCATAGTATAAGTCTTCTCTGTCTATTTACCTGGTAATATATTTGCCTCAAAGTGGACTGTAAGATAGCCCGAGGTGGCAATCACTGTGACATCATGCATCAGGTTTGGCCCACACAGGGCAGCCAGGAGTGTGGCGTTACCATTGTCCTGAGCATGTACCAAATCTGGGATGCCATCATACACATAAACATAATCCTGGAAATAACAGTAATGTTTTTGCAAGATATGTAATTTTGCCTTTTTTAAATTCACAACATGGTGAATTCAATAATCAACTGTAATTCCTAAGGATTTCAATTTGCAACATTTTATGTTCACAAAATGGTAAACTAGTAAAATCAAAATGATCAAAACAGTAAGTTCTTCAAAATGTAAAAAATGTAAAAATGTACTTCAAAAATGTATCGTCTGAGGCTATCCAATAATTACATTAAAAGAGGAACATTAAATTTTCATAACACAACACACAAAATGAAACTTACATTTGTGCATAAAGCAGACATCTGTTTCTCTACAGTTAGCAAAATAGGTGATGCTGGACCAGAGACAGGTGGGAACGTCAGCTCATTGTGAACAGTTAAGAACCACACACAATATGCATGTAAGGGGTCCGCCACTCCTGAGCCGTCATGGGAACCAAGGGCCCCTTCTACTACATCAGTAACAACTGTACGGCCATCACACTTTAGGTAGCATCTGCCATTATTTCTGTTAACAACAAAGTGTATGAATATACAATAAAACCTGTGTAAATGGAACTCCTTTGGTGCACTTGGTAGGCATTCAACTTTAAACAGGGGCTCATCTAACATTGATTGAATCAGACTCCTTAGCATAACTTACCTTGGATCTCCATAGTAATTCTCCTGGCAGAGCTCACAATGATCACCACGTGTGTTATCCCTGCAGTAGCACTGACCAGTAGACATGTTACAAGTGCCTAAGCCATTGTCTGCGTGTCCATTGCACTCACACTGTTTACAACCTGCAGAGAAGTTCATTTATTAAAATACATAGACACATCTGCCTAAGCCATTGTCTGCGTGTCCATTGCACTCACACTGTTTACAACCTGCATAGAAGTACATTCATTGAAATATATAGACATGTTACAAGTGCCTAAGCCATTGTCTGCGTGTCCATTGCACTCACACAGTTTGCAGCCTGCATAGAAGTACATTCATTGAAATATATAGACATGTTACAAGTGCCTAAGTCATTGTCTGCGTGTCCATTGCACTCACACTGTTTGCAGCCTGCATAGAAGTACATTCATTGAAATATATAGACATGTTACAAGTGCCTAAGTCATTGTCTGCGTGTCCATTGCACTCACACTGTTTGCAGCCTGCATAGAAGTACATTCATTGAAATATATAGACATGTTACAAGTGCCTAAGCCATTGTCTGCGTGTCCATTGCACTCACACTGTTTGCAGCCTGCATAGAAGTTATTTCATTGAAGTACACTATTTTACATTTATATTTCATCTCTGTATTTTCTGCACATTAAGGCAGGCAGATTAGAACAAGAAATCTGAATAAACTTTAACCTTTACATGCACAAACAAACCCAAGATCATCCAAATGTACACACCTTAAAGAAATCCTATAAGGTACAATCAAGGAATCCTTTTTAGATTTGTATCAATTTAGGTTCATTATTGATTTTCCACCTGTCTGGATCTAACAATTGGTGTTAATTTGTTAATCAATATTCTATTGGATTGTATTCAATAATGATTATATATTCAATTAGAAGTTACCTATTGATTCCAATAAGGCATGTAGTGCATTAAAGGTACAATTCAATAATATTCCACTGGCATAAAGAACTCAACTGAAACAATCCAATATTATGTTTCCATTCAAAGAAAGGAAACTACATGATAACCCACTTCGAATCAAACAGGTTGTTTTCCTTTAACATCACCTAAACAATCTACAAACCTTCAGATGTTTTAGCGTTGCCATAACTACCAGGTCTACATTCCTGGCAATGAGTCCCCATAGTCCAATCCTCGCAATTGTCACACTGACCGACACCATACACACATGTACTGCGATTGTTGCACTGGCAGTTAATATCACAGCCTTCACCCGTCCAGCCTCTATCGCAGATACATTTGTAGTCAGGTGCCTCGGAGCATGTTCCGAAGACACAATCATGGAAACACCTGGATATAGATGATACAAATATTCAAATTCAATTTGGAAAATGTTTTATCATAAAAATTATTTGAATCACACTGTTCACAACTGGATTGAAAGTATATTTTAAATTAATAGTTAGTATTATTTAATACATCATTTATACACCCGGGTATCAACTATTTTATTGCATACATCATAAGGATGTCATGTAGACAACTAATTTCAGAATAAATGCAAAACTCACGTGACATCACACTGCTCCTTGCCATCCCCCACAAATCCTTGCTTACAAGTACAGTTATAACTCTCAAATGTATTGATGCAAGTTGCGTTCTCGTGGCAATCATGTATTCCCAGGGTGCACTCCTGCACATCAGGACATATCCCATAAGCCCATGCTGCAGGTTCAGAGGCGGTGATGTTGTTAACTTCTGCTACCAAAGCTGAGCAATTGTTGTTTTCACTAGGACCTAGCAAGACACAAACAAAATTTTTGCACTGTTGAAATATTTATTTGAATTTAACTATATGTATAAATTTTTAAGTGATGATGACAAGCAATTTTAATAAAAATATGTTATTATGTGTGTACAATCATATACTTCAAGATGGTGGCCTATACCAAATAATACAGTGAAGATTTAGTAAATGAGTTACAGGACAATGTTTTATCTCAATAATGTGGTTATACAATATAGAGGAGGACTGGTACTGGTTGAAAGTTGTTTCCATTAGCAGAGATTCACATTTCAAAGTTTTGTAAAATAAGTGAGTGAATGGGAAAGAGGTAACGAGAAAGAGTTCACATTGAGAGGTGTTCACATTGAGAGGTGTTCAGATATAGATATCACCGTAGAAATATTTCATACTGTTGAAAGAAATAACTTTGCATCATTCACATTGGGTGTTCAATCAATCACAAAATGAGTTACAAGACAATAACATTGTAATATACCAGTGAAATCCCCAGAGAGACATCGCCCTATGGTTGGATTGTCTGTATTCCCGCACCAGCCACACTGGAACTCCTTGAGGCAGCTCTTACAGGTTGTATGTTGGGAACAATCACTGCAAAGTAACATGTATCTTAATTATTGCAAACTCATTATGAACATAGAGAAAGTACTTATTACAACAGGAATAATTGGCAACATCCATGTACTCAATGAATAACCTTTATAGAGTCATGTGTTCAAGCACTACTTTTACAGAACCTAACACATTTTTTAATCTGATGCTGATTTTTCTTGATTTAAATATAGTCAGTACATAAAAGGTTGTGGCAAATCACGTATGGGCATTAAATATCATTCAATGCTTGCAACAATGGAATAATGAAGATGAAATAATATATCTTTAAAGCTCATCTACCTGCAATTCTGGCTTTTGCTGTCAAACCATTCAGTGCATTGCCCAAAGTTGTGGCGGGTGATGTAGTCGGAGAATGGGAAACATGTGGAAGTGCTCCCACACCAGGCACATTCTCCTCTATCTCCAATGCATGTGGAGCAGTTACTACGGCTACAATAACAAATAAATATTGAATTTAGAATATTGAAAATACATGCATGTATCTACATTTGACTGGTTAAAAAATGATCTTCCTGTTAAGTTGCTAAACATTTAGCAAAGGGGGATTGTATACTAGTATAGTACAGTATATGTCAAGGGCACTGTGCAAAGTTTGAAAACTTTCTTTTTTGAAATTTTATACAGAAATTTGATAACAATGGGCAAGACTAGAAGACTGCAATATGAGGAAAGTGTACATTGAACTTTGTATGAGGCTGTTCAAAAACTATTTAGCATATTTTGGCCAGAGTTAGGGAAATCCAAAGTTCGAGTCTTACGACTGAATATCATATCAAAATAAAAAGAGAAATGCCAAACAAATGATTTTGCAGTAATCTAGTAATCCTACTTTATTAACAGATAGTACTGATATAAAGGAAATATTAAATGAATTATTACTCACAGATGACAAGCGGCAGCACATTGCCCCACAGATTGTATCGCATTCACATATCTTCCCCTTCTCATGCAACGCCCATCATTAGGTAGCCATTCGCAAAGCCTATCCTACAAGTAGAACAGTTTGGTTAACAGTGCTCCATTCTCATATAAACATCACTGTGTTTGCAATTCGAACAAGGGTACTATGTACAATATGAAGTGAATTGCATTACAGGAAAAGTGGGAGTTCTTCAGTTAGCCTCAAAATCAGGGATCAAAGAACGCATAGCATTTTGCAATCAAATCTTGAGTAGGGCAGTTATGGCACAATGTTAACCATCAATCCGTCACTGATATCTTTTCCTCATGGGTCAAATACTCTATATTCCCTTAAAAAATTGTAATACATATTAAGTCAATGCCATCTAATAAATATGTCTCTTTTGGGTATACTTACTGCCGCACATATATGGCAAGAGAGATGATCGCTACAAACAGTGCAATCAGCAGGTGTAATAACCAGTTCTGTAGCAGATGTAGTAGCACAACCAGCGTTATCGACATCATTCCTCATGACGCACTTTCCTTTGTTCTTGCACCATCCACATACAGTGTCACTCAGGCAGGCTAGACAGTTGCCAAGGTTACTGCAGTTTGCGTTAGAGGCGGTGTCTGTGTATGGTTCGAGAAATTCATTGAAAAATTCCTGAAACAGAAAAATATCTGAATGTTTGATTTAACATAATATTAGTATTCAAAAATAAATAATTTATTTAATCTACTATACATTCCTTTGATACCTTAAAATAGTGTTTCACTTGGAAGGTTTTCCACTCACAGATGTTTAATTTAGGGTGCGTTTTTAATGAAGGTGTTCATACTGAACCTGGTATATCAGTAGTAATAATTGCCCAGTGTAGCTCTGTATCAACTAAAGATTAAATATCAGAATAGACCAAATTGACTATAAACTATCTTAAGCTCACTGGCTTGTACAGTACAGCTGTACTACATCAAAATCAACATTCCACTTTGATAGAAAGGAACCCTAGCCTACCTGTCGTAGCTTTGAAGTATCAGGTATAGCACCATTCCAAAACAGTTTCATAGAGGCTACCCTGACGTCATCAAATATCTCCAATTCAGCTGTGTATTCTACATAATATCTAGAGCTGCGATCATTTACAGGAAATATAGCCTCCCCGCTTGGCCTAACAGCGTTGATCTCACTCTGGACATTTGAATAAGCCAGTGATGCCACTTTCTCCTAAATAACAATATAGCAAGATAATTGCAGTATCAATTTTGATAATATTTTTTTTCAATTTATTTGCAAAGTAAAATTTATGGTGTTATGTAGAACTTTGTAAAGACAAATAGAAATCTCCAACAACTCATATGAAAGAAATGGAAGGAGATTTTAAAATGTCAAATAAAATATGTTTCAATCAGTATGATAAAATCTGTGGCATACCTTGCGTGCCTTCGTGTCATCTAGACTGAGATAGACATCAGATTGGGCATTTTTGGCTACCATCGTGACTTTTATGGGATCCCTGCTGGGTGTCTCTGCCTCCAGTGGATAAATGAAACCTAAGAGTAAAGAAATCAGTAGGAGTGTGTATCTCATACTTGAGTGGGTTTGGGGTAGATATCACCCGGGAATATATATCGTATCTGAGGAGCGGGCAGGATATATTGTATATGTCCCGCTCCAGGCCAAATGCGGGCAGATATAATATATCCATCCCGCTCCCGGGAATTTTTCAAAAGTTTAAAAAAGTTTAAATATCAAAAGTTTTAATTTTTTAATTTCAAAATTTAATTTTTTTTAAGTTTAAATGTTACAATTTCATTGTATTGAACAAAAAGAATATTACAAAAATGTTAGATATAAATATCTTGTCATTTGAAAAAGGTGGAAAGGGTTATATCTACCCTAAACCCACTCAAGTATGAGATACACCAGTTATGCACGGTCGGTTTGGATACATGGAATATCCCTTGGGATATGCAATACATCTTCCCTCGGTCCCTTCGGTCCCTCGGGAAGATATATTGTATATCCCTCGGGATATTCCCTGTATCCAAAACCTCCCAGTGCATAACCCTTATATATCCAATTCCAATATTCATGGGGAATGAACATTACTTCAGAAAATATCAAATAACGCCAGTAAAACAACTGGTCTATTCCCTACTTTTGATCAGGTCTCAAATCCCTGTGATAAAAGCAGGCTGTATATGAAGAAAATTATGTAGCCTCACCTTTCATAAGTCCGATATATTTGCCAGGTTTTAGAGTTTGCTCAATTTCCATCAGTTGTCTTCTACCAAATGCAATAAATTGGGCTGTTGTATTCCGAATGATAATCACCTAAAAAAAATATTATAAATATTATAAATAGTAAGCATAATATACTTCTCTATCGTACCACAATATCTAGACTAAATTTCGTTTGTTGGTATAATAACTTGTGCATACATGTTCCAGTTTAATACATAACACAATCTGGCCCCTGACATGTATACTCACTTCATCAGGTTGTTCAAGATTCTGAGGTGGGAGGTATTTCAGGAAGTGTAATCCAGCAGGTTTGTCTTGAAGACGACACATTTCCAGAGTTGTTGGTCGATGGCTCATTATACCCCACCATCCGGTGAGGCCTGACCTCCTCCCATCTGTGTGGTTACATGCACCTCTTGTCACTGTAACAAGGGTGTCCAATTAAAAATAAGAATACAGAAGCACTTAAATATTTGATATAATAATGTAATAACCATGAATGACAACAACCATGATTAGCATTTTCTTCAAAGGCCAGTCCATATACCAGATCTAGTTTAATATTTGCTTTTTGAATAATTAGCATTAAATAAACTCACACCCCTATGTTACCTAGGTTACAGTATTATAGTTCATGTATTGTTAAAAGGGAGTGACTTACAAAATTTCAAAATTCAATATCTCAAAATTTGAGTAAAGAACTGGATCACTATAAAAATTAAGAGATTAATTCTCTTGGATAAAAATCATGCCTTACCATTACTAAGCTGACATGTGGCTTCCTTTACACACCATGCACACTGATCGTTATACTTTAGTCCATGTTTGGTGGTCTCTGTGGTGACTGTATAGCCTTTCCCTTGAACTGCACATGATTGACAGTCTTTGAGGGCGGGGCATATACCAGGGCATTCTGAGGTATCCATGATGCCTTTACTATTACAATCCTGAAGAAAAAAAAAATTAAATAGTTCAATGTAGTATAACATACTAGTATTTATTTCCACACATTTGTATACCACAATATTAGATGGGTAGGTTGCATGAAACTGTCCCATTTTGAATCTAGCAACTTTGCCAGATAGAAAGTTTTACCTTTGAGGAATTGTTTTAAAAACCTCCATTGTAAATACAATCATATATATAATATGTTTTACCAAGACCTAATTTCCAAATAGCCAATAATTCTTGTGTCTAAAGAAGACTTACGCCAGTTTTAGATCTGTGAATACATCCAGGCATATCATTAAGTTTCTTGCTTGTACACAGCGCACACTCCGGATCAAAGCGACAGTAGTTGCCATCAGTGATCTCAGAACAATGGTCTTTTATACTGTCATCATTCTATAACAGAGAACAATAAAGATTAAAAATGAATTTGCTTGAATATTATATAATTTCATTACAATAAGCACTTTATATCGGAAAATTACTTCCACTACCTGTAGCAATGAAATAAATCCGTAATTGTGACCTGCGTGAATCTCGCTTTGAGGTGAGTGAGGTTTTTAAGTTTTAGGTACCTTATAAAAATTTACATAGCTCAACTGTTCTACCTGATTTCTAGCCATTGAAGGGGGCACCTTGTATGCAATAAGGTCCCCCAGAGCAGTGCCCTGGTATCCCCCAGATATAAGCAGTGTGTTCCCAAATGCTACTGATGCCACGTGACTATACCTGCCACCGACAAATCCTGAGCTTGCTACACCTGAAATATCATTATATCATATACAACTACACATTAAAACAAAAATAGTGAATATCTTGTTCTTGGAGGTTCTATGGGTAAACTTTGTATTTAAAGGGATAAACCTCGCTCGAAGCTTAAACCAACTGTCAAATGACATGCCATCTGGTATCCATATAATCTAAAATGAATCAATCTGTTTTATTTTTAAAAACTATGTAACTATCTGATATCATTATTTTGTTTCAACAACTAATTTAAATAAATCAAGCAGTTTATACACCTAATTTGGGCATCCACTGTTAATAATTTGTATAACCTAAATGTAATTAAACAAAAAAAGAAATAAAAAAATGAAATAACAAAAAAGGTACCACATAATGGCTATTATACAGTACTCTTATCACTTACCTCCAGTCCAAGGTAACTCTAATGCTGTGTGGTTAATCCAAACATGGCACCCTAAGTGATACAGGTAAAGCTTATTATCATAGCATATCTCCTCATGTTGATGAATATGACAGTTCCCTCCATACACCACCATATAATTGCCTATTATATTGGCCGAGTGGAACGCACGGTCCTTTGGAGGCTCAATAAAACTGTATGCGTTATCATTGAGATGGTAGGGTGGCTCAGCATCAAGGTGAGACCAATAATTCAATTCTATATGGTAAGAGTGTATTTGTTTACTGCGCTTACTGAAGCGTGCATAGTCAGGAGTAAACCCACCATACACAAGGAGGGATTTTGATTCAGGGTGGAACACTGTTGAATGGCCAACAAGTCGACGTAGTTCCTGCTTGCCCCCCTTGGGTGTAAGATATATCCAGGTGTCCGTAGTACCCAGGATGTCATAGCAGTAAAGGGCAGATTGGTACGCACCATAAGTGTCACGTCCACCGAGTAAGTAAAGATACTGAGAGTTGCCATCAGTTACCAGTGTTAAGGTGTGGCCAGAGAGCCCCGGAGGGTGCACTGTACCAGCCAGTGCTTTCTCAATCCATACCCCAGATGTGATGTCATAAAACCAAAGGTCTGATAAATGAGTCCCATTGGCAGCGATGCCTCCAAATATAAACAACCCAGACTGAGTTGCAGCTGCTGCGTGATTATTCCGAGCTTCCGGCCACGTGCCACTCTTGGTCACCTCAATCCACTTATTGCTCGGGAAGTCATAACGTATCAAGTCATTGAGTATTTCATTTAGAGTATTGCCACCAAATAACCAGAAACTATTCGATGATGAGATAAAGGCCCCAGCATGGCCTGTTCTTGCTGTAAAGCCTGATCCAGTAGGAGCAACCGGATACCAGGAGCTATTTCCTATGGTGCTATTCATTGAAAGGGCACAGTTTGATCCTGTAAAGCCATCTATGCATACACATTTCCCTCCAATACATTCACCCAATGGCTGGGAGCAAAAATCTGGGCATTCCTGAAGCTGGCAGCCATCTCCTGTCATACCAGGATGACAATGGCATGTGTGGGTAAGGCTATTACATGTGCCTTTCCCACTACAGTCAAGCAGGCAGTCTGTTACTGTATAGGTGGCGTTAAAACCCTCAAGGGCATAATTCCTGTCACTGTAGAAGTATATCAGCATCTGGAACAAAGTGCATCAGTAAATATTATTCAAATATTTCATACTTTTGAGGATCGGAAATGACCCGTTCATCTTTCAATGATTCTAACAAGGTTTATTCCCATACAAGGTTATTCTATAAAATTGAGTTAAAGACTGTGTCACTTTAATACAAAAACAAACAACTAAATAAATGCTATTCACTTATTTCTTTCCGATTTTGAATACAACAAACAAACAAGTTGGTCTAGTACATACACAATAAAATCTGTCAAGTGGAAAATTTCAGTAGATCACTGTTCAACATTTTGTTACACATTTCCTTAATATAAAATGAACCAGCATGTAACTGGAACTCTTCAAAAGGAGAGACCTACATTGCGATAGCGGCGCCCCCTTTGTCCTTATCCTTCCAAAGCGCAAACAGAAGATAAGAGGGGCTCTGGCATATCAGAATGAGAATCCTACTATTATGTCCCAAGTTTAACTGTACTTACATTCCCTGATGTGGCAGTGATGACTGGTGGGGTGTTACTGCCTGAGAAGCTCCCCAGAAGCTTACTGTTGTAGGATTCCCCATCGTAGATGAAGATATAGTCATAGGAGCACTCTACACTCAGGTTTTCAAACTTAAGTGTGATGAATTTATCTGGGCTCCCAGCTGAAACAGATATGACATTTCTTATGTTATGAACATGTGTTGTAAAACCTGTATATCTGAACACACCTCTTATCTGAACGTTTGTACCTGAAATATGTAGAGCAGGCACTATACGTACAGCTCTGTACATCCATTATGATGAATAAAAAGGAATTAAAGGTGACAGTAAGATTTAGAGACCACCAAAAGTAGACCTAGCACTAAAACAGAATCAGAATGGAATATACTTTGAGTGACATTTTAAACTTGATCTTGAAACCCCAACTTATTATTTAATATCTATTGGACTTAAAGACCTAATAAAATAATGATCATTTAATTACATCTATTTCAAAACGTAAGATCTGACTTTTTGGACTTTAATCCTACATTAGGCCACCTATATATAACACATACTCTGATAATCACCATTGACATCGTTTGTGGAATCACAGCAGCAGAAAAGGAAGAATTTTGATTTTTCTAAAAGGCTAAAATTGGTCTATGTGTGCTAGCTCATTTTTTGATTGAGCTAGTTTTGACTTGGAAGTGAAGGTCAATTATAAATATGATTACCTAACAAAAATTACATGTCTCAAAAGATATTACAAAAAAAATTATTTGCATTTATTTGTTATGCTTAAATCCCCTAAAATTGGAAACATATAATTGTACGTATTTCAAGAAAATAATCTTGAAACATACCTCAATAAAACATTTTAAAACAATAATTCTATGTGTTTAAAGTTTGAAAAGTAAACTACTCAACATGGTTTAAAATGGTTTTATATTGCAGGGATCAAAATCACTAAGAAGGGAATGTATTGGCCATTTACAAATATTATTTCATGTTGGTAAGGGAACTTGGGTCAAATTGATTTCATAATCCCAACAATAGACCCGTGTGCAGACTCAGACCATATACAAATAAAAACAGTCGTAGCTGAATATATGTACATAGAAACACCTAAGCTACTACATACTAAATCAAACATTAGACTTTACTTTCCTTGACCAAGGAAATCATCTATTATGCAAAAAGTTTATGATACTGAATTCATCCTATGATTTTAAATATAATTAATAATAAGTAATGTTTCTTCTCCTTGAAGGGTGAAAAGATTCAGAATCTACACCAAATTTCCACCCTTTCAAACCCCAGAATGAGTTATACAGTGAAATAGTTTTCTTTCTATTCAGAAGTACACTGTACATGTATATTGATAGCAACCAATGCAACCAATGCAACCAGATTGTTGGATGCACGGACAGATGAACAAGCTCATCATGTGAGCTAAAAATATGTGGAGAGTGGAGATAATGACTTATTGTATGTTACTAAATGAGAATTATGGATCTTTCAACAGAAAAATCTAAATATTTTATGCACACATATAGACATCCATAAAATGTATGTTGGCTCTTCATACAATGTGTTCATGAAAGGCTTGTGAATTGCACTGAACCAATACATAATTTATTTGTTCTAATGCTCATGATAAATATTTCTATAGACACAAAAATGTCAATCAAACAAATTAACAAAATAACAGAAAAAACTACAAATTGACCTTTTCTGATGACACTTATCATGATGAAAACATATATAATAGACACTGACAGAGTTATCTGCAAAACAAAAAATCAAAATATTATTACTTGACCTTAAAAGTTTGTTGAAATGAAGCTTATAAGCTAAGAAAACAATAGAATTTCATAACATAAATTGTGTCGGTGATCTTGCCAAGGTGATCTTGCCAACATGAGAGCAACTGACTGCCTGGGTTGAAAATCTGGAAGTTACATCCTACCATGTTAAAACCTGTTTGCACCCTGCTAATAGAGTGAAAAATTGACCTTATTGCGAAAAGTCCTGAGGAGATTAAGACATGTCAATACTACCAACTTACAACTTTGCATGAATTCAATTTCTTAAGCAAATACTACATACACTGTGTTGCAATTGAAGGATGGACACTCAAAATAGTGTTGCACTCAACGCAATCAATATTTTGTATTTTCAATATCCTAACTTAACATACATTTCCTATGATCGCCGTTCTATTATCATTTTTTTATTATATGTGGCACATGCAAGTTCATTTTTTTGCTAATCATAATTTTTTCTACACTAATTTCCAATCTAACTTTATGTTTATACAACGGACATGACCCAAGGACGACATGATGATCAAGCAGCCTCCCTATGTCATGTCCTCAGCTCTTGCAAAGTTGCCCAAGCAGAACATTGCTACATGTGGCGGCATGATCAAGAGATTGCTAGACAGCTTGATCCCTTGATTTCTGATTCCTCCCTGACTAGTTCACCCTCATAACCACTAACCATCGAGTTTGTGAAAGCAGGACAAGCAACCGCAAAACCAACAGTTAACCAACCATCCAGAGGCATTTTACATTCAGCATCTGATTGGGTTATGAAGGTTGATGTTGGTAAGCTGCTTGTTTTCCCCCAGCATGTAGTCAGCACCACTCTGAGGCCAGACATCATAATCACCTCAGAAACAACACAGACCATCATTGTTGTTGAGTTAACTGTACCCTGGGAGGAGTGGGTAGAAGAATCCCACGAATTAAAGAAGTTGAAATATGAGGACATTGTAACTGATGCCAAGCGAAGAGGATGGAAGATACACTGTTTCCCTGTGGAAGTAGGCTGCAGAGTTTTTCCAGCCAAGTCTATGGACTGGATGTTGAAGTCGCTTGTTTATAGTCTCGCAAGAGAAAGAAAGCAATGATTAACCTAGGAAGGGAAGCTGAACGTTGCTCTCGTTGGCTGTGGTTGAGAAGAAATGCAAATTGGTTGCCCAAGTAATCCATTGTCATCTGGCCTCATCTCCACCAGAATCATGACACACCCTGTATCCAATAAGTCTCCCCTCTCAATAGCTAGCATACCTTTAACCCCTACATCAAGCTTGAGCGGTAATGTGAAAAGGTGAGAGTTGGTCGACCATAAAGCGCTTTTTAAACCTACCATAGACCCTCTCAAGTCGGTTTTAGGCATTTACCGCTCATTCACCAAGTTAAGATGTCTACTCTGATGGAAGTTGGAGGCAGCTGAGGAAACCTCTATATTTCCACAGCTAATGTGTATGGTGCAGCATGTAGTCCATCTAAGCATGTTTATCATAATATGGTAAGTTGAAAAATAGGACCATTCGGTGCACAAGCAGGAGCCAATTACTATACCAATTACATGTACATTCATATATGTAATGTATTTCCAACATGGAGCCAGTTGACCCAGTTGACCCATCACATGGATATGAGCATTTGTTCAGAAAAAAGTTTTTTAATCCCAAAGGCTCACCATGTAAACAAAAATAATTCAAAATAATTCAAATTGGTCATCAGGAGAAAACTATGGCTGGTTTCTATCATTATTTTCCAAACATTAATGCCATAGAAGGGATCTACCTCAAACATAGATAAAGTACATGTTCATGTCTAGTTAGAACAGCTGAGTAAGACATCTACCTGTAGGTCAATTGGCAATTTACAAAATATAAATAAAATAATTGTATTTACCTTGAATGAGCCATTCACAATGAGCAGATATCGGATAATCTCCTTTGCCATCTGATATTATACCAGTCGTAGAGTTGAGCACCTGGCGAAATCCATCTGTTTTACCATTACAAGCAATGCATTCTGGCACCAACAATATGGATAAAACCGTTATACACAATGTGTAAATAATAGCTATACGTCGGCTCCAGGAGATCCTGAGTTCCATTTTATCTGTTAGAATATGTGTTTGTAAACTGCACCATGTTTGTTACATGAGAAATAGGGTACTGTTCATATTCAAGAGTGGGGTATATCCACAGAGTCTGCGTCAGCTCTGTGTCTACAGTAACATACACACAGCATAAGAAATAGTATACAGCTACTACTAAAAGTTTATGTGGATGTATTTTCATATATTTAGACTTGAAATGAAGGATGTCAAAATTGATACTCCACTGAAAAATAAACAAAGCAATTGCCTTCAATTTAGATATCCTCAAACGTAACTTTCGTCAATAATCATGTGGACTGTGATGCATCAGTGTTTAGAGTGTATATCCATTGTTCATAAACTCAACATTATTTTAATTTTTGTTGTATATTAGTGTAGTTACACGTAAAAAACTAAAATAAATTAAAAACTTTAAAATTTTTTAATTGAAGCAGTAAATATGTCTCGTATTTTGATTGGCCCTTTGAAATTTTCATGACATACCCCATGTAAGTTATATGTTACCAGATACTAGTGACATCTTTGAATAGATATAAATTATAAATTGTTGCAACTTATAGTACTACGGATATAGTTACTTCAAACTTCAAAGATATTGTAAATGAATCTGGGGAATAGGCACTAGGCAGTAAAACCTGCGTACAGGGAATGCTCTTGGGACTGAAGGAAAGTTTCCTTGTTCAGAGGTTTTCCCTATAGAGAGTGGCCGCACTTTCAGCAAACTCAGAATTGCCGAATAAGCATTTTTGTATATAGTATATGTTGATTGATTGTACAAATGCCGGCTCCATACTTGGTTACGTTTTCCCCATGTTGATTTTAGCTGCTGCTAGCGTCTGATGATGTCTAGTTGATGTAATTATTGATTTGATGTGTAGAGATATATTGCTAAAAACTAAATTTCAAGTTTCATCAACCCCATTTTATATCATTGATAATCTGGAAATTAGATCAGTAAAAGATTTAGAGATTTGGCTCAACATGACCGTGTACTTACTATCTGTTATCTCCATAAAACAATTGTGTCAGTCCCTAGATTATCACAACTGGTTTGATGCAATTAGGTTTTTGAAAGGAAGAATTAGTGTCATGATAATAAGTAACAATAAGTAACAAACAGATTAGTATTAGTTTTAAAATAAATCAGGGTAATTAACAGTGGGTGCGATGCTACATCATGTAAATAATTGGCTTATCTTAATCTCAATCATATTAATCCAAGCTTTTTATATTCAGATATTGGCTTAAGACTTTCACACCTCTGAAAAATAATGGAATATACAGTCTCACCAATATTCCATATTCCTTGTTCACAGGTGAATTTTCATAATTTGCCCCAAAATAGTGTTCCTTGTTCCCTGTTCACAGGTTTTCCCTACAGAGAGGGTCTGTTAACATGTAAGTCAATGGAAAAATATTTGGTTCTTTTGAAAAGCATTCCTTGTTCATAGGTTTTCCCTACAGAGAGCAGAGCTGTCAAGTGTCCCGCGAATGGCGGGATTATCCCGCGAGTTTGATCAAAATTAGGCTAATTCGCGTGTCCCGCAATGTCCCGCGAAGTCCCGCAAATGTGGTTTTTGACCTCCGCGAATTTCCGAAATTGTTGCAATCCCCTATATTGTGATTATCTTATCTTATAAAAGAAGCTAAGTTTTTGCACTTTTGAAGAGTAAAATTTACCTAATTTTAAGTACTCAGCGTGCTGTTGTTTGGTATCAAAATAAAGAGGAAGGGTTCAACTTTCATTTTAATTACGAATGTAGGTCAAAAATAGTTCTAACGTTGGGCTTTTTACTATCCGTGTGGCCTTCATCTCAGAACTGAGCAAATGTTAGCAAACGCGAGTTACAATAAATGGACGCTGATATCTAGAAAGGGTGCATTGTAGAAATACCGGGTAGTAAATCCTCCATGCTGGGTTCAAACTTGGTACCCGGTACCCGGTCAAAAAACGGGTACCCATAAAACGAAAAATACGAATCATAATTAGATTATGAGAAAACGTGTAAGATTTGTTTTGAATTCACAAAAATGTATGTAACATCCTTCAAAATTGAGCTAGAAGCTTCAAATAAAAAGTATATTTAAGGCTCTTTTCTTCCTCTATCGTCATGGCCATATTTTCATCGGTTATGGGGGGGGGGTGCGATCGCACCATCGCACCATCTCCTGGCTACGCCTATGACATTGTAAGACATAACAATTTACAATTCAGTGGACAATTTGTCGAAAATTGGGATAACTTAAATTATGATTAATAATCAAAATCATGTAAATTAACACGTCACCTCCGCCTGCTAAAGCAACGATAGCTATTTACAGATTTAAATCATAATCAAAACAATTCACGTACCAACAAACAAACTATTGAAAATAGAGTAAGATTGATTTGTCTTCTTTTTCAAATCGTCTTACAATGTCATTGGCGTAGCCAGGAGGGGGTGCGATCGCATCCCCCCTCCCCCTTTCATTACCAATGGAAATATGATGATAGAGGACGAAAAGAGCCTTAAAATGCTTTTTATTTGAAGCTTCTAGCTCAATTTTGAAGGAAGTTACATACATTTTTGTAAATTCAAAACAAATCTTAGGTTACACGTTTTCTAATGATCTAATTATGTTGTAGGCCTATATTCGTATATTTCGTTTTTTGGGTACCCGTTTTTTTCGACCGGGTACCAAGTTTGAACCCAGCATGGAGGATTTACTACCCGGTACCCGTTTTTTTCTACAAACCCTATCTAGAAAAGTAACCCCATTCCCTATAATTTGATGTAGATTAATCGAACCCCTATATCAATATCATGGGCTTTCAATTGAAAGAAAATGCCATGAATAGGTACATTCAGGCCTGTCAACTGTCCCGCAATTTGCGTATTTGTCACGCATTTGCTGAAGAATTTGAAGTCACGCCAGTTATTTTTGCGTGACAGAAAAAGTCACGCAAATACGCATTTTACCTGGTAATTGTCAAGCAAAAATATTTCTTTAGAAAAATTTCTAAAAAAAATCGTCTACACAGCAAAAATACGAACGCCGGGAAAAAACGTACGCATTTCGTTCGGACTTTTCACGCGAATTACGTATATGTGACGCATTCCGTTCGAAATATTTCGTACCTACCTATTACGGTACTCACACCTGAAGCATGGTTTTTGCTTTTGAAAAATTACAATAAAGTTTAATAATATTCCTATACGTATTTTGTGAAATTGTGTTGACGTTTATTGAAGTTACAATGCAACGGTGCATTGTATTTGATTAATCAGTATCTGGAAGTTTGATTTAAGTACTTTTACACGCTTTTACATTAGTCCCAATCACGCAAATCCTTGAATGTCCCGGGACATCCTGCAAATTTAGGTGAATGTCCCGCGAAATCCCGCAAATTTAGGGCACTTTGTCTAAAAAATCTGTCCCTCTATCAAGTTTTTGGTGGTAAACCTGTTAACTATAGCGCAATTAGGGTGTTTGTCCCTCGAATGGTCCCGCGAAATCCCGCGAATTTGATAAAAAAAAAATTGGCTTATCAGCGCAATCACGCAAATCCCTTAAATGTCCCGCGAATTTAGTAGATGTCCCGCAAAATCCCGCGAATTTTGGGCACTGGGTCTAAAAAATCTGTCCCGCGAGAAAATCTTTAGGGGTTGACTGAGAGAGGTATTCCATCGGACAGGTTTTACTGTATATTGAATTTCCATGAATTTGTTCTCACTGGTAGGGGTGTATGTGTAAGTCATGTAAGTATTCTGGGTGTTTTTAATATCATTATTAATTTGTCATTGAATGGATAAAACATGCATCGCACTCCCATGCAATGCTAGTCTTCAACATATTATTCTGAGACACTGCATGAGAGTTTGAACATACATGATTCTCTCACTTTTAATTTCTATGAAAGTATTAATCCCCATATCCATGGGCTCAGATTCTCATCATTGTCCTCAGGGCAATTCTTGCAAAAACCTCTAACCAATCAATCAATTTACATAACAATATTGGCTTTTTAAAAAATATAATTTTTTAATAAGTATCTTTAATTGAAAAACATAAAAGTCAATTAATTCTTTTAAGTATTATGTTTATGTTTATGTTTCTTTATTTGGACCATAAATTGATCATACAAATACATACTGGTATATATTAAGTAAAATAAAATAATATTACAATTTTACAGTGATAGTAAAGATTGATGGTGGTGTACAGAACATGTAATTATATGCCCCTTGGGTTTGATGATTGATTTAATGCATCCCTGTGCATTTCATAAATAGCATGTATTTAATAGACAGTCCCTATCTCCAAACTGACTACTGTCCAGGATAAGTCTTATCTTTTCTAAATCAGTGCCATATAGGTTACTGTTCTCAATGATATTGTTTAATTGATGACTTAAATGCTCAACTGCCTGGCAGTGAAATAATAAGTGTTGCAGTGTCTGCACTGCCCTATGACAAAGTGGACATGTCTCACTATCTTTATATTTTTCGCAAATGAGTGATGAGTTTCCACACAAAAGTCTCACCAGGGTTATACATGGTCTAATTAGGTATGGGTCATTTTTTGCCAATATCCACCACTTAATGGGTTTGATAACCTTAACAACATTTCTGAACGTACTGAGAGACCTGTACATCATACAACTAGACCTCCATTTTTCCAACTCATGTCTGTGCAACACATCCTTAACAATACTTTTCCACTGTGACTTCGAGACAGATACTCCATAGAAAAGCCATTGCATTACATGATCTATTAAGTTGAACCTTTCAGCTATGTTAAGTATATCCCAGATAGGAGAATGACAATTGTTCTTTTTGTGGGTAAGCGTGGTGTTCAACCATTGACACACTCTTATGATGGCAATTTTCTTATAGACTACATCCACTGGTAACATGAGTAACTGCCATAAAAACATGAGCTTTCTTTGTAAGATTATAGTTGTAATATTATTCCACCCCAATGGTGCTAAACATGCACTGTTTGCCGTATTAATAGGAAGACCCTGCAGTTGTTTCGCTATTTTAATATGTGTGTTTTCATAGATATTCATTTCTTTTTCAGTCAGAACAATCGCTTCTACTCCATATGTCACTGATGGCACTACAATACTCCAATATATGTGTGATGCAGTTAGGGGATTATACCTTACAGTGTCCATGGATACTAGTCCAATCCCTGCATCCATTGTCATGCGTCCAGTCCTACATTTTTCATTGACATATGGTGTATTATCTCCAGTTGATGACAAGTCGGCTCCAACATGTTTACACACATTGGTTATTTCCAATACAGTCCCTGATAGTGTTAGTTCCTTAGGCTTTTGTGTTTCATGAGTATTGGTGGTTGGGAAGTAAAGAACTTGTATTTATTAATTCTACTTACTACTCTTTTAAAGGAAGAAATAAATAACATTTTAACATGAATGCTGAACTGACAAGATTTTACATACAGATATAGAATACAGAGCAGACAAATGAATTCATAGTTATTGAAATCATTTAGATTCATAAAATGAGACAGTACAATACTTTCAATTACATCAAGACAAGCGCCAATTAACAATATTCATGTCTTCAGTTTCGATGCTATACATATTCAAAGTTAATTTCCAATGAGGAATCATTTATTCTCTTGTCAATTCCCTCACTATCCTCCCCCCTAAACCCCCCCCCCCATGTTTTCATAAACTGTAACTTCATGTACTTCAAGTAATCAGTCTATACTATCCTATCCATAACCCCATTCCACCCTACAACACAACAATATCAATACTCTACAGGTTGCCCCATATACATATTTAATGTATTTATGTATCAATTATGTCTTAATGTACTGTAGAAATGTACATTTACTTAAAAAGGCAACAATTAAATGATTGTTTTTTCTTACAGCACTTGAGGCTACTTTAGGTCCAAGAGTTTTAACTTAACTACATTAAAATATTTCATTTTTTATGATAAATAGTTTTTAAAAATGAATATCACTATTTATTGCTATTGAATCTAAACATTTCTATATTTTAAATCTTCAATAAGCATATTGATCAGATAATTTCTTTTGTCAGGTAGGCTATCACATTTTGAAAATATTGTTTCCAATAAGCTCCTCCCTCCAGTCCTCTGCTTCCTTTTTAATATACAAACTGTGAAAATGTTCTAAAATTCTATTGATGACCTGTTTGTGAATTAACCATTTTCTAATAGCATACCAGCTTTACTGAACCTTTGATATACACGCATTCAAAGTATATGAGGGGCTAACCTGTCTACAAGATATAAATTTTACGATTACACATTTACAATAAATACCTAACCATGATAGAGAATAATAAGAACCACACACAATATGCATGTAAGGGGTCCGCCACTCCGGAGCCATCATGGGAACCAAGGGCCCCTTCTACTACATCAGTAACAACTGTGCGGCCATCACACTTTAGGTAGCATCTTCCATTATTCCTGTTAAACAACATTTATATCTTGCTAAAGTGTATGAATATACAATAAAACCTGTGTAAACGGAACTCCTTCAATGCACTTGGTAGGCATTCCACCTTAAACACGGGCTCATTTAACATTGATTGAATCAGACTCTTTAGAATGATTTACCTTGGATCTCCATAGTAATTCTCCTGGCAGAGCTCACAGTGATCACCATGTGTGTTATCCCTGCAGTAGCACTGACCAGTAGACATGTTACAAGTGTCTAAGCCATTGTCTGCGTGTCCATTGCATTCACACTGTTTGCAACCTGCATAGAAGTACAGTTATTGAAGTACACTATTTTACATTTAAATTTCATCTCTGTATTATCTGTATTTTTGGACATTAAGGCAGGCAGATTAGAACAAGAAATCTGGAGAAACTTTAACCTTTACATGCACAAACAAACCTAAGATGATCCAAATGTACACACCTTAGAGAAATCCTTAGTATGTATCCAACAGACCGAATATAATATTCGGTCTGTTATGATTGATATATTTCCTGTGGAAATCGCGGTGATATTTTTTGCACATAAATTTCTCGTTTATTACAAGAATATTCACCTTGAAAATTTGTGAATATGTTGAAGAGATGTTCATCTTAAACTAGAAGAAAAAATATTTGTATAAGGCGGGTACAAGTTGATGTAAAATAATGAAATTTTCAGACTCACCAAATCTTCAGGATGTGTTCATAAGTATATCGCGAAATCAATGTCAAGGACGTTTGAGTTCACGAGATCCAAACGAGATATGCAAATTTTTGAACTTTGACAACACATGACCACTTGATTACCTCGGCCTTCTTCATGAATATTTCCGCTCTATTTACTATGAATGAAGAAAATTAATCGGGATAATGATAATAAATGACTAGATGTAATAAATTCCCGCACAAATGGAATTTATCAATACGCTTCCCAGGGCTGTCAACTTGGGACCACCTAATATGAGTGACTTCAAAATGTTGGACACCTAAGTCCAAATCTGAACACTTTTGTCCAAATTTTGAACACCTTTGGCCAACTTTAAAACACCTTTGGCCAAAGTTTGAGCACCTTTGCCAAACTTTGATCACCTCAAATTTTTCGCGCTCGCTACGCTCGCGATATCGTCAACGGGGGGGGGGGGGGGGTAGGTACGAAAATTTCCAATGAACATGCGTGACATATACGGGATTCGCGTGACAAATCCGAACAAATTGCGTTCGGTTTTTTTCCGCCGTTCGTATTTTTACCGTATCATAAACATATTTCGAAAAAAATTCTACAGAAATATTTTTGCGTGACAATTACCAGGTAAAATGCGTATTTGCGTGACATTTTCTGTCACGCAAAAAAAACTGGCGTGACTTCAAATTCTTCAGCAAATGCGTGACAAATACGCAAATTGCGGGACAGTTGACAGGCCTGGCTTCCGTAATGTTGCTCCGTCCGCTCCACGTGTTATTGTTTACAAATAGACTGACGTCACTGGCTAAATCTCGTTTATCGTGAGAATTGGCATTGCCAAAATGGCTTGACCTAATCAATGGCTTCGCTACAAGAAGCGTCTGTACATTTTATGAATATCTTCAGTAAGAGGACAATATACGAAAAAATAATATTGTAAGTTCTTTATAAGGTAATCATTTTATCATTAAACAAACTTATTTGTAACATTTATACAACACCACATTTTACAATAGGTGACTTACAGTCTGAATATTTATTCAGACGAAGGATACAGTCTAGAGAAATCCTATAAGGTACAATCAAGGAATCTTTTTAAGATTTGTAAGTGCAAATTAGGTTCATTATTGATTTTCCACCTGTCTGGATCTAACAATTGGTGTTAATTTGTTAATCAATATTCTATTGGATTGTATTCAATAATTATTATATATTCATTAAGAAGTTACCTATTGATTCCAATAAGGCATGTAGTGTATTAAAGGTACAATCCAATAATATTCTACTGGCATAAAGAACTCAACTGAAACCATCCAAAATTATGTTTCCATTCAAGGAAAGAAACTACATGATAACCCACTTCGAATCAAACAGGTTGTTTTCCTTTAACATCACCTAAACAATCTACAAACCTTCAGATGTCTTAGCGTTGCCATAGCTACCAGGTCGACATTCCTGGCAGTGAGTTCCCATAGTCCAATCCTCGCAATTATCACACTGACCCACACCATACACACATGTACTGCGATTGTTGCATTGGCAATTAATATCACAACCTTCTCCAGTCCAACCTCTATCGCAGATGCATTTGTAGTCCGGTGCCTCAGAGCATGTTCCGAAGACACAATCATGGAAACACCTGGATATAGATGATACAAATATTCAAATTCAATTTTGAAAATGTTTTTTCATAAAAAGTTATTTGAATCACGCTGTGCACAACTGGGTTGATAAAAGTATATTTAACAGCTACTGTTGCTCAATACATCATTTATACACCAAGGTATCAGCAATTTTATTCTAAATTTTTTGCATATATCATAAGTATGCCATGTTGTCAAAATACATCTTTGAATGTAATAAAATAGAAGCTGTAACTAATTTCAGAATAAATACAAAACTCACGTGACATCACACCGCTCCTTGCCATCCCCAACAAATCCTTGTTTACAAGTACAGTTATAACTCTCAAATGTATTGATGCAAGTTGCGTTCTCGTGGCAATCATGTACTCCCAGGGTGCACTCCTGCACATCAGGACATATCCCATAAGCCCATGCTGCAGGTTCAGAGGCGGTGATGTTGTTAACTTCTGCTACCAAAGCTGAGCAATTGTTGTTTTCACTAGGACCTAGCAAGACACAAACCAAATTTTTTGTTGAAATATTTATTTGAATTAAACTATGTATAAAAGAGCACGTAAGGTATGGCAAGCCATTTTCAAAGGGCTATATCTTTAGTTCGAAGAATAAGTTAACCACAAAATCAAATGGTTCTGTTAGATCCATGTCTTATCTTCAATAAATGACATAAGGATGATAATCAAGTTGATTGAATGATCTCTTAAGCTGTCCCTAATCCACCCATCCTCACCAATTTTCCCTAACTCAGATGCAATTTTCACCAAAAGTGCAGGCCTTTTTGATAATTTTTAGTGCAAAGTTGTATTGAACTTTAAGACATGATTTAAACTGTAAAGGGGAAAAGTTAATTGTAAACCTACTTTTTGATATTTTTTTCGTGATTTTTTCGTATTTTTTTCTGATATTTTAAAGTGCTTCATTATTATACAACAATTACAAAATAGAGGGCAGCTAAGTGCCATAAATAATTTGTTTGTTACAACACTCAGATAGTGACTTACTCAGCGTTATGGATTATAATCCTGTATTTAACCTTGTATTGTTTGTGTATAAAACAGTTGTGTCATTCACGTATAGCTACTTATATTTATTTGAGTTGTGTGCGGTTTGGAGTCGCTTGATCACTACTTTAACCCAATATGTTATATCAATTATTGGGTTTACATGATTTCAACACAATTCTTACAGAACATGCAGAAACATTAGTTAATCTATCTCAATTTAATGCTATATTCTTATACCGAAGGGGTCCCTATCGCCAAGATATACATATTACAATACACAATATATTTTATATATGTTTTTACTTACTTTAGTTGCAGTACATAACCTGTTCATTACTTTGGTTGGTGCTGGGGAGGCTGGTGGGCTTTGCAGGCTATGACTTCGCAAACTGATTCCCGCCAGTTGTAGTCACGTGACATTTGATCCTTATCGCATGATCTAAGTAATTTACTCACCTATGCACCTCTGCCATCTATACATCACTTACGAGATAGATTTAACTGTATGAATATCTAGTGATCTGAGCCAACTCCAAAACACATAAATATTTTTATCCCATACTTGGACGTGTTACGGGTACATAAAGCCGGTTTGTAAAAACTTATATTTTCATCAGCGGGCAGATATAGCTTTACGTCCCGCTCCGAGCGGGCAGATATAGTATATCTGCCCGCTACGTCATAATCGCCGCTCGCATATTTGTTCATAATATGTAACGTTCGCGTAATGACTGTAAACTACAATGGAGAAAACACAGACAATCGGGATCTGTTTGATGGTTTAAAAAAGGGAAAGAGCATCCACTTAATCAATCAAAAATTCGAGAAAATAAATGTGGGAATATTTGAGAGAACAGGAAAATCCGCCCACGGCCAAGAAAACAAAACTGGACATGAATATTCTAAAATATTTCCACGATTGAACAATGTAAACCAGATGACCAAGATTGGTATGGGATAAACATATTATCCTATAGTCGGTTCAGGATATTGGGATTATCCCTTGGCCAATATAATATATTTTCCCTCGGGACCTGCGGCCCTCGGGCAAATATATTATATTTGCCTCGGGATAATCCCAATATCCTGAACCTCGTATAGGATAATCTCTATATATTTCATATAAGTCATTTATATACTGAATAGTTCTTTGTGCATGTACATGTGCCTGGTTTGGGCTATTCAACCTAGATTCTTTGTTATATTAGGGCAGGCTGAAATGAATAAGTGTGAAAATAAAATGAATTACAGGGTGAGGCAAAAATGTCATCCAAAGAAATGTTATTAACTCATTCATCCAGTATGAGTTGAAATCATGTTTAGTTAATTGTCTCAGGTTAATTTTACTATGTAAAATCTTTTTGCATTTTACCATGTTTCATGGGTCCATTCCTCAAGGTCACAATTCTATGGCCATTTATTCTACAAATTTCAGCCTCGTCCCTTCAGGCAGACCTGCACTGGTCGGTTGAGGTTGTAAGTTCATGGTCACAGAAATTGTTCTCCTACTTGTTGTAGGGGTTGACATTATCTCACAGATAGCCCGTAGTCATGAGATGAGGCTGGCATTTTGGACCATGTTTCGTTTTATAGCCATAAAATCCCGACTATTGGGGCAGGGCCAATTAAACTTAGTAAAATGAAAGAACATTAAACAAGGTTTTATTATGCGAAATAACATTTTAACAGATGCGGAATTAGTTTGGGCTACATTTTTGGCTCACTCGGTATTAGACTGCACTTTGATAGTATTTATGATGTCATATGTTGGGTAAAAGGCGATGATTTAACCTACTTTGATGGCAAATTCATTTTAATATGAATGAAATAGTGGCAGGTACTATTTATATTTAATGAGCCATAAAATAGTAGGTTGATCTGACAGTTGTTAGTTGAATTCGCTATTACTACTTGTAATGGGGTTTCAAAGCCCGTGGTCACCTATGTAGTTCCTTCATCCAAGGCCAAATCGACTCAAGAACGGTGTTATATTAGATGCAGCATTTATTGATTTCTGGAATCACAGCACCCCTAAAAAGCGTAATCATAATTCCGTCGATTGACCTACAGCATAGGCCTAGGGAAAAGTAGTAGGAAGGAAGGCATAAGTTTACTCTTTACTACTTTTACATAGACCTATGGCCTAAAGATAAGTTTGGGAACCCTTATTAAAACCAAAACCTCTATTTCTAATTACAGCCCCTAAAAGCAACAACCCCGAACCAAGTGGCAGTCATTGAACCCAAAGGCATTTTTATGTGCCAACCTATAATGAGACCCCCTTTAGTGAATAACAACCAGGTAGTCATCTAAGGTATAACAACATGTTCAGTTTGTAATTTTATAGAAGGTCACTGAATCCTCTAATAGTTCATTCAGTTAGGGATAAACTATGAGTACTGGGTTTTATGAGAAATAATAGCAGAGGGGCTTGGCGTGAGGCTATTAGTTCTCATATGACCCATTTCGAATAGTTTATCTAACTTAACTCCAGACTGATTCTTATGAAGGGTAATTGACCCATGATCCAAGTTTAGAAAAATTCTTTTGTATTAACTATATGGTAAATGTGTAGACAAGTGGGTTGGTTTGATTGGTTCAGCTTCAATGCACTGCATGTATCAGGCAAGGTACATTGAAAATTGTATTTATTTTGTGTTTACAATTCAACTATTGAGTGATTGAAAATGGTTTAATAAGAACAGCTTCGGTGCACTGCATGTGACAGTCAAGGTGTAAATATTGAGCCAAACACTGTCAATCATATTTTGTGCCACACTGGTTTTAGATAGCTGCAGTGTCCATTCTTCAAAAACAATACAACAAGAATGCACTCCTCTTTCTTACTACTGTACATTTATATTCTTTAATTTTTCAAAAATTCAAATCTGACTTTAAATTTTACAATTGACCTTCAATGACCTTCTCAAAGTAAAGAGGGTATAAAAGGTATTTTTCAACTTGCTTCGAATTGACCGAATTTTCAAAATCACCTACAAGTTCTCAGAAGTCAAATCTGACTTTTGAATTGACATTTGACCTCTCAAGTTCAAAAAGTTCAAAAAGGCATTTTTCAACTTGCTTCATATAATCATTTTCTTTTCAAGATTTGACTTGAACTACACGGTGATGACATTTTGTAATGGCAATGCCTTGTTCTACATGTTGTTATTTCATGATTTCTTTACGAAGTATTGGCTTCGTACCTCATACCCATGTACGTGGGTGGTGATGCAGTTTTTGAAGGGTTCAATTTTTAAAGTTTTAAAAGATTATTCAATTTTAATGCTATCTGAGGTATAAATACATTCATAGTATCCATAGATGTGAACTTCGTCTAGTGAAAGATAGATAGATACAGAGTCATAAAATAAAGCCAGAATTGTTAATTTTTTGTTTTTCATTGATTGTCAAAATAGCGCCATTCAAAGGACTTTTCAATAGAGAAAAATCCATTCTAAATAAGTTTTAAATATGTCAGGGTATCATTTTATTTAATCACAGCATGATTAAAGATAATTGTAGTCTCAGGAATCGTAAATTCACGTTTTAGTGTAGATTGGTTCTATAGTGAACGAGCATTTCAATTAGGCAATTTTTATCGAAATAGCAAAGGTAAACAATTTTGCAATTCTGGCCTTATTTATGACTAGAAAAATGTTGGATCTATAAGACATACACGTAGGTCTACAAGTGCATTAATGCACCTACAATTCATGTGATCAGAATAATCTGAAACGTTAGAATTGAACTCTTCAAAGAATGTATCATGTCCCAAGTACGTCGGCACGTGGGTACAAGGTATAAGGGTTTTCATACAAAGCCCGAAGTATTGACTGAGAATATAGAGTGATCGAGTACGTGACAATATCATAATTACACAAGGCCATAATTACACAAGGCCATATACATATTGACAAAGGGTAAAACCCAACGCATTAAACTGTTTATTCCATAAAAATTCCAATCAGCAAAAACAATCCAATAAAATTTGAAATGAACAAAAAATGCAACAAATGTTTGGCCAAACCATTGGAGAAAATTATTATTTGCATGTACTCTGTATACAGTGGTACTTGTATCAATACCTACTACATATAACACTATTCGAAAGATCATTTACAGCAAACTCCTTTACATAAGGCACTTTCGAAACCCCCAATATGGTTGATGATAAAGAAAGATACACATGGGAAGAGTTAATTCAAATAAGATGGTATTGAATCATGTTTGTTGAAACATCGCAAATGTGTAATATTTCAAATATTCATTTACACTATACAATTCAAATATAAACAAGTATTTCCTCTTATGTGTTTTACTAGGTGTTAAACATATTTATGTTTTACTGTACATACTTTACACGACCCAGTCATGTTGACATATCCATGCTCATTTCTATAATACGCAATTATGCAACAGTGAATACACAGAGTATCTAGCACTCACCCATGTAGAATATATCATGCCATCTATGGAACATATATAACTCTATCTATAAACATGATTGCATAAAATAGGGTACATCTAAATGTCACTCTAAGTGACATCTTTTCATACACTTCACACTAAGGGCATGGCCTATGAGGTAAAAATGACAAATGGATTATCAGATAATGCTTATCTCATTTAGATCATTTTTTTCTTTTTGGAAATCAATCATGTGACATAGCTCAATGTTTTCATGCATTAATCTCATTAAAAAATTGCTACTTTTAGGTAAAAAATTCGGCCTAAAAAAGTTATTGTTTTTGGATTATCCTAATCCCAAAGTAATCAAGTTTTCCTTTTTAGAGGTAGATCATTCCTTACAATAAATTGTAATTTTGCCATAAAAGCTGAAATAAAATGCTGCATTTTTGGTGAAAATTGCGTCCGAATTAGGGAAAATTGGTGAAGATGGTTGGATTAGGAACAGCTTAAGAGATAATCCATTCAACTTGATTTATTGAAGACAAGACATGGATCTAACAGAACCATTTGTTTTTGTGGTTAAAGTATTCTTAGAATTAAAGATATAGCCCTTTGAAAATGGCTTGCCATATCTTACCTGCTCCTTTTTAAGTGAAGATGCGAGCAATTATAATAAAAAATATATCATTATGTGTGTTCAATCATACACTTCAAGATGGTGGCTTATACCAAATAATACAGTGAATGTATTAATGAATGTGGTTATACAATATAGAGTAGGACTGGTACTGGTCGCAAAATTGTTCCCATAAGCAGAGGTTCATATTACAAGTTTTCTAAAATAAGTGAGTGAATAGGAAATAACAAATGGTAATGAAAAAGTATTCACACTGAAAGGTGTTCAGATTAGAGAGGTGTTCAGATATACAGGTTTCACCCCATAGAAATATTTCATACTGTTGAGTTAAAACAAAAATGAGTTATAACAAGACAATAATGATGTAATATATACCAGTGAAATCCCCAGAGAGACATCGCCCTATGGTTGGATTATCAGTATTCCCGCACCAGCCACACTGGAACTCCTTAAGGCAGCTCTTACAGGTTGTATGCTGGGAACAATCACTGCAAAGTAATATGTACATTATTGAGATATTGCAACCTAATTATGAACATAGAGAAAGTACTTATTAAAACAGGAATAAATGACAACATCCATGTACTCAATGAATAACCTTTATAGAGTTATACGTTCAAGCACTGCCTTTAAAGAACCTACAACATCATCTGATGCTGATTATATTAGATTTAAATATAGTCAGTGCATAAAGGGTCGTGGCAAATCATGTATTGGCATCAAATATCATTCAATGCTTGCAACAATGGAATAATGAAGATGAAATAATAAATATCTTTTAAGCTCATCTACCTGCAATTCTGGCTTTTGCTGTCAAACCACTCAGTGCATTGCCCAAAGTTGTGGCGGGTGATGTAGTCGGAGAATGGGAAACATGTGGAAGTGCTCCCACACCAGGCACATTCCCCTCTGTCTCCAATGCATGTGGAGCAGTTACTACGGCTATAATAGCAAATAAATAAATCGAATTTAGAATATTGAAAATACATGTATGTATCTATGATTGACTGGTTAGCAAATGATCTTGCTGTGGCACTGTGCAAAGTTTGAAAACTTTCTTTTTTGAAATTCTTAACAGATGTTTGATAACATTGGGCAAGACTAGAAGACTTCAATATGAGGCAAGTGTACATTGAACTTTCAATGAGGCTGTTCAAAAACCTTTTTGCATATTTTGGCCAGAGTTAGGGAAATCAAAAGTCTTATGACTGAGTGAATATCATATTGAAAAAGAGAAATGCCAAACAAATGATTTTACAGTAATCTAGTTATCCTATTTTATTAACAGATACGTAGTGCTGATATAAAAGAAATATTAAATGAATTATTACTCACAGATGACAAGCGGCAGCACATTGCCCCACAGATTGTATCGCATTCACATATCTTCCCCTTCTCATGCAACGCCCATCATTAGGTAGCCATTCGCAAAGACTATCCTACAAGTAGAACAGTTTGGTTAACAGTGCTCCATTCTCATATAAGCATCATTGTGTTCGCAATTTGATCAAGGATACAATGTACAATATAAAGTGAATTGCATTACAGGAAAAGTGGATTTCTTTGGTTAGCCTCAAAATTAGGGATCAAAGAACCATATAGCATTTTGCAATCAAATCTTGAGTAGAGCAGTTATGGCACAATGTTAACCATCAATCCGTCACTGCCACCATATCTTTTTCCTCATGGGTCACATACTCTATATTTTGTCAAAAAATTGTAATACATATCATCTCAATAAAATCTGATGAAAATGTATTTTTTGGGTGTACTTACTGCAGCACATATATGGCAAGAGAGATGATCGCCACAAACTGTGCAATCAGCAGGTGTAATCACAAGCTCTGTAGCAGATGTAGTGGCACAACCAGCATTATCAACATCATTCCTCATGACGCACTTTCCCTTGTTCTTGCACCACCCACATACAGTGTCACTTAAGCAGGCTAGGCAGTTGCCAAGGTTACTGCAGTTTGCGTTAGAGGCGGTGTCCGTGTATGGTTCAAGGAATTCATTGAAAAATGGCTGAAATGGAAGAATATCTGTTCCTTATATATCAGTAGTAATAATTGCCCAGTGTAGCTCTGTATCAACTAAATATTAAATATCAGAATATAGAAAAGAAACTCACTGGCTTGTACAGTACAGCTGTACTACATGAGATAAATTGATCACTTCAGCATATGGTAAAAATCAACATTCCACTTTGATAGAGAGGAATCCTAGCTTACCTGTCGTAGCATTGAAGTACTAGTATCTGGTATAGCACCATTCCAAACCAGTTGCATAGAGGCTTTTTTAACGTCATCAAATATCTCCAATTCAGCTGTGTATTCTACGTAATATCTAGAGCTGCGATCATTTACAGGAAATATAGCCTCCCCACTTGGCCTAACAGCGCTGATCTCACTCTGGACATTTGAATAAGCCAGTGATGCCACTTTCTCCTAAATAACAATATAGCAAGATAATTGCAGTATCAATTTTGATAATATTTTTTCCAATTTATTTGCAAAGTAAAATCTATGGTATTATGTAGAACTTTGTAAAGACAATATGGCATCTAAAGCATCGAGAAGCATTGTAGAAATGATGCAATTCATAAAAGAAATAAAAGAAGATTTTAAAATGTGAAATAAAACATCTTTTAATCAGTCCTATGGCATACCTTGCGCGCCTTTGTGTCATCTAAACTGAGATAGACATCAGATTGGGCATTTTTTGCTACCATCGTGACTTGTATGGGATCTCTGCTGGGTATCTCTGCCTCCAGTGGATAAATGAAACCTAAGAGTAAAGAAATCAGTGAGTAAATACCAGTAATAAAATGCAACTCCAGCAGTGTAAATGTATATACAATTCCAATATTCATGGGGAGTGAACATTACTTCAGAAAATATCAAATTACGCCAGTAAAACAACTGGTCTATTCTTCAATTTTGATCAGGTCTCAAATCCCTGTGATAAAAGAAGGCTGTATATGAAGAAAATGATGTAGCCTCACCTTTCATAAGTCCGATATATTTGCCAGGTTTTAGAGTTTGCTCAATTTCCATCAGTTGTCTTCTACCAAATGCAATAAATTGGGCTGTTGTATTCCGAATGATAATCACCTAGAAAAAATATTATAAATAGTAAGCATAATATACTTCTCTATCGTACCACACTATCTAGACTAAATTTCGTTTGTTGGTATAATAACTTGTGCATACATGTTCCAGTTTAATACATAACACAATCTGGCCCCTGACATGTATACTCACTTCATCAGGTTGTTCAAGATTCTGAGGTGGGAGGTATTTCAGGAAGTGTAATCCAGCAGGTTTGTCTTGAAGACGACACATTTCTAAAGTTGTTGGTCGATGACTCATTATACCCCACCATCCAGTGAGGCCTGATCTTGTCCCATCTGTGTGGTTACATGCACCTCTTGTCACTGTAACAAGAGTTAGGTGTCCATTTAAAAATAGTCATACAGAAACACTCGGGTATTTGATAAATAATGCATTATCCATGAAGGACAACAACCATGATGAGCATTTTCTTTAAACAAAGGCCAGTCCAGATCCCAGATCTAGTTTAATATTTGCTCTTTGAATAATTAGCGTTAAATAAACTCACACCCCTATGTTACCAAGGTTAGAGTATTATAGTTCATGGATTGTTAAAAGGAAGTGACTTACAAAATTTCAAAATTCAAAATCTCACAGTCTGAGTAGAGAACTGGATCACTATAAAAAATAAGAGATTAATTCTCTTGGATAAAAATCATGCCTTACCATTACTAAGCTGACATGTGGCTTCCTTTACACACCATGCACATTGATCGTTATACTTTAGTCCATGTTTGGTGGTCTCCATGGTGACTGTATAGCCTTTCCCTTGAACTGCACATGATTGACAGTCTTTGAGGGTGGGGCATATACCAGGGCATTCTGAGGTATCCATGATGCCTTTACAATCCTGAAGAAAAAAAAATTAAATAGTTCAATGTAGTATAACATACTAGTATTTATTTCCACACATTTGTATACCACAATATTAGATGGGTAGGTTGCATGAAACTGTCCCATTTTGAATCTAGCAACTTTGCCAGATAGAAAGTTTTACCTTTGAGGAATTGTTTTAAAAACCTCCATTGTAAATACAATCATATATATAATATGTTTTACCAAGACCTAATTTCCAAATAGCCAATAATTCTTGTGTCTAAAGAAGACTTACGCCAGTTTTAGATCTGTGAATACATCCGGGCATATAGTTAAGTTTCTTGCTTGTACACAGCGCACACTCCGGATCAAAGCGACAGTAGTTGCCATCAGTGATCTCAGAACAATGGTCTTTTATACTGTCATCATTCTATAACAGAGAACAATAAAGATTAAAATAGATTTGCTTGAATATTATATAATTTCATTACAATAAGCACTTTATATCGGAAAATTACTTCCACTACCTGTAGCAATGAAATAAATCCGAAATTGTGACCTGCGTGAATCTCGCTTTGAGGTGAGTGAAGTTTTTAAGTTTAGGTACCTTATAAAAATATACATAGCTCAACTATTCAACCTGATTTCTAGCCATTGAAGGGGGCACCTTGTATGCAATAAGGTCCCCCAGAGCAGTGCCCTGGTATCCCCCTGATATTAGCAGTGTGTTCCCAAATGCTACTGATGCCACGTGACTATATCTGCCACCGACAAATCCTGAGCTTGCTACACCTGAAATATTATTATATCATATACAACTACACATTAAAACAAAAATAGTGAATATCTTGTTCTTGGAGGTTCTATGGGTAAATTTGTATTTAAAGGGATAAACCTCGCTCGAAGCTAAACCAACTGTCAAATGACATGCCATCTGGTATCCATATAATCTAAAATGAATCAATCTGTTTTATTTTTAAAAACTATGTAACTATCTGATATCATTATTTTGTTTCAACAATTAATTTAAATCAAGCAGTTTATACACCTAATTTGGGCATCCACTGTTATTAATTTGTATAACCTAAATGTAATTAAACAAAAAAAAGAAATAAAAAAATAAAATAATAAAAAAGGTACCATATCAGCTCCCCATAATGGTTAATATATGGCTATTATACAGTTCTCTAATGACTTACCTCCAGTCCATGGTAACTCTAATGCTGTGTGGTTTATCCAAACATGGCACCCTAAGTGATACAGGTAAAGCTTATTATCATAGCATATCTCCTCATGCTGATGAATATGACAGTTCCCCCCATACACCACCATATAATTGCCTATTATATTGGCCGAGTGGAACGCACGGTCGTTTGGGGGCTCAATAAAACTGTATGAGTTATAATGGAGATGGGAGGGTGGCTCAGCATCAAGGTGAGACCAATAATTCAATTCTATATGGTAAGAGTGTATTTGTTTACTGCGCTTACTGAAGCGTGCATAGTCAGGAGTAAACCCACCATACACAAGGAGGGATTTTGATTCAGGGTGGTACACTGTTGAATGGCCGACTAATCGACGTAGTTCCTCCTTGCCCCCCTTGGGTGTAAGATATATCCAGGTGTCTGTAGTACCCAGGATGTCATAGCAGTAAAGGGCAGACTGGTACGCACCATAGGTGTCACGTCCACCGAGTAAGTAAAGATACTGAGAGTTGCCATCGGTTACCAGTGTTAAGGTGTGGCCAGAGAGCCCCGGAGGGTGCACTGTACCAGCCAGTGCTTTCTCAATCCATACCCCCGATGTGATGTCATAAAACCAAAGGTCTGATAAATGAGTCCCATTGGCAGCGATGCCTCCAAATATAAACAACCCAGACTGAGTTGCAGCTGCTGCGTGATTATTCCGAGCTTCCGGCCACGTGCCACTCTTGGTCACCTCAATCCATTTATTGCTCGGGAAGTCATAACGTATCAAGTCATTGAGTATTTCATTGAGAGTATTGCCACCAAATAACCAGAAACTATTCGATGATGAGATAAAGGCCCCAGCATGGCCTGTTCTTGCTGTAAAGCCTGATCCAGCAGGAGCAACCTGATACCAGGAGCTATTTCCTATGGTGCTATTCATTGAAAGGGCACAGTTTGATCCTGTAAAGCCATCTATGCATACACATTTCCCTCCGATACATTCACCCAATGGCTGGGAGCAAAAATCTGGGCATTCCTGAAGCTGGCAGCCGTCTCCTGTCATACCAGGATGACAATGGCATGTGTGGGTAAGGCTATTACATGTGCCTTTACCACTACAGTCTAGCAGGCAGTCTGTTACTGTATAGGTGGCGTTAAAACCCTCAAGGGCATAATTCCTGTCACTGTAGAAGTATATCAGCATCTGGAACAAAGGACATAATGAAATATTATACAATTATTCCATAATACTACTGTTTTCCCAGGGAAATATGAAGGAATAAAAATCGTATTGAATTGTATTACATGAAAAAATCGTATTGTCCCCGGGAAAAAAGTCGCATTGGAGCGTATTAATGAAAAAATCGTATTGTCCCCGGGAAAAAATCGTATTGGAACGTATTAACCTATTTTTGGTTTTCCTATTATTTTTAACATTGGCTAATTGATAAAAGCATTTTCAAAATGTAACATTTTAGAGGAATGTATAATGGAATAAATAGGTTATTTCTGGTCGGGATTGAATATGGGTTTCATTCCTCAGAAAATATTATATTGACCTTGGGAAATATGATATTGACACTCGGTCGCTGCGCTCCCTCGGTCAATATTATATTACCCTTCGGTCAATATCATATTGTCCCTCGGAATAAAACCCATATTCTACCCTCCCAGTAAATAACCTATATATATTTCATAATTTTGAGGTTCGGAAATGACCTGTTCATCTTTCAATGATTCTAGCTCCTATTATTTTTAACATTGGCTAATTGATAAAAGCATTTTCAAAATGTAACATTTTAGAGGAATGTATAATGGAATAAATAGGTTATTTCTGGTCGGGATTGAATATGGGTTTCATTCCTCAGAAAATATGATATTGACCTTGGGAAATATGATATTGACACTCGGTAGCTGCGCTCCCTCGGTCAATATTATATTACCCTTCGGTCAATATCATATTGTCCCTCGGAATAAAACCCATATTCTACCCTCCCAGTAAATAACCTATATATATTTCATAATTTTGAGGTTCGGAAATGACCTGTTCATCTTTCAATGATTCTGGCTAGGTAGTTAGAGACTGTGTCACTTTAATACAAAAAACAACTAAATAAATGTATTCACTTATATCTTTCTAATTTTGAATACAACAAATAAACAAGCTGGTCCAGTACATACACAATAAAATCTGTCAAGTGGAAAATTTCAATAGATCACCATTCAACATTTTGTTACCCATTTCCTAATACAAAATGAACAAGCATGTAATTGGAGATCTTCAAAAGGAGAATCCTACTTTTATGTTCCAAAGGTATTCCTTTTACACAGGTGTAACTGTACTTACATTCCCTGATGTGGCAGTGATGAGTGGTGGGGTGTTACTGCCTGAGAAGCTCCCCAGAAGCTTACTGTTGTAGGACTCCCCATCGTAGATGAAGATATAATCGTATTGGAACGTATTAACCTATTTTTGGTTTTCCTATTATTTTTAACATTGGCTAATTGATAAAAGCATTTTCAAAATGTAACATTTTAGAGGAATGTATAATGGAATAAATAGGTTATTTCTGGTCGGGATTGAATATGGGTTTCATTCCTCAGAAAATATTATATTGACCTTGGGAAATATGATATTGACACTCGGTCGATGCGCTCCCTCGGTCAATATTATATTACCCTTCGGTCAATATCATATTGTCCCTCGGAATAAAACCCATATTCTACCCTCCCAGTAAATAACCTATATATATTTCATAATTTTGAGGTTCGGAAATGACCTGTTCATCTTTCAATGATTCTAGCTCCTATTATTTTTAACATTGGCTAATTGATAAAAGCATTTTCAAAATGTAACATTTTAGAGGAATGTATAATGGAATAAATAGGTTATTTCTGGTCGGGATTGAATATGGGTTTCATTCCTCAGAAAATATGATATTGACCTTGGGAAATATGATATTGACACTCGGTAGCTGCGCTCCCTCGGTCAATATTATATTACCCTTCGGTCAATATCATATTGTCCCTCGGAATAAAACCCATATTCTACCCTCCCAGTAAATAACCTATATATATTTCATAATTTTGAGGTTCGGAAATGACCTGTTCATCTTTCAATGATTCTGGCTAGGTAGTTAGAGACTCTGTCACTTTAATACAAAAAACAACTAAATAAATGTATTCACTTATATCTTTCTAATTTTGAATACAACAAATAAACAAGCTGGTCCAGTACATACACAATAAAATCTGTCAAGTGGAAAATTTCAATAGATCACCATTCAACATTTTGTTACCCATTTCCTAATACAAAATGAACAAGCATGTAATTGGAGATCTTCAAAAGGAGAATCCTACTTTTATGTTCCAAAGGTATTCCTTTTACACAGGTGTAACTGTACTTACATTCCCTGATGTGGCAGTGATGAGTGGTGGGGTGTTACTGCCTGAGAAGCTCCCCAGAAGCTTACTGTTGTAGGACTCCCCATCGTAGATGAAGATATAATCGTAGGAGCATTCTACACTCAGGTTTTCAAACTTAAGTGTGATGAATTTATCTGGGCTCCCAGCTGAAACAGATATGACATTTCTCATGTTATGAAACATGTGTAGTAAACTTGTATATCTGAACACCCCTCTAATCTGAATATATGTAGGTACTTGTAGAGTGACAGTAGTAAAATTGAGTGAAGGCCAAACAGAACTGTGTTATCTTAGTTTAAAAAATCCTCATGCTTTTTTCATTTCCCGTTTGGTGATTTCTGATAACTACCCAAAGACCGTAAAGCCATAGCCGGGATATACCTCAAACATAGATAAAGGACATGTTCGTGTCTGGTTCACCCTGCGTGCAGAGTCTAGTTAAACTACACTCTGCCTAGTAGAGACCATATTACAGTTTAGTAGCCCCGCCCCCACAACGGGTACCGGTGACAGTTTGGGTAAATTACTTTTGACCTACGCGCTGACCTTCCACCAATCAGCAAGCTTGAAGAAACATACGCCAAATGCGTTCTAATTAAATATGCACATGTCATTGGTCAATTCCAGGCTGACCATATAAAGAACGTCGGTCAAATTTGGCCGAAGCTCTCTTTTAAGAAGTAAAGTCAAACGAATGCAAAGGGTATGTCTGGTTAGACCAGCTGAATAAGACATCTACAAGTAGTTATAGAAACGAGAGTTCTGACGCACCTTTAACATTGAGTCCTATGGGGAGGGACACGATTTTTCATAGTACCCTCCCTAACATGGGCTCCAATGGGGAGGGACATCTGTGAGCCTCCCTGAGCTCGGGAGGCACATACGGGGACCCCACCCCTCCCCCCTCGGCGTGGTGGCGTGTACATATTTCGGGAATCTCGGGCCCTAAGGGTAACGGACGCCCTACCCCACGTCTGTACGTTTACTGTAAGGGATACTATTCGAATTCCCGCCAAAAACAATAAATCGATAAACCAGTACGCGTCCCGTTTAACCTTGAAAGCCTGTACCGTCGGTACAGGTTCTGGTAATTTGATACGGAATATTGACAGCCGGTGAAGTAAAATTAATAAAAACGCGTCAGTCGTTGACTGGTAATCGATAATAGGTAAGACCGTACCCGCCGGTACAGGCTCGAGTGATTTCTTACATGTTGTGGCACGTGGGGCGTGACTTAAACAATAAGTTCGTCTCGTTAATTATAGTACGTACCGGAAACAGCCACTAGTCAAAGGGTATATAAAAAGATAAGTTCATTTAGTTTTCATAACGTTAAATACTTAATCACCAAAGATGCCGATTGGAAAATTTCGAGTACCATCTAATATTAAAACAATAAAAAATGGGGAATTTATTGAAACAATTTCGACACCAAAAATTGTTTTAATGAAGATATGCGACGGAATGTTCAGCGCCGTCAACGACAATGGAGTTGACATCAGAAATTACCAAATATGGCCAATCACGGGGATCACAAACGTATGTAATGCCTACGGAACGTGCGCTGGTGTATTTCTAACCCATAATCAAATGGCGCGACTTATCGACAATTTACCACACGTCACTGAAAAATTCATGGAAATTGAATCCAAGAAAAAGGCTGATGTCAAAGAGTGGGACGTTGTATTGGGGGCTCAATTTCGACTCAGCGTTCATCCTAAATTTCGAAGAGTTAATATTAGGGGTAAGGTTTTAAATGATTTGTTACTGATCATAGAACATCGAATATACAATTTAAACTGTCATTCATATTGTGGTTACATGTCGTATTTTTTTTTGTATTTTAAAAAGGTTATCATCTCAATACATACTCCGATGATCCACGGAAACATTTGCCCGATAGAAACGGTATCGTTATGACACGTGCGGTGTTTGAGCTATTTGTGGACAGCCTTATTAAATACGGGCTTGTTCAACCAACCGAACCTCATTGTGTAATAACGGGTCACGCAGAAAAAAGTGAAGCTGATAGTTGTAGTGAATGCAGTTATTTCGACCCCGTGGATTTCAGTAACTAGAGTTAAATATGATGTATCACACAGTAGAAATAAAGACATATATACGAACGAGAGTTCTGACGCACCTTTAACATTGAGTCCTATGGGGAGGGACACGATTTTTCATAGTACCCTCCCTAACATGGGCTCCAATGGGGAGGGACATCTGTGAGCCTCCCTGAGCTCGGGAGGCACATACGGGGACCCCACCCCTCCCCCCTCGGCGTGGTGGCGTGTACATATTTCGGGAATCTCGGGCCCTAAGGGTAACGGACGCCCTACCCCACGTCTGTACGTTTACTGTAAGGGATACTATTCGAATTCCCGCCAAAAACAATAAATCGATAAACCAGTACGCGTCCCGTTTAACCTTGAAAGCCTGTACCGTCGGTACAGGTTCTGGTAATTTGATACGGAATATTGACAGCCGGTGAAGTAAAATTAATAAAAACGCGTCAGTCGTTGACTGGTAATCGATAATAGGTAAGACCGTACCCGCCGGTACAGGCTCGAGTGATTTCTTACATGTTGTGGCACGTGGGGCGTGACTTAAACAATAAGTTCGTCTCGTTAATTATAGTACGTACCGGAAACAGCCACTAGTCAAAGGGTATATAAAAAGATAAGTTCATTTAGTTTTCATAACGTTAAATACTTAATCACCAAAGATGCCGATTGGAAAATTTCGAGTACCATCTAATATTAAAACAATAAAAAATGGGGAATTTATTGAAACAATTTCGACACCAAAAATTGTTTTAATGAAGATATGCGACGGAATGTTCAGCGCCGTCAACGACAATGGAGTTGACATCAGAAATTACCAAATATGGCCAATCACGGGGATCACAAACGTATGTAATGCCTACGGAACGTGCGCTGGTGTATTTCTAACCCATAATCAAATGGCGCGACTTATCGACAATTTACCACACGTCACTGAAAAATTCATGGAAATTGAATCCAAGAAAAAGGCTGATGTCAAAGAGTGGGACGTTGTATTGGGGGCTCAATTTCGACTCAGCGTTCATCCTAAATTTCGAAGAGTTAATATTAGGGGTAAGGTTTTAAATGATTTGTTACTGATCATAGAACATCGAATATACAATTTAAACTGTCATTCATATTGTGGTTACATGTCGTATTTTTTTTTGTATTTTAAAAAGGTTATCATCTCAATACATACTCCGATGATCCACGGAAACATTTGCCCGATAGAAACGGTATCGTTATGACACGTGCGGTGTTTGAGCTATTTGTGGACAGCCTTATTAAATACGGGCTTGTTCAACCAACCGAACCTCATTGTGTAATAACGGGTCACGCAGAAAAAAGTGAAGCTGATAGTTGTAGTGAATGCAGTTATTTCGACCCCGTGGATTTCAGTAACTAGAGTTAAATATGATGTATCACACAGTAGAAATAAAGACATATATACGTCAATGTAAGTAATATAGTCATTCATACTTAGGTTTTTGAACATGATAGGTCGATTATTAGTTTTGAGCGTTATTGGAACATGCTGCATTTGTCAAAACATCAATGTTACTCGACACTTTAATGAAACTGAAAACGTAACACCTTATTACGTACTGAAACCATATATTAGTAGTAGTTACGATGTAAATCTAGAGACTCCAATGGCCTTAAGCTTTACCGGAGGTGTTTTAACTTTTGTTATCATAGGTGAGTTACGCGATTTTTGACAAACTATAACACAACGTAATGTTTGGTTTATATTTAATAGTGGTAACTAATGCTATATCATTTTTAGGTAATGTGTTATGGCTTAGAATGTTAACGAGATCCAAATTACCGATGGTTAAGGATGAAAGACAAAGGGAGCCTATGATAGCCATATAAAATTCATACAATGTGTACAAAAGATATACGACAAATAAATAAGAATGTATTAAACTACAAGATCTTGTAGATCAGAAAATCCCTTAATTTGTTTGTTTATTGTTCTTTAATTGTTTAAAACTTAGTGAAACATTCGATGTAAGTTTATTAATTCCAAAGTTTCAACATTTGTACAAAATCATTAATTACAGACCTACACACAAAGTTGCAATGTCATCTACTTAGAAACACGTGTATATTCGATTAGGGTGACATCTTCAAATATTAAAATACTCTGTACGATGCTGACATCTAGTGGTAGTTGGATATCACAACATTGATACAAATATATAACATTTATCGAGTATACATATTCAATAATTGTTTAACATTAAACACCTTTGGAATGTAATCATATGATATTGTTTACACGTGTATTGCGATTTAGCATTGAAATTGCGAACCGCGATTGAGTAAATTAGCATTTGAGGCTTTTTGAACACCGCATCAATGAGGATTTAAATCGACCTCTTTAAGAAAACTTTAAGACAACTATGTTGTTGTTTTTTTGAAAATTACATGCAGAATTTTAAAAAAAAACGTCAAATAGAATAAATTCTGGTCTTGAATAAATATGCAGATTTCCTAAAATCTTTTTTTAAATACCTTTCCTATATTTCAATACTATTTAGCGATTCCTCAATTAAAACAAAAATACGAAGTGAACCAAGTAACTTGGGAAGATCACATGAATTACATGAGTTTAATTGATTTATATCGGTCTAATTAAATACAATGGTAAATAAGACAGCTATAATTAAGTAGGCAAAGTCTGTATTTAGTCCAACAAACAAGTTTACGCCTACAGGGGTGATATTCATATCATTGTATTCAAATATGTCCTAATAGAGTGTTTAAAATGGCAGCCATTTTGCTTTGTTTTTACGTGGTCTCTTAAGAGCTTTGGCCGGAATACCCGGTACTTTGTACGATGTGGCGCTTCTTTTGTAAATGAACCTAGGTGTATTATCGGTATAGCTAGGCATCCCTATTGCATCATCATCATCATCACTGGTTGATAGCCCCGTGTCATGATTTTGTTTACTGGAGGTACCTTCCTTAAAGTCGCTATCGGATGGGGCATCCAATTTATTTTCCGAGGAAAACGTAGATGCATCATTACTCCCGGAATCAACTTGCTTCGTTTGACTAGGTTTACGTGTACCTATTCCACCATCCATTTTATCAGTATTAGTTGGCGACTGATCTATGGTTTTGTTATTTCCCTCCTCAGTTTTACGCGTGGAATTTTCGAGTCTGATATATTTATCATAAGGTATCAAAACAGATTTGATCATAGCTGCAATTTTTGGATAAAATTATGAACGGATTTAATCAATAGACCCAAAACTGATGTATTACGTTTGATCAAGTCCTTTCTAAACTTCTTGCTTTTTGATTTGGTCGCGATGTGTTGTAAAACTCTTTTATGTCGTTTCAATTTTTGTTTATAAAAATTCGCGATAGGGAGACTACCGTGAAGTACGTTAAGAGCTATTTCACCTAGAACTCGAAGTTGCGTTTCAGTAATTGTATTCAATAAAACTTTCATTTGCTGCAAAGTACTAGTCAAAAGGAATTTTAGGAAGTTTTTATTCCTTTTAATAAGTGCTGACATCGTGACATGTCTTTTATATGTTGTCCGGTAACCGTCTGGATCTATACTGACGCGTTCAATTAACTTTTGGGTTTATAAATGATAGGATCTTCATTCGGAAATATACGTGTGCGTAATCTATATTCATCAACGCCATCTGGCGACATATCCACGACTATGTAACCGTACCTTTCCGAAGTGGCGTCCAAATAGCTGTCCATGAAATATTTCGTTTTATCCGGATATATCTGACCAGCCAAACACTTTAGTTGTCTTTTATCACGATTTGCCTTGAAAATGATGAAATACTGCGTATTTAATGAAATATTTCTAGCGCTAGGACCCTGACACAAGGCGTTTTGTGTTAGAAAAAGGACATTCATATTTCTATGATGACATAATTGCGTGAATATTTTGGCAGCCTCTCTACTTTGACATACGCTAGCCATTAAATCATCTAGAACTAGAAATGTTGGTATCGATATATCTTTCGTAAAATTTAAGATCTCTTCCTCGTCGACTAGTCCTTCGTGAAATATGATTTCATCTTTAAATTGTAGCTCCATATCGCGGTACACGGATTGCCAAGTTGCGTAACAAAACAATATTTTGGAAGGTGAATTCGAACTATTTTGAAACAAGGCATCTCTATGTTTTAGAATTTTGAAACACATGTTAGTTTTCCCTGATTGAGACGCTCCTATCATGGCGATAGAGGTAGGCGAATTAAAGGGCACCAGGCTATGTGTCATGACTTCGACGGTTGAACTTACAATGATAAATACTTGTTTTGCGAAGTCTTTTATTTAAACAATCGGGCCATTGATGATTTTTAATAAGTTAGTACCAAAGAACAAATATAATTTTTTACCTAATCCATTTTATTTCGATACACAATAGTATAACATAAATAGAATATAAACAATTATATCTAATTAACTTTCTAAAGCCTGAATATTCGGTATGCAGGTTTGGCATTCTACATAAGTCACTGCGGATTTGGTAGAAAAGTGAGTCTTGAAATAATCTATGGTGATTAGATCATTGTAATAAGTATCCTCGATATTATAGTCGTTCAATATACCTAGTAAGCTTTCATTTCTACGAATATAACGATCCATTACAACTAATGTATATTGGCCACAGATTGTACTTTCATCATCTTGAAGTCTCAAGTTATTGTATATAAATGTATCCGAATTATTTCGTATGAATTCAAATAGACCATATTTTCGAGGATGACCACCCAAACTGTCAAAATACATACATGTTTTCTGACCCAACGTGTCAATCTTGAATACAAGTAAGACCCAATGTAATCCGGGGTGATCGTGCTTGGCCGTATTGACGATATAAACGGCTAATTTACTCGGAGAAAACCGCGGTAATTCGTCTTTGGCGCAGACCCTACGGTAGGCGGTTTTTAAATAAGATGTAGATTCTAATATATGCCTTAATTGGAGAGAGTTCATTATGTTATGACGTTCCTAGCCTCGTCTATCTGAATAACTTTGGGAAACTCCGCCAAAATCAGGATGTTGATCGCTTCTTGTAGAGGTTTTTGAAAATGACCATTGATGGATAAATTACCCCTTCTCTCGATTGAATTAACTTGCGTACTGCCGATGTTATTGACGTCAAATCTTAAAATTGTAGTTCCGTTGGCGAATTCGTCTCTGGATATGCTCGCGTTTCGTTTTTGGTCGTTAAACTGGGGAAATAAGTTGTTGTAACACGTTATATACGTGTTCAGCAAACCGCCTGTTCTGTAATCTAATGTTACGGGATTGGTCACGCTTAGTCCATCGACTAACACGTCTAGATAATCTAAGTTGAAATGTTGAAAGTTGAAAGGATTCAAATCGTACACGCCCATTTGAGATCGAGCCGTGACCATGACTAGGTATATCGTTTGAGGCACCCTACCTAGAAATAAATTATCGATTTGAAAATTGCGGTTTCCGGTGGCCACACTTAAACTTTTCATTTCTCTGCCGATGTACGGATATTGAGCCAGATTCGTCTTTAACGTTTGGGCGTGACCTTCCAATACACCGGGTGTCGGCTCAATTTTGGCAATTCTTAGAAATGCGTCGGTAATCTTAACCTTATAAGCTACGTCGTTATCATGAGCCGCTAGGTTAAAGGCAGCCGGGGATGGTGTTAGTTTGACTTGAATATCAATGTTATTCAACAAATATTTTTCAATCTTAAAGATGTCAGCGTGCAATGGACCCGCCATTTCAACCTCCAAACTCTCGATCGTGTGCGCCATTCTCCTCAGAAATCCATTATTTTTGGAGTCAAACCCGTTATGGTCGTTACCTAGACTGGCTTCATCCTTAAAATACATTTGGGATGATAAGTAACCTTGCATATCTGCTGCTGATGTGTTTAGTACTGTTTGAATATAACTTGTGTACGGGTAATAAGGTCCCGATGTTGAAATTGATTTTTGCTGCATTTGAACATCCACTTGCGAGAATAATGAATGTAACCAAAGATTAGCGCAAGTAACTTTGGGTGCAGATGCCGCCGGGTCGTTTGGATCTATAGGCAATGGACTCCCATCCGGCATGGTTATTTTTGCCTTGACGAATAACACTGTTTTACTCAAATCTAAGTAGTGATCTCCGTTATTTGTTATATCGAAGGTTAATGGATTACCATCTGATAAATTGATCGGTCTAAAATTGACGTATTTCAACTGTTTCGTGCTGACATCTGTATCACGGGTTTCAAAAATCATAAACTGCTCGTTCACAACCTCGTTAGAACTGTCCATAATGTTATCCATTTTTATTTATTTGTTTTTGTTTTATCTGTTTTTCCCTTTTAATCAAATATGGTACTTATACCGAGCGTGTTATTTTCACGTTTTCCACGTTTTTTCTTTAATATGGTGTTACTCCCTTCGATACCTTTGGTACGTGTGGTCTTATTTTTAAATACGGTAGGTTTTATAGATTTAATCCGGGGGCCTGTATCTATGATGTTATCACGACGCATGCGCGCTCTAGCTCTTTGAACACTAGCTTCAGACGGCGATATCATAGTTACACGCGACCCACTTCCGGTTTGGTCGGTTGCACCACTTTTCAAAGGAACGTAATGAGCCTTGTTAACTTTAATTTTAACCATTTTTTTCTCTGGTTTTGAGAACAGATCTGTCCAGATATCCATAGCCTTTGTATTAGATTGGCGAAAAGTTTACTCAAATATGTAATCTCTTTTTAAAATGTAAAACGCAGGATGTGGGACTATTACTCGTAAATTCAACTGGAGAACCGTCCTGATAAGTCAAAGCAATACTAATCTCGTTAAAATTATTTAGTCCTAAATCCACGTAATATATATTTTTAAATTCACAGTATGTCTTAGATGTCGATATAGTACGTAGGATCGTCCTCGAAGTTGGTCCTACTAATGATTCACCTATTATATTACAATATACGTATATTAAGCCTTTATTTATACGTTTACCTAGACAAATTCCGGTTAAACCGCAAGTCCAGTTTTCTAATTTTTTAAATGTTTGGTAATTGGGTAACTTGCTGGTAAATTTACTTTGAGTGTTATCCGCGTAATGAATTAAGGAATCCTCGCTCGAAAGATGTGCGTACGTCTGTTTCAAACTCATAACTAAATTAACTAGTAATGTTTCTTCTTAAATACTAAGGTGCGAGGCGAGTCTATCGAGTATCTATCGGCTCATTGGTCTAGCAGTACGATTCTCAATTTGGTTGTGATAGGTTTCGGGGGTCGAATCCCGGACGGGCCTATTTTTAAAAAATGATTTCATTTTAATTACCGTGTCTTTAAATTTCAGAGGCCAAACAAAATATAAAGTTAATTTACATGATCCTTTATTAAGCATAGGTTGCTTTAAGAATACGTATACAGTGTTATAGAATAGTCACTGGCCCTTTTTTAATGGTTCACTGACACTGAGTTTTCATTTACCTATTATATAGAAATTACGATCGAATCGATCTCATTACAGGCAGTATAATTAACGAGACGAACTTATTGTTTAAGTCACGCCCCACGTGCCACAACATGTAAGAAATCACTCGAGCCTGTACCGGCGGGTACGGTCTTACCTATTATCGATTACCAGTCAACGACTGACGCGTTTTTATTAATTTTACTTCACCGGCTGTCAATATTCCGTATCAAATTATCAGAACCTGTACCGACGGTTCAGGCTTTCAAGGTTAAACGGGACGCGTACTGGTTTATCGATTTATTGTTTTTGGCGGGAATTCGAATAGTATCCCTTACAGTAAACGTACAGACGTGGGGGTAGGGCGTCCGTTACCCTTAGGGCCCGAGATTCCCGAAATATGTACACGCCACCACGCCGAGGGGGGAGGGGTGGGGTCCCCGTATGTGCCTCCCGAGCTCAGGGAGGCTCACAGATGTCCCTCCCCATTGGAGCCCATGTTAGGGAGGGTAATATGAAAAATCGTGTCCCTCCCCATAGGACTCCATGTTAAAGGTGCGTCAGAACTCTCGTTTCTGTAACTACTTCTACAGGTCAAGTCAATTGGCAAGTTACCAAAAAAATAAATAAAGTGTACACCTTGAATGAGCCATTCACAATGAGCAGATATGGGATAATCCCCTTTGCCATCTGATATTATACCAGTCGTAGAGTTGAGCACCTGACGAAATCCATCTGTTTTACCATTACAAGCAATGCATTCTGGCACCAACAATATGGATAAAACCGTTATACACAATGTGTAAATAATAGCTATACGTCGGCTCCAGGAGATCCTGAGTTCCATTTTATCTGTTAGAATATGTGTTTGTAAACTGCAGCATGTTTGTTACATGAGAAATAGGCTACTGTTCATATTCAAGAGTGGGGTATATCCACAGAGTCTGTGTCGGCTCTGTATCCTGGTATCTAAAGTAACATACACACAGCATAAGAAATAGTATACTGCTACTACTAAAAGTTTATGTGCATGTATTTTCATATATTTAGACTTGAAATGAAGGATGTCAAAATTGATACTCCACTGGAAAATAAACAAAGCAATTGCCTTCAATTTAGATATCCTCAAACGTAACTTTCGTCAATAATCCTGTGGACTTTGATGCATCAGTGTTTAGAGTGTACATCCATTGTTCATAAACTCAACATTATTTTAATTTTTGTTGTATATGTAGCACTTCTGAGATTGAATACTCCTAACAAAGTAAGGTTTGGTTCTTGGTAATATTTCTACACTAAAGCTCAAAATGCCGCAAACAGCTTGGAATGCAGTAGTTTGAAGTGGGTGTGAAAACTTGAGATTCCCTGTATAATGTCAAGTGCCTAGTCAAGGCCTTACAGGACTCTCTCATAACTGAAATTGAAAGATTTTTGGAATTCCTGTCTACATGTAGCTATTTATTCGATAATATATGACTTTTTGGCAAAACATTTTAGAGGAATCATTTTAATTGGAGCACCTAGCTGACGAGTTAGCGTGTCCACATTACAGAATTTTTCTAAAATGATATATTTGGGTCTAGAGCTTTATAATATTTATGGGTGTGTGAAATATTTGTTGAGGAATGAACTTGAATGCTTGATGATGGTGGGGGAGAAAGTAAACAGATAAGGGAGAACGAAACAATTTTAATTATATAGCCAGGTCAAGTCCGGAATGGTAGGGGCTGGCTGACCCTTGGGGCCATGATGATCTGGCCGGAAGGAAGTCCACGACGTCATGTGCTACCCTTTACCTGGGCTAGTATTTAAGACCATGGCAATGAGTAAGATATAATATTAGTGCGTATATCATATAAGGTGCGTAGTGCACTCATTTGTGGGGCTCTAGACTTGACTATATAAAATTCAATGACTTTCTTGACTAAACTGATCACTTGGTCAAGGCCGGATCATTTGACATCCTTTGAAGTAAAAATGTTATGTTTATCTGAGAGTATAGGAACAATATTTTCTTTAAAACCTTTCTTTATCTTGGCTACAAGTATTGTTTTATAACACTTTGACTAGAAGGCGGCCATTTTGAAAAGTGAGTGACCATTTTTGAATGGTATAATGGTGAACTTTGAATTTTGACTTTGTAAAAATTGCAGTCATGTTAGTTCGATAGGATTTGCTACGCTTTTGGCATTGCTGTTGACTAGTTCATTAAAATAATTGAGATACAAACACAACTGATATTAAAATTTAATCGAAACTGAAAGAAGTAATGTAATATAAGTGATTATAAGTAAGCAGAAAATAATAGAAATGAAGTTGTTGAAATTAAGTAAGTGAAGAAAATGCTTCTTTGAACAGGCAGGAAGTAGGTTAATTGGTATTTTGGTAAGTTATGATGAACTAAAGTTACATTATTTTGGTAAATTATGATGAACTAGCGTTTCATTTTGGAACCTTGAACTGTTGTAGGTTTTGAGGCTTGTGTCGTTGTAAGAGTTATGTTTAGTTGAAGGCAGGGGTAATCCCGTTTGAGTAAGTCAAGGGTTTCGTCTTATGTTTTAAATAAAATGTCTTGGTGCAATCTTTTCGTTAATATTTTTGAAGTTTTTTACTGAAAATATTACTAGTATGGCTGTTTATGTGTGTTATTGATGTGACATGCCACGTTGCAATATTATTATGACTTATTAAAATTATGATTAAAACCGTATGCCCAGATAAATAAGATCATATTCAGTGGCGTAGGAACAATGTACGCCAAAACGGCAGTGCGTAGTGTTGAAAAGTGAGAATAAAAAGAATTTTCCTATGTTCTCTAGTCATATTATTCAATGCTTTATTGTACTAAAAATCCCTTTCGGGTGAGTGTACAGCAAATAAACATGATAAAATAAAACTAAAACTATACATACAATTACAATAACATACAATGCAAATTTTACATGGCATATAATGACAATATAATGTGATTGACTGATCATTAGATATATACCAACAACTACTATTAGCCTACACCTACATGTATATATTTATATTGATAATATAGTTGTTGATCTCTTTTCAATTATTTCATAAAGGTATTTTGCAAAGGTGATACACATGTTACCCTCAGCATTAAACATATAATTAGCCTTTTCTTCGGTAGTCAATACAGTTAGATTTGGGCAAATCGAGTTAAACGTATCAAAGTATTCATATCTCATTTTTTCCAATTTTTGGCACTCAAAAATAAAATGAATTTCCGTACCAGTGGTAATTTTACATAATTTGCATTTTCTTTGATCTCTCGGAACTATTGGTCTTGTATACCTTCCTCGCTCTATTTCTAAATTGTGTGCACTTATTCTTAATCGCGTCATAGATTTCCTATGTTCGGCGTTCTTTATTAAATTCAAATATGGTTCTTTTCCCCATCGTTGTTTGATATTATTCAAAAATTCTAATTTCCCTTTATTATCATTGACAGTTTTTTCCCAATATTTTATATATCTTTTTTCAAGGATTTTCTTAATATCAAGCGGTTTACTTTTAATGTAATTTTTATCTTGTGGTTGAACATATGCCATTATTTTATCAATGTCATAGTACCATGATGGTTGATTATGAACTTTTGATAGTTCAATACTATCTGCATATGCATTAATTAGTAATGAACTCGTTCCTTCATTTTCTATATGATCTAAGTATTTAACTTGTTGGTAAAATATATTGATAAACAGAGGGAATCTACCTAACTCACCCATCGTAGCTAAATTACTCGTTTTTCTATGCACCCCTAATAGAAACTTCAAAAAAGATAGATGTAGTAATTCCGGTGGAAGTGACTTGTCATATTTCATTTCAAGGCCAAAATCTTTATTTTTCAGAAGATCTTTATTAGTTATTAGACCAGCACCCCAGATTTCACATCCATATAATAAAATTGGTTTTACTAATATGTCAAATAATTTCAGGCACAAAGTTAGGTTAATATCACCATGTGTAAGCATACTTATCAATTTGAATTTCGCCTTTTCTGCTTTTTCTTTAATAAAGATTGCAGCTTGTTTCATCGATCCGTTGGCATGGAATTCCATACCCAAATAAGTATACTTTGATACGTTTTCAATTACCTGGTCCCCAATGTAGAATATATCATTACATCGTTTACCACTTTTATTAAACATTACAATTTTAGTTTTATCAGTATTGATATCTAAGTTCCATTGTTTACAATAATTGTTTAATTTTTTCAATTTTATGTCCATATCAGTTTTATTTGCAGTAATTATGGCTAAATCATCTGCAAATAGCAGGCAACTTATTTTTTGTTTTTGTAATTTTAAGTCTGATTCAAGTGTTAATTCTTCAACAACATCATTGATGTAAATATTAAACATTAATGGACTGAGTGGGTCCCCCTGTTTAACCCCCCTCTCACATTTAAAGATATCAGTATGGTCACCGTTACTGTTAATTCTAACTGATGCCATTGAATTAGTATACATGTGTTTTACCATGTGATAAAAATGACCTCGAATTCCTGCTTGCAGAAGTTTGAGATACAGTCCCTTATGCCATATCGTGTCAAATGCTTTTCTTAGATCTACAAAGCAAATATACATTTTCTTTTTCTCAAAGTGTATAAATCTGTCAATTAGCGTACGAATAATAAACATATGGTCTGTGGTTCGTGACTTTTTCTTGAAGCCAATTTGGTTTTCCTGTAACATTTGATTTTCTTGAACATAGTTATATAAACGATTATTCATTATTATGGAGAACAATTTTGACAAGCAGTCTGATATAAATAGTCCACGATAATTTCCAGGATCACTTGAATTACCCTTCTTGAAAACTGTTATTATTGATGATACATTCCACTCTTTTGGGAAGAGTGTATTTGAAAACATAGTATTAAACATCTTTAAAATAATATTCCCTATCACAGGGTATGATGTTTTTATCATTTCATAACTGACACCATTATGGCCAGTCGCCTTTTTATTTTTCAGGCCTTTCACTGCTTGCCAAAGCATATTGTCATATTTTCTCTTTGTTCATAAATTGTAAAAGTAATCTCGAGCACACTAGCCTAAAGAAATGTTTTGTGGATACCATATCATTATTGGTCTGTCTGGAAAATATCATTTAACAGATTGAACTCCCTAATTACCAACATGCTTTATTTCATGAAAATCGAGCCACTATTGAATGTCTTATGAATACAATTTTGCCAAATATTCGTGAATCGCGTTCTCTTCACGAATTTGAGAGGAAAACTGTTTTTTTTTCAAAAACTACTTGATAAATACCTTTGACATTTTTTCTGCATTTTCCGTAATGCTTATGCAAACTATGGTATCATATAATTATAATGATGAACCTCTTTAAATTTAGATGTACATTTTTTTTATTCTCCCCTACCCCAATTTTTCAATTTCACTATCGATTTATATTCCGTTGCTATGCAAAATCATAGACACGAAATCAAAGTTAAGTCAACAATTATCTATTTTCTTACTAAATCACTAATTGTTATCAGATTATTGGTAGTACTTTTTGAAATATGGATGTTTAAGACAAAAACAACTTGAAAATGCTGATTATTCAATTACATGTTCCATTGATTTCAGTTCTAGAAAAGCGATTACCTATTTTTTTTTCATTTGAAAAATAATAGATTCTTGTTTTATAACATTTTTGGCACCCCCTAAGTCACGTTGACCTCGATTTGACCTTTGTGGTGGGTGTGTTTATTTGTTTCATTGATCACGAATGCGTTTCTTTATATCAATTGATCAAACTAGTTTCTTTAATCTGTACGTATTGTATTGCACGGTACACGATGGAATCAGACAATACTATATATATCTTAATTCAATTATTCGAAAATGATTAAAAAATCTCTAATTGTTTTTTGGAAATTGGTCGTCTCAATCGTTCGAGACATTAGCAAAGTGAGAATGATTTGTGTCGAGATTTAAAAGATAGGCTTTCCAAGGTGATTTTAAATGATGAAAATCATTCGAACATTTTAAAGCACATTAAAAAGGTATCAGGGATTTAAAGCTTGCATATAAAATCGAAACGCCAACCTATACGTATGACCAATCGCCCATATAAATGCATCACTTAAGTATTTCCGTTCACATTTAGGTTGTGAAAAACATTGCAAGCTTAAAATCTCTGTTACCATAAAATGACGTTTTACAAGCATAATATAGGCGTTTTGATATAGAATATTGACACAATTGTTTCATATTTTTTTGGCGGGATTTTTGGCGTAGTGTTGCATTTACACCTTCCTACGCCCCTGATATTATCTACCATAGGTGGCACTATATGTGTTTAAATAATTAAGTTTTATTAAATTAAGTATATGTATATTACCTATCTTTTCGGCGAAAGCCATTGTTTTTTTAATTTTCATGGATAAATGTTCTATGTATTGTTATATGTGGGATTCTGTTTGTCTTTGAGGGGGGTGAGTGTAGCACTTGATTGCTCTTGTATTTCCATGTATGTACATGCTGTCTGCTTACGTCATTGCTTTAGTGGCTAAAAGTGTGTCTAAATATATTCTACTTTAGTTCTCTGCTATGTGTCTGAGGATCAACACCTCAGATGCATAGCATAGATTTCATAAATATATATTATCATTGAATCAATAGCAAAAAACAGACTACATTATTCTGTTTAATTTGGGATTAAAGAACACATAATTATAATAACTACAAACATTTAAACATTCAACATTTGACAACAGTATATTAGTGTAGTTACACGTAAAAAACAAATAAATTAAAAACTTTAAAATTTTTTAATTGAAGCAGTAAATATTTCTCGTATTTTGATTGGCTCATTGAAAATTTCATGACATACCCCATGTAAGTTATATGTTACCAGATACTAGTGACATCTTTGAATAGATATAAATTATAAATTGTTGCAACTTATAGTACTACGGATATAGTTACTTCAAACTTCAAAGATAGTGTAAATGAATCTGGGGAATAGGCACTAGGCATGGTAATTACCTAAATTTACTTTATTGAATTTCCATGAATTTGTTCTCACTGGTAGGGGTGTATGTGTAAGTCTTGTAAGTATTCTGGATGTTTTTAATATCATTATTAATTTGTCATTGAATGGATAAAAACATGCATCACACTCCCATGCAGCGCTAGTCTTCTATTATCCCGAGACACTGCTTGAGAGTTTGAACATGCATGATTTTCTCACTTTTAATTTCTAAGAAAGTATTAATCCATATCCATGGGCTTAGATTCTCACCATTGTTCTCAGGGCAATTCTTGCAAAAACCTCTAACCAATCAATCAATGTTACATAACAATATTGGCTTTTTAAAAAATATAATTTTTTAATAAGTATCTTTAATTGAAAAACATAAAAGACAATTAATTCTTTTAAGTATTTATTAATTCTATTTATTAATAAACTACTCTTTTAAAGGAAGAAATAAATAACATTTTAACATGAATTCTGAACTGACAAGATTTTGAATACAGATATAGAATACAGAGCAGACAAATGAATTCATAGTTATTGAAATCATTTAAACTAGATTCATAAAATGAGACAGTACACTATTTTCAATTACATCAAGACAAACACCAATTAACAATATTCATGTCTTCAATTTCGATGCTATACATATTCAAAGTTAATTTCCTATGAGGAATCATTTATTCTCTTGTCAATTCCCTCACATTCCTGCCCCCCCCCCCTAGACCCCCCCATGTTTTAATAAACTGTAACTTCATGTACTTCAAGTAATCAGTCTATACCATCCTATCCATAACCCCAATTCACCCTACAACACAACAATATTAATACTCTATAGGTTGCCCCATATACATATTTAATGTATTTATGTATCAATTATGTCTTAATGTACTGTAGAAATGTACATGTACTTAAAAGGTAACAATTAATAAGTAAAAAGGCTTTTTTCTTACAACACTTGAGGCTACTTTATGTAAAGTCCAAGAGTTTTGACTTAACTAAATTAAAATATTTCATTTTTTAGGATAAATAGTTTTTAAAAATGAACACCACTTTTTATTGCTATTGAATCCAAACATTTCTGTATTTTCAATCTTCAATAAGCATATTGATCAGATAATTTCTTTTTTCAGGTAGGCTATCACATTTTGAAAATATTGTTTCCAATAAGCTCCTCCCTCCAGTCCTCTGCATCCTTTTTAATGAGCAATATACAACAACTGTGCAAATGTTCTAAAATTCTTTTGATGAGCTTTTTGTGAATTAACCATTTTCTAATAGCATATAAAAATACCAGCATTACTGAACCTTTGATATACACGCATTCAAAGTATATGAGGGGCTAACCTGTCTACAATATATAAATTTTACGATTACACATTTACAATAAAGACCTAACCATGATAGAGAATAATAAGAAACCCAATTACATCACATCCAACTCGAACAAAAAATGACTTATGTAATTTTGACTATGCCATGGTGTACATGTACGAGGGTTGTCCCAGAAGTAATGCACTATGTGCTCTAACTTTATCAATGATTGATATTTTTCCATGAACTTTTCAGTAAATGTTCCTTAGAGACATTTTGAATATTCTAAAAAATTTCATGTTGACTGATGAAACTATATTGATGTTATAATAAAATCAAGTTGGTGAGTTTGGGTAGGGCGGGGCAGGTTATACAGTCACGTCAAAATGCATAAAAAATTTAAAATATGAAATAATTAATCAACAAATACCACTTGGTGAAGCTAAAAGAAGTATGCTCAAAAATACATTTTAAGATACTAAATTACTATGAGCACATCCTAGATTTAATGGATGTATATTGCACAGTGTCCCAATTCAAATTTTCCCAAAATATTGCCCTTTGCATGCTATGTACTTTTGATGCCTGTCAGGTCAAACACTCTCGGCAATTTCTTCATTGTGACTTGTGGAGTTTTTGCCTCCAATGTTTGGAGTTGTCATACAGGGTCAAATCGTCTCTTTTAAATCTCTTCTGCCACCCCATAGTTGTAGTTCTATCTGGTATACACTCCTTATATAATTTCTTCATGGTAGCATTGTTTTGCGTGGCTGTGAGTCTAAGTGAAGTATGAAATTAGGCCACCAAACGCAAGGCCGCCTGTTATCAGGTGAGAATTGCAGCCATTTTTGCAATTTCTTGACTGTGACTGTACTTGAATTCGTGACTATTGAAATGTGGTATTATGACATTACAGTGCTAAATGTCATTATTCATACTTGGTTAACATCATGCTGAATAAATTTAACAATTTCCCAAACATTTTGACTATTTAAAGGAAAGAAATATTAATAAAATAACACTTTAGATCTTTTCATAATTATAAAAATTGGTACCTGCCCCGCCCACCCCTACCCCAATGTTGTTATAGCAACCATATAAAGACTTAATATTAATGTTGGATGTTGAAACTTCAGGATATAATAGATAAAACTTCAATTGTTATATACACAAAATTTCAGCTGAATTGAAGAATATTAAAAAAAGTTAGAGCATATAGTGCATTACTTCTGGGACAACCCTCGTATACAATCACATTTATGATGGGAGTAGACTTTCTAGAGAGTGGCTCCAATATCAGCAATATCTCTGCATAAACAGATATTATGTTTTTTATATTTTTGATGATGAATGAATGATCCGTCTAACACTTTATGAATTCTTATGGTATCTTATATCATGTTTTAAATCATTTGGGATAATTTTACTTCTCAGTTATTTGATGTATCAATCATAGTACCATTTATCAAAATATTTTCTATTTCGAAAAATGAGCAAGAATACAGAGATTAGAGCTACCTACTAAGTAGAATTTGACTGGCCAAATTTTCAAAATTATTTTTTCTATTGCTTCTAGATTTCTCTCAAAACAGTCTTCTCTGTTCTTCATGATTTTGGTACACATGTCAGTATATAGTACCCTCGACAGCCACATGAAAACCATCAATTCTTCAATTAGCCTAAAATATTTATGAAACAATATTGTAAAAAGGAAAGTAAATGTGTAATTAGAATTTCTCAAAGCTTCAATATGAGCCAGATTTGACATGATTCAGAAGTGGCTGTTTGGGGTACTATATTAAGCAGATACCTTTTAATATTGGATTATGCTTTAAGATCTGCTAGAGTAAAATGATGTCCTGAAATTGCACTGAATGTTTTGAGTGAGATCCTACTACATGTAGATGTATGTTAAAATATGCCTAGTAGTACAGAATTGTGATGACAGGGAGCTAAATATTCCCCAACCAAGTGCAATCATTGTCTCACAAAATGATCCAAGAACTGACACTATTTCTGGGTCTATATACCATGTTGCAGTTAGAAAATATCATACAAGAATATTTGAATTATTTTAAGATCCTAGGAATATATCTATGTTATTCTGGTCCAAATGTCATTTGGCTTGGTCCATGCATTTTCATGTATCTTCTATACATCTTGTGTCTGGAATTTTCAGCTAGTTTAATTTTCATCTCTTCTTCCTTTTGCTGTTTCCATTCCTGAAAAAAGTATTTTGTTCATACACAAAACAATTTCAGTACTGATCTCCACAATTCAACACAGATTTTAGCATTGTCTTAATGATGACCAGTGCTGAAAATATTTTGCTGATTAACTGATAAACCCTTTGTGTTTATAAACACTCTATTTAAAAATGTTCTCTTTACAACTGATAAGGCCCGGTGAGATATTATTCCTTAACATTAGAGTTCCACATTACCAAATGTTGCTTTTTGTGCTCTTAGTTATAATTTATGTACAGCCAGATATTCTATTGGGTAAGACATATTAGCTAGTATTCTACTTTTGTATTATCTTTAACTTGTGCAAACATTACTAGTTATAACTTGTTATTGCATCAAATGTCATTTCAATATCTTACCAGAAAATTCTCTTTTATCCAAAGTTCAGATTCTAAAAAGTATTCTATTTCAGATTCATCTTGAGCCTGAAAAACAAACACATTATGTTTAATAGTGAGTGAAATTCTGCGCTAATGGCCGATGTGAAAAAGTCAGTCCACCGTAGTAGGAAACCCATGATCCCTCGCTTCCTTGCAATTACCTACATATTACCTCGTATTATGATGGCATTCTTTGCAAATCACATAATATAGGAGCATGCCTATTGTAATTATATGGACACAAGCTTGATTCATTGATCTCTTCACTTCTAGACACTAGAATTCTTTAAAATTTTCTCCACCTTTTTTACACATGTGAGTTTTAAAACATAAGTCATTATGTGAACATTGAATTAAAACTGTCAAAGTAAGGACAATTTTAGAGGCAGTTTAAACATTTTATGGGGTCTTTAAATTCTTTTTATAGATACTTACATCCCATTGGCTCTGTGAGAGTTTCATATATTTTCTAATAATATATATTTGTTCCTCCTCCCCATAGTCTTGTCTACATATAGTGAACTTCCATATCCACCTGGCGTACCAGTAGATATACATCACTAAGTAGTAAGGGCTGAATAAAATGAGCAACCACAACACACCATATATATCTGGCTTGCTATAGCCACCTCTGAAAAATACAACATAGAAGCATTTAATAATTGTTTGAGTTTAAACAGAAATAAAAGGACCTGTCCTTAATCAGATGTAACCCTTGTAAGGAGAGCTCAGAAATTGATCAATGAAAATGAATTCATATATAAATTGTATTTCAACATCTGGCCAGAGATAATCAATTTGTAGAGTTTATTTCCTTTTATTAAGAAGTATTAAAGCCATGCCCAGATTGGCTTGTATCATGGCTTAAGAATGAAAATTGAAGGTCGTTCTATAGGTTTTATATTTAAGTATAATGAGGTAATTCAACCGAGCTAATCACTGTAATCAGTAATCAGCCTACACGTTTAATCAGTGATACAGACAATAGAAAATTTACTCACTTTATATCCATCTTTTCTGCAACTATATTACGCAGCACTGCCTCTTCCTCTTCACGGATTTCCTCCTAAAATTTAAACATAATTTTTCTAAAATCTTACACATTTCTAGTAATCAACTTTGTCACCTTCTTCACATCAATACTATTACCAACCACCTGATAACTCTCTGAGCCAATCAGAGTCTGTTGTTCCAATCATGCTTCAGTGATCAATATCGTTACATTTTAAAATACATCAAAAACTGTAATATTTGAACATCTGCATAATATGAGCCCGTCTCAATATGGACACTTTTCATAGTCCCATTTACTCCCTTGAAACCTTGATATCTGAACAACTGCTATTCAAAACACCATGTTTTGCAGGGCCCAATGGCGTTCAGATTAGACAGATTTTATGTACTGTTAACAGCCAACCCTCATATGTAAAACACACTAGCCAATCAGAACTTGTTGTTCAATTCTTCCATTCCATTTAAATTAAGCCAAAACAGAATATTCTCTTTTAATTTACCCTGTTACCATGGTGATTATTCTGAACTTGAAATGTAAAAACTTATAAGTTAGCATTTATGAACAGCCAGATTGTATATTGACATGACATATAAACAAATTTAGCAAGTCACAAATGAAGTCTCAAAATGTCAAAGTTGTCCCAAAATGTTGCAAATTTCAGACTGGCCATCTCCCATACCTTAGATTTTGATCTGTCCCTCTTTTTCTGCGTGTTCAGGAGTCCTTCTTTCTTAGCTATTTGTTGGGCTTGTAGTCTGTACTTGGGAACTGTCACCAGGTATTTAATTGCAGTGTGGTAGTTGTTCCATGCTGACCAATACTAAATTTGAAAAATCATTGTAAAAAACACTTCATTTTCATCAACAAACGCTTCTTTGACATATCCAAAAGTCATTGGAAGGTTATCCCTGCAATTTACTTTGCACAGTTCGGAGGCTTAAAGGATGAGTCTGGGAATGAGTCTGGGTATCGACTTAGAAAATATTGAAAATTGTAATGTCTGAAAAACCAAGTCAATCCCGCATATTATTAAACTTCAATATCTTATCCTTCTTCTGAGATTACAAAAATATCAATTTGTATCACAATTGATGAAGAATATTGGCATCAAAGACAGTGCATATCACTTTGTCAGAATTGAAAATAATCAATGGCAAATATTAAGTGAATTATTTATGCAAAAAGTTTGAAACATATCTTCCAAAACATTGGTTACTTTCTTTGAATAGACATTGAATGGTATTTCTGGATAAGTGAATTGGTGTTTATCTGGGTGATCAAGGGATTATAGTCACTCAAAGTTACTGAGCATCCAGTTTTGAGACTTCAATTGTGTTGGTGATGTTACCCATATTTCAGTCAAATTCATGCTGAGCACAACATTTTGGTTTCAATTTTATAATCTCTATACATGACCCTGGTGATGAAGAGTCAGAATCAGTCAAAAAACCTAAACCGGAAAACTGTGCTCATTGTGAAAACTAAAAGTGAAGCAACTTTTTTCCTGATATTTCTTACAACAAATGGCAACCATTTTGTTTTTCCCCCTTCAAATTAAACTGGCGGGAAATTCAAAAATTTGAAAAACATTTTAATCCTCAAATATATTTCAAAAATATGATTTTCTTTTTAATTCTTCATCGGTCTTAAGTTATTTCTTCTTTGTATGTCATACATGTTGCCATTGGTGTTTTTTTCTATGATAATGACTATTTTTTTGTTTGTTAAGATATTTATTCTGACTCTCAGCAGGGGTTAATTATGCACCAAAATTCGTGAAACAGTAAATATACTTATTAAATATAACTAGGACAGTAATAAAAACCATATTTTACATACATTTGACTGAGGGACCAAAAGGGCATATACCCAGACACATCCTTTTATCTTGCAATGTCGCTATGATGTCCGGTATTTCAAATATCCCATTCCGGAGTTTTATAAGGACATGCTTCGGTATTATTCTTCAGTCAATGAATGTGATGACCCACGGAATAGTGCTGAAGTTAAGAACGAATTTTTGTGGAATAACAAGAACATATTAAGGGAGGGTAAGCAAATTTTCAGGAAGGATCTATTTGAAAAACAAATAGTCCAAATACGAGATCTTTTAGACGAAGAGGGCAAATTCTTAAGCCATCGGGATTTCAATCTGAAATTCACGATAAATATTAACTTTCTAGACTATATGGGAATTATATCAGCTATTCCATCGAAGTGGATCTCCTTATTAAAAAGCGACCGCACAATGATAAGTGTATCAAACTATGAGCCCAGATTGGAATCTATCCATATTGCAGGTAAGATTTTCGATATTTCACAGCTGACCACAAAGCTTATTCAGTCATGTATAAATGAAAATAATTTTACTTTATCCAAAAGTGTGCAACAAAGCGCCTCGCAATTCAATGTCTCAGTAAATGACATATGTTCGATGGCTTACAGAGTAACAAAGAACAATTTTTTTCGCGAGCTGCAGTATAAAATCATTAATAATATTTACGCGACAAACCTGTATCTGAAAAGAGTAAAGATAAGGAAAAATGGCGCGTGTGACTTTTGTGGGGAGGAAGAAACTGTTCAGCACCGGTTCTGGATTTGCAAAAATGTACAACCTCTCATTAAAAACATGAAAATGCATTGGGAGCCAAAGGGTATAGAATTAAAGGAACAGCACGTAATAGTGGGATATTTTGGGAACTTACTTTTCAAAGAATTCAATTTTGCTATTTTAATTTACAAGTATTATGTGCATACGAAGATTTTTAGAAGAGAACCTATATCATACTTGGGGTATAGGGCGTATCTTTCCGAGGGCTCCAAATTAGATAATTATGATTTCTAACTTTAAATAGCGTTCTATGCTTTATTTTATGGCATGATTTTTCCTCTATATTTATGTGACATTTACAGTATGCATGTGTCTGACTGGGATGTATGAAAGATGAGAGGGTATGGATGGGTAAGAATGTATGGTGTGAAAGGAAGAATGTTTGGAGGTTGCTTTAAAATGTAAAATGTAAGAAGTTTTAAACTGAAATAAAATAAATACTACAAAAAAAAAAAAAAATCAACAAAACAAAATGTAGGCCCTATAGTTGTATTATTTTGCAAGTTTTCATCCAAGCTTTCCAATGATACATCATATACATTACCAATTATTAATAGCTCTATTCTTATTAATATTACTATTAAGATTATTATATGTCTTACCTGTATGACCGAGATGACTGATATTGTGACAGCGAGTACAATTCTGACATCAACCTTGGGTGCCACCCTGTGTTTATAGTAGCGGTAGTAATGAGAATAAAACTCATCTAAAATACAAAACAAACATGAGTTTTCTGTATCTGTATCCAAACACCTCTCAAACTTGTTTACATATTAAGAAACCATGAAAAGTGAACACCTACTAGTTCAAACACTATTGGTCAGTCCCAGTGGTGTTAAGATTAGAAGAGTTTTACTGTATATAATGATCAGTTGAGGATAATTTAAACCTCTAATGATTAAAGCTAAGTTCACACCATCGGCGCCTTGATGGCGCTTTAAAGTGGTGTGCAAAGCAGCTTTGCACAGCGCTTTAAACCGCAATCAAAGTGCCGTTGGTGTGAATTAGCTTTACTGGTATGAGTACAAGGTTTTTGTAATTGTTTAAATTAAATTTTTTGAGCTGAAAATTATGACAAAAACTTAGTTTTGAAAACAAATTTGCATCTGATATTCAAGTCAAAACAAACAATCAAACAACAAAACAAAACAACCAAACAAACCTGGATTATCCAACATGTAGTCATAATCTTTCCTACTCTCCTCATCTTTCAGGATCTAAAACAATAGGATATAGTTCTAAATATGAAACAATGTGCAACGTAAATATGTGATATCATATCAAATACATGTAATTTATTTAGGATAATTGATATTATTTCATCGATGAGTATGATATCAATAGCGGCCAAGCGAGCATATTGGTGTTGTAATTTTGATTTCACATGCAAATGCACAAGTACTTTATACAAGGGGTGATGAATAATTAATGAATCATTACATGTAATTACCTTTCAACAGTAACTAGCACGAAGACAAAACACAAACCAGCCTCATAAATGTGAAATGAAACATATGTGGTTGAAATAGGTTTCCATCAAAAAAATAGGAAAAAGATGAAACATACATTTATTCCATAACATTTTTTGATTAATAACTAAAAGTTGCTTTACCACATATGTATTTCAAATAATAAAGAAATTGAGAGTTCTTATATTCTGACAAATATCTCTTACAAAGACTTCAATATTAACTTATTGATTACCCCTCGTATTTGTAATCTCAGATTGGATGTAAAGAATCTATGTTTGTAATTCTTATGTATGTATGGAATTTGAATAAAACAGAGATATGAATAACTATTGAATATATTAGTCTATCATTCTGATACTCAGACCATCTCTGCTATGCACAAGAATTCTAGAAGGAAACTGAGAGAAGGCTGTGATATCTCACGATGTAGTCTATAGTCTATAAGTTATTATTGAAGTACAGATCATATTTGCTTTTCGGTTTCATTGTGAATTGATCTACCATAGAATTAACTCAGTATAGTATTTCATATTTTAAAATATAACACTTGGAGATATTAATTCAATAATTTCCATTGAATTAATAACAATTAACGATGTGAACAAACACATGTTGCTTTAGCATCCAGATGGATAAATGGATAGATTGGAAATTGTAAAATATAAATCAGCATGTACTCTTGATTGTAATACTGAACCATGTGATGTAAATAAAAATATGGCCAGATGAGACAGGTTGAGAATTTGAAAAATCAGGAAAAACGGGACTTTTTGATTTTTGACCACTTTTCAACAATTTTAAAACTACAGTATTATTAAATATTGAATTGAGAGAAACTCCTAAGATAAACACCGTCATGTGTAACCCATTGAGTTATATATGAACCCTCTTCAAGCCGCATTGTCATATATTAGTAGGTAGAAGAATACTTCCATTTTCTATTTCTAAATACTGATCCAAGTTAAAGAAAATATATCAAAAGAAATTACAATAATGAAACTAAAATGAATGAAGATACTTTCAGTAGCAGGTCTTGAAGGTTATGAGAAACTTGCATTCAATGATGCCCACACCCAAACTTTAAAAGCTTAATAAGTTCTTGAAATGTGTGTTTGAGAATACCATTCATGAAATCTATACATATAGATGTATTTACATTGATTCTTTAAACATTACCGAAACCAAATAAAACTCTGTAAACTAGCAAACACAATTTTTGGACACTTAAAAATATTTCAATGTGCATGATACATGCAAGGCCACTGGAACCTGTGAAGGATAGATAGGGATATAATAGGGCTAGAATTGTACGGAATTGTTTGAGATTTTATAATATTTGGCAATATAATTGGTTTAAAAGTAAAAAAGTTAAACCTAAAACAATAATTAGTACACTAATACAAAACATATTTCACAATTCAGGCCCATAGCCAGGATTTGCCAAGGGGGGGGGTTCACTTTTTGAAAAATTCCAGGGGGGTTCACTTGTGACAATTTTGGTCCAAAAATGGCCAAAATCACTTAAAAAGGGCTCAAAATGGTGAAAAACTGCATGATTTTGGGGGGATTCGCTCGAACCCATCTAACCCCCCTGGCTACAGGCCTGCAATTTCAATCAAAGAATGTTAACAATAATATTTTCCTGTAAACGTTTCATGAGACACAAGTCATGCCTACATCAAACCTAGTAACGCCAGTGCATCATATGTAATTTGAGGATTTAAGCACTGGATTCAGTGCAATGTGGAATGATCATTCCTTAAAGGTGTTGCTTTCCATAATTTGCACAAGATGAACAGCATCGAGTGTTAATTTTAGGAAACAACGCCTCATAATCAGACACAACTTGCCAAGCTATGTGTGAATAGGCATTATTCCATTATCATGATGATGTTTCAGTAAATCAATACAAATCAGACTTGATGTACAATATGTGCACATGTATGTATAATTGTATATTTCATGACCCTATCAGTACATAAATGAAATGAATGTGCCTTTAATTGCACAAGCCATTCAAATAGATTAGATAAATTATGAGAACTGATCAGATAAGGGACTGAAATGATATGATGAAATTGATCATTAACTCAAACTAGAAAATATGAACAATAACTTGTATATGTGAAACAATTCTCTTCAATTCGACAGGGGAGGGAAGAGGGGATGAGGGGAAGTGGGGAGTAGGGAAGTTGGGTGGAGGGGTCAGTCATACAGTAAAACCTGAAAAGTGGGTCACACTTTCATGGGGTGTCAAAGGCATTCCAGGTACACAAGTTTTACTGTACATACTTATGTCAATGATCTGAGGGTGCTTAGTTAGCATAGATTAGCAGGAATTCCATGTAGAATCAGAGTTAAGCATCTATACCTCTTCTGTTCAGAGATGGAGTCCAATTGTTGAAGGATGAAAGTTATCTTGATTTCGTTAGTGAAAATGTTAATTTCAAGTGAAATTCAATTCTCCCTTTCGCGGTTCGCCCTTTGAATCAGAACGTTCGCAAATATGCACTGAAAAAGCACTCAAAAAGGACAAAGTTTGATTGGTCAATATTTTCCCACTATGCATTTCGCGTAGCTATTTGCCTGACCCGAAAGTTCTAAATCAAACTAATTACGCAATTTTGTTTTTACACCCGCACGCTAAATAAAACAATGTCACCATCGGAAGTGTTCTTCTTTGTCATTGCTTTAATAGTCAGTATACCGAGTTTAATCAATAAAAAATTGTACGATGAACAACAAAATTCAGAAACTAGTACTATAGATTTGCTTTCGGACCACTGAACAGATTGACCTAGATAATAGCGACGCGTCTTCTTTGGTCTACTGCTCAGTTGTTTGTGGGTTTTCAACGTAACTCTATAATGTAATTTGAAGATGAATACTTTTATTCAGTTGTTGCATCGATGTTGCAGTTTGTAGTGCGGTAAGATTGGCATGAAAGTATTGAAAGTCGAATGGAATTGTTTTTTTCCAATATGGCGACTAGTCAACTGATCAAGTGACCTTCTCTTCCGGAATATTTTCTCACTTTTCAATCATCGTTTTCACCACACCATGAATCAAAACAATGAAAAAAATAGCTGTTATATTAAGATTTATAAGAGATCAATCGTTTCTCATAATTTTTTCTGTACTCTCGCAGGGGAATATGAACGAATATATCGATTGAAAAATAGGTGTGAAAATCCCCATGTTAAAGGGAATGCGAAGTTTCATGTTCTAATTTACACGCTGACTACTTATAACCATCATCTATCACTTCAGCTCACCCATTGGACATATCGTGTTTGAAATAACATATAATTCAAGTTAAAAATACCCATATCTGGATCGCTGCGGATGCCGCCATTGTTATGTATCAATGACGTCATTGATGCCTTAAAATTGATGCCTGGGAAGTGTCGCTATATAATCACGTCATACTCGGATCGCAGAAATAGAACACATTTCACTGATATTCTATTTCTGTCCGCTTAACATTGTTGCCGCGTGTTCATGTCCATATCATATTATATATTTGGAAAGGTTGTTTCAATATATTATTCACAGAAATTGAATTATTGCAATGTCTCTTTTCAAATGTTTGTATTTATTTTCTCCAATTTGATATGGTAAGTTTATAGGCTAGGTAGAAAAATCACCAAACTTATGAGATATCGGCTGCGCGATTCGGAAAGTCACTGGTTTCGACTGAAAAGTCATCGCCTTATATTCCACTTGAAAAATATCCACTAGAATTATTTTATATAATGATAAGGTATACGTCGGCAAATAAGCTTACTCCCGCAATTGCTTTCTTACCTAATCATACATGGTAGATTTCTTCAATCTGTAGTATTCTATTCAAATATGAATAGGTGCATATTGGAGAATGAAAGAAATAAAACGAAAAGTAGTAATCCAATGAAAAAGTATCTCCCTAAAGTATTTATCCATTTAAATTCTGATGAAAAACGCAAACAAAAAACGAAAAATCGATGTCGTCTAAATGATACGTATGTAAATGTCAATCTCCTAAATATTAAGATTGGCAATAGCTTTACAAGGACATGCCAATTTCATTTCAACGACGATAAGGCAATTGCCGTATTGATAGTACGCCAATATTTTAATATTCATTTTATTATATACTAGGCTAGTATTTATTTTTTGTTAAAAACAATTCCTGATTTCGAGCTCGAGTTTAATTATATAACATCCATGGTAAGTACAAATCTACAGAATTTTCCAAATAATGATTTTCAATTTAATGGCATACAACCTTTTATTTTTCCATATCGTTTCTTCTAAAATAAGTGGAACTTAAAAAGCTTCAGTCACATTTGCTCAATGCGACCGCACGTCGACCGTATTTCCCTGAAATCAGTAAATTTCCGCGGCAAACATAGGAAAACTACAGTCGCCTTAAGGTCACCTTGCGGTCTACGTACACGGCATATTCAGTTTTTACAGGGCGTAGAGTCAGGGATATAACTTTTCGTTCCTGTGGTCACCGTACATGTCAACAAGCAGCAGCCAAACCGTAGGTCCCACGGCGGCCGTACGATGGGTTCACGGTCGACTTGCGACTGCGCTTGGATTTCATAGGTTACAATTGACCTTTCCGAACCATAGAACCCCTTGTGGACAGCTGCTTGTGGATACCTTCAAGAAAAACTACGCACGTCGTAGGGCATCCCTACGCTGATCGTGCGTCATCATTTCTCAGCAGTACGTGAATCATAGTTTTTCCTCATAATCAAGATACGCCGTACGGCTATCTTAGCAAATGTGACTGCTAAATTATCTGACTGCAAAAATACTTAGGCTACCGCAGAAATTATAGACCGTACGGTCCCCGTAAAAATGTGACGTGAGGCTAAGAATCCATGATAGTAATTGAATACGGTTTTTAAAATTTAATTTTAAAATTTTCTTCAAATACTTGTGTTAAAGATAAACATAAATGCAATGAATATTAAAGTACGAATTCATATTTTTGTAATGAGACTAGCAAATTATATCATCACCGAGATTGCATTCTTGGAAATTCAAGATGGGTTGGTTAAATTAATTTTATTATGTTTAATTCAAATAGTTTGCATTCGCCTGATAGAATTAGGCTAGTATTCGCATTCGCAGTTCGCATTTAGCGCTAGACCTAATAAAAGTTAAAAAGTCACAAATTCCAGATTATTTCAAGTGTAAATAACAATAAATGTAACCTGCATTCCATGTCTAGATAGGTAAAAAGCAATTCCGAAAATGCCGGCGTTAATATTCTATTGAAATTGTTCTTTATTATTGGTGGTATATACGTATTATTTTAGTTCCTTTAGAATGCTTTATTTGGTTTTGGAATTGCAACAACTCGGCATTTATTTTTGATTCAAAAATGGCGCCACAAAACTTTTGGAATGCCAAGGCATCAATATGGCATCAATGACGTCATAACAATGTCGTAAAGAACCACTTTACGGTTGAAATGGCAGCTCCGTGGTCCAGTTCATATGCTAAACCCGGGGCTCAATAACAATTAAGGGGATAATGATAGAACAACAAAACGAAGTTGGATTGAAAGATGTATCTTTATTCTAACTTCTTATCAAGTTTAAGGGACAAAACTTCGCATTCCCTTTAAACCTATGAGGCAAAACAAGGAAGTATTAATTTGTTCCTCCGCGAACTGCATCATGGGAAATATTTTGACCTTATAAGGAAAGATTTTTGCGTCTCCTCTTTTGAAGAGGGAACAACGATTTCGAGAATTGAATGGCAGTTCAACATTTTCCAATTTTGTAAAATGAGGGGATAGAGCAGGGTCACATTATGACAAAACTGACAGTCATATTTTGGACCCAATCCTGACATGTTTTAACATTATACAATTATAATAAAACAATAATTACCTCGTAAGCATTAGCGACTCTTTTGAATTCCACCTCTGCTTTCTCCTTGGCATCCTGGAACAACAAATAATACAATGTTATAACTACAAGATCAGCATGAGGAAAATGGGTATTGGTTCACATGCAAATTACATCGGGCCCCGTACGAGCTCGTACAAGCCTCGAGAATTACGAGCAAAAAGGAGCATGATCCTCGCACAGGCTCGTACGGAGCTTGTTTTCGAGACCCGTATGAGCTCGTACAATGGTCGTACGATGCTTGTAATTGTCCTTTTCGAAGCCCGTATGAGCATGTACGAGGCTTGTAATTTGAGGCCCGTACAAGCTCGTACGAGGCCCGTTATGGGACTCTTTTTCAGCACAAAAATATATCTAATGTCATCCTATCTCATTCACGTGTCTATCTATTCTATGTATGATTAATCATGTCAAACATTTTTCATATATTCTATAACAATAACATCTATCTACATCACATTTCAACTTATTCCAATATCTCATGCAAATTTTTTTATATACATTTACTTCACTTGTAGAGAAATATGGTGTCTCCCATTGGCAACCCTGTTTATTTTTTTCCTAGCTTTTATACTGTTTATAAATTATGATTTATTACGGGGATCATTACGGGCACCCTACGGTCAAGTAAGAAGGTGAAAAATTATGGGCTATTACGGGCCTTGTATTTACAACCTCTTACGAGGCTCGAAAATTACAAGCAATTACGAGACTTGTAACAAGGCCCGTAAGAGGTTGTACAGGGCCCGTTGACTCAACCAGCTCCATACGGGCTTGTATGGGGTCCGATGTATCATATCTGATAAATCATGATAAAACATGTCATCTCATTTCAGTGGCTTTTGGACATTTTGTGAAAATGATTGCCACATAAAGAAATATTGTAAAATGGGTACTGGCAGGGCCTAACTTGAGGGTCCATATCTGACACATTGTGATAAAACATCCCATTTCTTCTCAGTTCATATTCCAAGTGAAACACAAAGAACCTGATAGATATCATCATGCATCTACCTGACAAGGCATGGATGAGATGTTATATGTGGTTCAATATTGGATAAAAAAAATACTTACTCCTGCAGATACATTTACTACACAATATATGCTATATATACATATATATTATGTAATTGTTACAATTATCACTTGGTAGAGACAGTCATGGATTATTCATAAATTGGGTGCAGTCATTAGTCAATATTGTTAATTGTAATCATACTGTACATTGTACTACACTTTAGAAATAAACTAAAGCAATTATCTTATTGAATTAATTGAAACATGTGTAATAGTAATAGACCTGGAATGTTTGTATGTTTTCAAAATGACATTTGTCTGATTACTGACATAACGATTGCTTAGTCTACTACAGAGCTACAAAATACAAATTCAATAAAGTGATCACTGTATAATTTGATGAACGTAAAACTATAGTTTTTGGATGCAATGAACAAGAGGATTTTTCAGCAATATTTCGCACGATCAAAATTATTTAGATGACCTGAAATATGCAACAATCAAATTTTAAAATAGCCTTCTCAACAAAGGGGAACAAATCTTTTTGAATTTTCCTTTGTAGACAGGAGCGTTTAATTGAGCTAAAAGTGGTTTGTGTCTAGGACTTAAAGGAATTATTTTTTCAATCTGAGTGGTTACCTCACTTTAGACAAAGACATTGACATTACTTTAATTTAAGGATTCCCTTACCTTCTTTTTGTGCATATCTGGATGCCATTTCCTTGCCAGTTTTCTGTATGCCTTGGAGATTTCAGTCTGAAATTCAAAAATATAAATATGAAAATTCAATTAAATAATTATCTCATGAGAATATATGGGCAAAAGCATTCAATGCATTAATGATCTCTCTGAAAAAGTGTGTGTTCAAAAGATTTATTTAACCATAACGTGTCAAACCAGAAGCATTGCAAAGCAGTGTGGGAAATAAGTATTGTTGTGTCTAGCAAATGTTGTGTCTTGAAAATTGCCTTTTAGGTAAGTCAAAATGTTGTAGTCAACCCATTGCAGTCCACATATTCACAACACTTGGGACATTTTCTAAAACCAGCCATTTGCAAGTGTCAAAGCCTTATTCCCAAACTGCATAAGCATTTCAAATGGAGGATATTTAATGTAGTAAATAATATTAATTCTATTTCCATAATTTTTATGTAACCGATAATAATTGAAAGGCTTATTCTACAGTATAGACCAATTCACAACAAACTCTGTTATTGTAACAGGCCCGTAGGCACCTCTCAAGTCATTTTGGACCAAAGTTGTCTAATGTAAGCCCAACTGAGATTTTTGGAAAGATAACCTCCCTCGGCAGAAGCTAGCTATGGGCTTGTGTAGTCTAGGACTATATTATTCAGGATCCAGGGGGTCATTAACAGAACTTTCGTAGTTACGAATTCGCAAATCAATTGTTAATTTTACGAATTTGGTAAATATGCATTAACTGAACTTTCGTAAAGTTACGAACGATTCGCAATGTTATGAAAAAATGATGTCACATATGCTTTCGTTCGTAACTTTAATAGCACCTCAGACCCTTTCATAACTTTGCGAACAGCATATTTCTCATTCATTTTTTATGTAAGGTATACAGTTTGACAAAAACAAATTGTTTTTTATATGCATGCAGTTTCAAGCTGAAACATCCACTAGTTCTTACATGATTAGCAGATATGTTCCTGAGCTGGGAATCTTTGAGATAGCGGAGACAGGTTTAACCACAGCGCGCAATGATATTAAATGACGCCATGTTTTAATTTGTGCTGAATAATGATGTAAGATGATGTCACAATTCGAAATTTGTTTAAGAATGATAAAAGTTACGAATGACTTATGAAAGTGTTCTGTTAATGTAACTTTACAAATTACGAATTCGTAACTTTGCCAAAGTTCTGTTAATGACCCCCAGACTAATATGAACATGGAGTTTATAATGTTTTGGACTTACCCTGGCTGATTCTCTATCCACACCAAGAACTGGAAAATAAAAAATTGATTATGAATCATCTACTTTGTTGAATAACTTCTTTAATATATCCATGGCAGTTGCAGTTCTTGTCAGTTCTACATGAAACAAGTGGGTCCACAGGTTGAATTTTACTGTTGGGGAGAGTTACTCTACCTTAATCAAGTCTCTAGCCAAATTACTTGGCTAGAAGACCTGGCATGTGAGCCACAGTGCACTATAGTGCAAATGATCATACGGAGTAAAAATAAATTTATGTGTTATTTTAAAAATCATAATGAGAATATTTCATCAAATAGAATGTTCACGAATACTATCCTTTGTGAGATATTGCAAGCTTTCGTCTAAAATTAAATCAACGGCTCCAAGAAAAATGGCGGATGTTCAATGACAACGACAAAAACTGGATGAACATTCAACATATCGTTAATGTCTGACATTAGAGCTGGCTGTAAATTCGAAGTAGCGATCTAAAATACTTGAACTAATACACTGACCACTTCCTGTGTGTTTTGAAAGTTTTTGTGAGGTAATAAGACCAAAACTCGCAATTCAAATTGTGAAGTGAAAAAATGGCAGCTGGTTGATTTCAAATTTTATGATCACGACATGCAATATAATGGAAGCCTCAGACTAAGGTAAACTCTACCGAGCTGTGTTCAGTAAGGGGAGAGGAGGGTTCGCGATTCAATGATATATTATTTTAATTTCCAGTTGTGTGGCTGATATCTCTAATAGTCTTCCACTCTGGATTGTATTATTTGAACTTTTGTGCAACACCAACTCTCCCTGGTGTGTGGCCAATTGGACCCAATGGAGGACCCCTAAATTTCAATATGCCAACCATGGCATGCCACTCATCCAGTTTATAAATCATCTAGATCTTTAAAACTAATCTTGCAATTAACTAATATGTGAGCAGAGAGTGAGTGAGACCCTATCTGTTGCAAGACTAACGCCTGGCGTAACCGTCACCATGTTATTCAGTGTTTTTTAAGTAGCGCAAGGATCCTGCCATGACCGTGGTAATGTTATCGTGAAAGCCTGGTATAACCGCGACAATGCAGTATTATATTGCAATGCCTGCCATGACCGTGACAATGTAATATAGTTCTGCAAGGCTTGGTATGACCGTAACAATGTAATATAGTACTGCAAAGCCTGGCATGACCGTGACAATGTAATATAGTATTGCAAGTTCAGGTATGAGAGTGGTAATGTAGAAATTTACGATTAGGACTGCTATAACCGTGACAATGTGTATTGCAAAGCCTGGCATGACCATGCCAATGTAATATAGTATTGCAAGGCTTAGTATGACTGCCATGGCAATGTGATATAGTATTTCAAGTTCGGGTATGAGAGTGGTGATGTAGAAATTTATGATTGCTATAATTGACCGTGACAATGTGTATTTGAAAACCTGGCATGACCATGACAATGTATTATGGGATCGCAAAGCCTGGTATGACCGTGACAATGTAATATAGTATTGCAAGGCCAAGTATGAGGGTGGTAATGTAGAGATTTAGGCTTAGTTCTACTATGACCGTTATAATGTATTGCAATGACTAGTAAATATGTATGACATTAACGCCAGGAATATCCTTAACAATTTTAAGTGATCCTCATTACAATTAAACAGTTTAATACTATGATCATGGTGTTTAACTACCTTAATCATGTCAAAATCAAAATTACTACTATACATTAATATTCACATTCGGTTATAAACCACAATAAAGGCTACGGTCGCGCCAGGCTTCCACGATAACACTTCCAGGGTCATGACAGGCCTTGTAATAGAATACAACATTGTCACGGTTATACCTAGTTCAACGTCGTTAAACTCAATAACGGCGTTATTTATTATTAAGAATTTTCTTGGGGCCATTATTGAGTTTAACCTCTTTACTATTCTTTCCATTGATGCAAGTTTTGGATCCACCGAAACCATTTTTTCCGCGATAACATGCAACTGATACTTGACAACAATATAAAAACACATAACATCAAGCGATTCAACACAATATTATTGTATTAAATGGTCATTTATACAAGTAAAATGAGGTTAAACTTACCAATCTCTAAAATGACATTTCCGCATGTCCTTCATTGTGTCTGTTCGTCCCGGGTTAAAATTTAAACTATTGAAACGAAATTGTTGTCAAATAGATTGATAATTATCACGCGATTACTCGGGATAAAATAGCCATTTTTGAGGATAGCAGGTATCTTTGATTGATTTATATAGCGCTTGTATACACACAAAATCGTTATTAATTGCAAACCTACTGTTCGTTGATGCAGTGTCGCAATGACGGTTAATTCCTGATACGATTTGCAATTTCGATGTTACCGGAGCTGACCGATATTTTCGTAAAATTCCAAACCTGTCTCCAATATTTTCGTAATTATGCATCAATATGGTCTAAGTGGGGTACGGGATGGTGTGTATGTATTTATAAGGTATGTATGCATGCTTATATCACATTCTTTATGTAATATTACCATGTTTTCGGAGTTTAATTAGTTCCGCATGTCGAAACCTGCTGAACGATTAAATGATCGCAACAAGGGCAAAATCATCATGGAAGTTAGACCTAGCCGGGGCCATAAGACATGTCAGATAAGAAACGAGGCCCAGGCTAGGTCTAATGTTGTTGGACTAGGTTATACCAGCCTGTCACGGTTATACCAGGCTTACACGATAACACTACCACGGTCATGGCAGGATCCTTGCGCTACTTAAAAAACACTGATTAACATGGTGACGGTTGTGGCAGGCGTAAGTCTTGCAATAGATAGCATGTGGAGTGAGTGACCGAGTGAGTGAAACCTGAAAAAATTCTGAGTTCATATTTTTCTTTTCAACTTAGATTTGCACTATACTCGTTTATTTTCTTTGAAGAGTAATTATCAATATATATACTCACCATCATAGCAATTTTCTACTCCACAATAAAGTCCCTCTATGTACCCATGGGAAGTTGAAATCATAGAAAAACTGAAAAGAATAAGAAAACACACGTCTGTTTTCCGTGTCGCCATTTTAAATTGTTTCGAAAACGAGGCCAAGGGATGAATGAAAGGGGATTCCCCTAGCTTAGATCTGAGGGATCTGTCATTCTTATCAATTCTCTATAAAAAGGGTTTTATTGATTCACTATTCATTAGTTTCTAATTGCAAAAAGAGGTAATAGTTAATGTACCTGTTTTTACAATTTTGAGCTTTCAAAGAGCAGGGAAGGTCAATGGTGACATTCAGAGATCTTATAAAGTTTTCCCTGGATCAAAAGATCAATGTCTGATAGAAAACTAAATAAATCTATCAGAAACAAGTCAAATTCTTTACTTCAGAGAATATTTTTAATTTATAATATTAAAAATATTAAAAAATATTAAAAATATTCTCTGAAGTAAAGAATTTGACTTGTTTCTGATATATCAACCAGAGAGATGAACTTACATAGAACTAAATAAATCTAGTTTGGGGGGAGGGGGTCAAAGCTATTTCAGTTTGCTATCCGACAAATTTCAACATTTAAATTTTTTGCAATTTCTACTTGAAATGCCTTGGAATGGTTTAAAAAATAAAGACTTTACCCGAGATGCCAGCCTTCTTCACCAAGATGCATTCAACATGGAATATTATGCCTATTGTTGTTGGCACATGTTTTAAGAATTATAAATAAGTTATAGTACTGCCCCTATGAAAGTCCAAATTGAGTCGCTAAAACATGTGAAAAGTCCGCAATCAAATTCTTAGATTTATTTAGTTTCCTATCAGACATTGAACTTTTGATGCCTCCCCTAAGGTTCATGTTTTCAGATGAGATGAACAGTACAAAAATGGAAACTAACTTCTTCTTCTTCTTTATCCAATTTACGTGTTAGTGTACTTAACACGATGGCACTTTAATGCTGCCTTTGGTCACTAGATACATTGGTTTCACTTTGTACTATGTTTTCACTTGTGCTTTTCACTAATACTTGTTTTGATTTACTTTTTGAGAGTGCGCATTTTACATTTGTTTTCGTCATCTAAAAGAGTCAATTTCTCAGTTATATTAAAAAAACTTTTGTTTAAGAGTCACTATCTCAGTGTTGTTTTACGTAGTTAAATTCTATTAGTAGATAGTATGAACTGTTGTAGTCGTTCTACTATTTTTATGTTGATTTGCTGGTCTAAGTTCTTGTTAAGACCTGTGATGGTTTGTAAGTCTATGGTTGGGTTGTGGTTGGCTCCTAGTAGTACAGTGTCTATAGCTGCTAGCATAACCTCCCTCTGTGTACTGTATTTGCTGCACTGAAACAAGAAATGATGCAAAGTTTCTGGTGAATTACAGTGTTCACAGTTAGGAGAGGGGAGATCAGGGTTGATTTTGTAGTAGTGGCCATTGAGACGGGTGTGCCCAGATATAATTTGATTGACTTTTGTCTGACTGTATCTTTTACCCAACTTTACTGATTGTGATTGTACTTTTACTTGTGGGATAAGGTTTTGAATCAAGTTAACTTTATCAGAGTGGATATACCTAGTTTGCCATTTATCAATAGACTTATTTTTAATTGATTTGTAAGCCATTGTTTTTGTTGTTTTTGGGGGTGGGAGGGTTGTGGCTGTTTTAGCAGCTTTTTTGGCTATCTTATCAGCTACCTCATTGCCCTCAATTCCTAGATGCCCAGGTACCCAGAAGATTTCTAAGTTTTTCTTTAGCATGGAAAGTGATTTGCAGGCTTTTCTTATGCTCAAAATTTCAGGCATCATATTTTTGAGTTTAGTGTTCAGAAAGGCAGTTGTTATAGCTGGTTGGCAGTCAGATAGTATGATAACTTTATCTGACGTCCTTGTTTTGACAATGAATTCCACAGCCAGCTTGAGTGCAGTGACCTCTCCAGTATAGTTGTTGCCCTGACTGGCTACTGGTTCCTCCAGGCATACCGGATTGCTCTTTAAGCCACTGATGTAAATAATGGCTGAAGCACCAGTTGGTCCTGGGTTGCCCTCAGCGGATCCGTCTGTGAAGATAACAGTCTCCGAGCCATCAAGATCATTCAACAAGTTGTTGATGCGATGAGATTGCTCGGATTTAGATCTGCTGAAATCCTCGGTATGCACGATGGCATCAGCTGGTAAAAAGGTCTCTGCATCTGCTTGGTAGTAGCTGTGTTTGACGTAGTTGGTTGGTTTGGTTGGACAGTTATGCAATCTGAGTCTAGCTGCTAAGATGTTGAAACAGGTAGGCTTTCTTTCTTGTTTTCCAGATTCTGCCCAATGATGGTGCACTAACATGCATGTTTATAGACCCATTAAAATTCATGCTAATTCTCCATAATGTATTAAACATGGATATTCATATGTAGCGATCAAGTCACTACTAATCTTTAGTTTTCCAGGAATAAAGTATGAACTTTGGTCATAGTCAAGATAAGGAACTTGAAATGAGCTCGCCCAAAAATCTGTTGAAATTATGATTAGGCTAACATGAATTGCCTGTCTCATAGAGACATGCACAGAGAGACAAATTATTAATTATTAAATGAAATCTTCGTGAAATTTCTTGTGCGGATAGACTGTTTAATGAGGTACTCACAAACGCAAGTTCAGAAATCGTCTGTCAATATCCACCTATGCTAATCAATAGACTAGATGCGAGTAGAAATAATCTTGATTTACGTCATTAAAAATTCAAAATCCAGTCAAACTGATGTCATATTTGGAATCTACATGTAAAATTACATCTAGAAATGTGGTTTTGAAAAGAGTTTTTCAACTTTGAAAATTTAATTTTCTTTGAAATTGTGACATATAGTTCGGGGAGATTCCCCATAGACCCCATGTTGTAAAATCACAAAAAAGTGAAATATCTTTTCTTGTATTGGGCAGATAATATTTTCTTTTATTGGGCATATCTTAATTTGTACAACTATAGATACATAAGGGTAATTTGAAAAGTGAACCACTAAAACTGATGAATATTCAAGTTTAAGGAAATTTTATATTCCCTGCCATGTTATTTCCCCCGAATCAGCTTCCTGGTGTCGTAACTGGTAACTACCTACTATATTTTTTTGCGATCAAAGTAACTAGACATTCTAAATGAAGGCGATTGAGAAATGACTCGAATTATGTCAAAGACAGAACATACACTCATTAAAAATCTGTCATGAAGATTCCGTCATACCTGAGAATTATTCCAAAAGTAGAGGTTTGCATTTTTTGTATCACCCTGTACATGACTCCTCAGAGGGTTCTTATCAAAATGTTATACGAATTTTGATTACATGTTTTGTTAAACACTTCGAAAGATATCATTGACATGAATCACTAGTAACATTTTTTGTTATATCACATGACGGGGCAAGCATACTTGAACGATGATGATAACGAGAAAATAATCAAAATGCTTGGAATTGTTAATTTCCGTAAAAACAGAGAGGTTCGCCACTTTTGTAGAAATATGCCATTTTAGCAGTACGGAATTTTTTACGTTGTCTGTAATATATTTTCTAGCTGATCCATTTCCGGTTAAGTTGTAGCAGGTAAGTATAACAACTGGAAGGATAAACCATTTTTCGTTTTCAGGCTAAGAATTTAGTTCTTGAAATCGTTGTTTCACAGCATCATCGTATTGAAATAAAATCACCTTAATGGTAATAAGTATTATGGACAAAATAAGCATCCTAGCTTTTTATCAATTTAAGGTTAGGCTAGAAATCATCATACTGATTCGGAAATACAATTCAGGATTTCCTGTATTCAATGAACAGTAACAAAGTTTTGATTTTGTAAGGGAACCAGCTGGATTCATCAATATGGCTAAGGTTGCTATGGTCCAAAATGACATTTATTCTACAATACCGTGGGACAACAGGCAAACACTAGGAACTAAATATGAAGAAAATGATGGATTCGAACCCGACTATGATGTTGATGAAAATGAAATGGATAGGTCAAGAATTAGGCCTGCTGGATCAAATCCGAAAGATACACGCTCACACGGTGCACAGAGTCGTATACTGAATGCGACTTCAAATGCAAACGACACAACTGCAGATGATCTACAGCCAGATTATGACCTTGCTAAACCACGCCATGGAAACGTAGCCATGCACAGGTCTGTGTCTACAGTTATCCATAGAGATTCAGAAGCTACATCTGAAACAATGAAAAATAATGAAAACATCACCAGCAATACTAGAATGTAAGTAAAATTTTAAACATCCGGAGAAAAATAATACTTTTCTTAAATTAACAGGGATTTTATGGGATTCGGTTGAATACGGTAACAACGATTCAAATTACGTCCAGTTGAACCCCATGCTATTCAAAATGAAGATCCCGGAGTTTCCAAAATCCAACGCAACATGTTTCATGTATGGGCGTCCCATTATGCCATTGTTGTCGCATCCTTACATTCCTTGCGTAGTTGGAACTATCTAGGCTGAATTATTTTTCCATAATTATTTCAGAGCAGCATCGACTACCCATAAATGGGACCCATTTAGACTTATCCATAAAGAAGAGGTAGACGATGACCAAACAAGTCAAGAAGCAATGAGACAAGTGTTTCGTTTTCTGGTGTACATCTTGTTGTTTCTGGTCGTTTTGGTGAGCAGTATCTTGAGCAAAGGGGCATTGTTTCTTTTGGCCGCCAACTCTAAACTTGGACTTGCGTTGAAGTGCGAGAATACGACGCTAGACCAATGTTCTATCATTACGAATCACTCGGGCGTTCACGACTATTCCATATCGGTTGATGTCAGGCAGTCTCTGGATCCAGAGTGGGATAACATGACATCTAACAATAACATAACATCTAACAATACAGAAATACCACTGGAGAACGTTACGGTAAGTCAATCGATAGAGTTACGTATAACATTTGCAAAACATATTTTGACCCCCCCCCCCCCCCTTCTATTTTGTTACCAAGTCAGAGGAGAGACGCAAGAAGTAAAATGGACAAGAATCCAGTTTCTCTAAAACAAGTTTTAATACTGATAGCATAGATACCTTTTCTCTTTTAGCTAATTTTTACACATGAGTATTCGCCAAATGTACAGGGTCTCCATAACGTCTCTTTACTCTTTACATATACTTTGTATTGCAATTGTAAACTATTATGGGCACCCTGTAATTTTAACACTACGAAATATGAACCAATGGCTCTGCTAAATATTGAGATTTAATAGTATATCACTCGCAAAATTCAGCAACGTATATGTAAAATGCTTAGTGGCACTTTCGTTTCGCATGGGTCGACAGACTGAGTCTCCATAGGGCAACTTATTTATGTCTAGCTTTTACTTACACTCTTCATAAATTTTAATTTAGGTTATAGACAAAATATACTACACGGGAATAGTGCCACAGTGCAATGTTAATGCCGTGCGATGGATATGGGGTTTGACCTTGGTGGCGTGCATCCCATACCTCATTTACTTTCTGCGTTGTCTTTGGAGGACTTACTTCAGGACTAAACAAAAACCAAACCCTGTGACCTATGTAGTTGTAAGTTTGCTAAAATTGGTTAGTCATATGGTAAAATGCCTTTAATCTTGTTGATGATTTTTATTGTGATGACCAAAGTTTTTGTTGTTGTTTTAGACGTTGGTGATGGAAAGTCTTCATTCGCTCGGATTAGTTCTTCTGCTGTTTTATCTATTTCGGTATTTTGACACTATCAAATCCATGGCATTGCTGACGGGAGTAGCCTTTGTCCCATCTGTACTTTCGATCTTCTTCCGTCCAAAATCAGAAAAGGCAAAGCCAGTAAAAATGACATTGGACATCATAGCGTCTCTTGTACAATGCTCGGTTCTCATTACGTGGCCAGTCATTTCCATCATAAAAGACCCGGGTTTTAAAAACACAGGGAACATTAAAGAGATATGGCCGATACCCGTAGCATTGTTTCTTGTATCAATCGGATGGTGGGAGAATTTTATCAAGTTGAAGGTGTCATCAACAGGAAAACTGGGGAACATGTTGTCGAAAATAAAGATAGACATCCGACGCTGTAGGAGCAAGTTGTATGCGGTAGCGAGTTTATGGAAGATCGCTGTGACCCTTGGGGGAATGATGGGTGTTATACATTATGATATGGCGACAAATGGGGGCCTCGAGTTCCATCAATGGTTCATATTTGGCAACCATGAAGCCACGTGCAAGGGGCTTTCTATAAACGGTACTGGTGGAGCGTCCGTTGGAGATATACCAAACATGTACTGGTTATGGGCAGCTATATGGCTGGTTCAGTTCTCATCCTCATTTGTATGTTATTTCGCTGCAAAAACAGCATCGAAACTCTTAATGCAAGAGATAAGCGTGGCGCTCCCTTTGCTCCTGAGTACGCCACTTACAATCATCCTCATAGTGCTTGGGTGTGAACAGTGGAAGCGAGCGCCAAACTTTCTCCAGGAGTTCATGCCTGCCTTCGTGTTCCGGCATTGCTCTCCGTTGATGTCATTCTCCGAGCTGTTTAATTTGGCTAGAGGAGATGGGATGGTTATGGTTATGATCGGATGGTGGCTGTCGCAGTTGTGGATTACAAGACATATCTGGGTCCCCCAGTCACAACGATTGGCCAAGACTGAAAAGTAAAACTTGTTCACATTGAAAGTACCCCTATTCGGCCTTCACCAGTCATCTATTTAAATTTCAAATTTATTTATAAAATCTTTCCTCAAAGATTTAATTCTCTTTTCTTCGTTAAATAGATCTATGTATACCCAGTAGGCCTAGTGAAATGCATGTTGTAGTTTTGCTCACTGATCTACAACAGTACTATAGTATTTATCACGACATTTTGAAAGGTTTTAATATTTGTAGGTTATTTGTCCTCCCGATGTTTTGTGGTGTAATGATAGAACAATCACTTACACTCAACAGAAGGAAACACGAGGACAGTCACGCAGTTGATGATAAAAAGGTAGATTAGTATGATTTCCAATCCAATTTCGGGTTAAAAAGTACCAATTTGTACCAATTTAACATGTTAAATAGGATGTAATACATTTGTAGAGGTCTTTGAAAGTTCACATAGTGGGTACAGAAACAGTAATTTTCCATTAAATTGAATAAAATTCTTTTATATTCCAAGTCTTTAGAAGTGATACACAAAGAGAGCATCGCAGATGTGCCGTATTCGGAACTGGATGACTTTGATATGCATGGACACGATCAGTTCAACTCAGTCACCGTTAAAAAGGAAACAATACCAAAGATATATGTGTGTTGTACAATGTGGCATGAAAATGAGACGGAGATGCTACACGTGTTGAAATCAATATTCAGGTATGAGAGTCAGTAAAAGATACTAATATACAGGGGTTCGTTTTTCGTACGATCGTAACTTACGATTCCGAGAAAACCATTTGTCTCTGTTTTGATGAACAATGACTTGCGACCAAATCGTAAGTTACGATGGTTTCAAAAACGGACCCCAGGGTGTTCCATAAGTAATGATAATTTTGCTCTAAAATATTTATTTGGTAAGGAAACAACATGTATATAAAATATCATTGTGGTTTCCATCAGTTCCTTTCTTGAAACATATTGCAATATGCCAAATAGAATGTGTTGAATATCGGAATGGTGATTTCAAACTATAAGGGGGCTGTTCAATAAATATTGATACAACATGTACAAAAGAGGTATTAAATCTCATTGAACATAAGGGGAAAGTACTCATATCAATGACTAGTTAATATGTTAAATATATAATACCATCATCATATAAGTAATATAAACTTATTGAACTGTGCACTGTGCTTTATTGGCATATCTCGATATTTACTCATGATATAATTGTTAAATAATGTAAATAATATTCAAGGTTGGATCTGGATCAGAATACAAGGAAGAACGCTCAGACATATCTCAACATCACCGACCCTGACTTTTACACTTTAGAAGGTAGGTGTAAGCAAACTACCAAATGTGATCATTTCCAAATAAAACAATGCTATGGCCAGAGATATCTCTTTTTATCAGAGAGGGTTTAGAGGTTTCAATGAATGTCAAACATTTTTAATGTCAATGCTACTTCAATTGAGATAAAAGTTGTTTTTAATGACATAACATCTTTTGTTCGTGTAATTCTTGCGATAAAATAGACACAGGGAAGTAGTTGGCACAATGACTGATAATATATAGATACACAGGTTTAAAAAGTCAACTAAACATCAAAATTTATCATTACCACATTGTTGAGGTCATCATAATACACAAAATAGACTAGTGAGAACTCATAGAGAGTATGTAATAATATCATTCTACGAATTTGGCTTTAATCATGAAACATCCCATTGTGTTACATGTAAATAAAAAGTTTTGAACGCTATCCAGGCAACATCTCTGTTTAGATTATCAGTATGATGGAATCGAGACTAGACTTCTAGTTTATTTAAGAGATACTTTGTTCACATTTATTTGAATAGTATCATTAAACATTAGATTTTCCATTATTTTTTACTCGGATTTATTTTTAGCTCACATATTTTTTGATGACGCATTTGAAACACATGCTCCTGGACAGCGTAACTATACAGTCAACGAGTACGTCAAGGTTCTCGTCTCAACCATCGAAGCTGCAGCCAGGTGACCACTCATTTTTTCTATTTAACATAGCTGGAAATATGTACGTACGGTGGCCTACGGCGAAAGTACTAAGTATAACGAAAACAAAAGGCAGAAAAACAGTCATATCTTGGATAATTATTATTTTCTGACCACGAAGACAGGCATATCATTTTAATAATAATTTATTATCTCAAAGAAAAGTGTACACATTGTCCCCTGTTACCAATTTCGTATTATTTATTACCATCTGCATTTAGTAATTTTAGATCTATCACAGTCAGAAAAGTAGGCTCTCTATAATAACATTAAACTTTTCAATGTAATATGGCAAAATGCAAAGACCTACTAATGTTATTATATCATACAGTGCTGTCCACAACGTAAAGTTGAAATTCCCACCGCCTGTGAAACTGTCCACGCCATATGGAGGGCGACTTGAATGGCGTCTTCCAGGCGGAAACACACTAGCGGTACACCTTAAAGATAAGGTCAAGGTCAAAGAAAGGAAGAGATGGAGTCAGGTACTTTACTTCATTTATCTCAGTTGTATCATCAGAAAGGGGATCGTGTACTATTTTAAATACACAGTGCAAGAGGCAACAGACATCACAGATATCATATTTCATTTCACAAACAAGCAACCAAGTAGTATATTTCTTGTTTGGTCTTCCACGCAATGAGCGTTTTTTCTTTAATCAACGTAACAATTTCTCATGCCCTAGGTGATGTACATGTACATGTTCCTGGGCCTTAAGTTATGGGCAGAAATTGATGAAATAGGGAAGAAGCAACTTGTAGCTGACAATACGTATCTGTTGGCATTGGACGGTGATGTCGACTTTAGACCACAAGCTGTGCTGCGACTGGTAGATTTGATGAAGCGAAATCATACTGTTGGGGTGGCATGTGGAAGAGTTCATCCTATTGGCTCAGGTATGTCCTCATATTCAGCATCATAAATTGTGTCGTTCTCATATCCATCATCACAAATTGTGTCGTTCTTATATCCATCATCATAAATAGTGTCGTTTTCATATTCAGCATCACCATAAATTGTGTCGTTCTCATATCCATCATCATAAATTGTGTCGTTCTCATATCCATCATCATAAATTGTGTCGTTCTCATATCCATCATCATAAATTGTGTCGTTCTCATATCCATCATCATAAATTGTGTCGTTCTCATATCCATCATCATAAATTGTCTCATTCGCATATTCAGCATCATCAATTGTGCCAGGTTGCACTAAACAAGTAAGTCGGGTATTTTCATTGGTAGAAACCGAGGTAACATATTGTGCCCCAAAGAGTGTTGGGAACATAACGTCGATAATAGCTATTAGAAATCACAAGGGCAATATAATGCCAAGTTTACATGCTAGGCAACAACAACAGTATACATGCAAGAAAGATCGTGAGTTCGAGGCATAAATGTTCCCAATGTTTACTCATACTTACAATTGGGACATAAACGATTTATGTCTAATGTTATCTCTAGGTCCCTTTGTTTGGTGTCAGAAGTTTGAATATGCAATGAAGCATTGGTTGCAGAAATCTACAGAGCATGTTATTGGATCTGTGCTAATAAGTCCCGGATGTTTCAGCCTCTTTAGAGGATCGGCTCTCATGGATGACAATGTCATCAAGAAATTCACATATGAATCTTCAACTGAGCCGTCCCACTTTATTCAATGGGACCAAGGTGCGTTGACTACACCAATAGACAAATTAAATATGAAATTAATTGACGTAAAAAACTCAACTTGGGCAACTCCATGAAAGGCTTAGTTATGTGATTGGATGTCATATACATATGTATTTTTAAATATTTTATTTATATTTTTTCTTCGAATCAATGGACAGTTTTGTTTTTTGTTATGTTCAATATTTTATCGATGGCTTATTGTAATTAATTGTGGTCATTTTTGAACAGGTGAAGACAAATGGTTGAGTAACTTATTACTGCAACAGGGTTACAGAATAGAGTACACAGCCGCGTCAGACATCAACTCATTTGTCCCAGACACGTTTGATGAACTGTTCAAACAGAAACGTAGAGTTATTCCAAGTAGTCTCGCCAACCTTATTGACCTGATCGATACAGCTAAGTACACTGTAAAGAAAAATGACACCATATCTTGGCCGTTCTTTGCATACCAAATGCTCTTGCTCATTGCAACCATTCTGTCTCCAACAACGGTCCTTATCGTCATCGTAAGCTCGCTTGAGAATCTAATGGCAGTCTCGAGGTTATTTGTGACCGAAAACCCAGTGAACGCAACAATAATGGAGCAAGGTGATGATGTGACTATATCGCCTACATCTGTGGTTCTCAAAACTCCCGTTGATAATGCAGCACTGGGTGTGGCCGTTCTCATCAACGTACCAATCATTATAGCATTCTTTGTTGTATGTGTAAAAGCCAGTGAAAAAATACAGGTACCTGATAATGTCTTTTTGATTCATGTTATTTGGATCAGATTCTGACTGCTAATGTTAAAGGTGTTGATTCTGTTACAGGTGAAGCCTGATGAAGCCTTTAGATTGTCCCTCTTGAAATTAACACTGCAAATGTAATTGCCATTCCAATCATCCAGCCATTTCTAATTTTATTATCCTGTTCCCTTTCAGCTAAAATTTGCCAAGGTTTTGGCTGCAGTCTATGGTATAGTGATGCTACTGGTAGCAATCAGCGCTGGAATGATCGTTTTTGAAACTGGACTTTGTAACGCTTTCACAATGATGGTTGTAATACTTGTGACCATATTCATTACATCTGGGCTTTGTCATCCACAAGAGATCTTTAACCTTATACATGGCGTGATCTACTATATGGCTTTACCATGCATGTCGATGTTAATCGTGATATATTCCATGTGTAACTTGAATGATACAACTTGGGGCACGAGAGAGAAGTCGGTAATTGTACATGAGAACCCAGAAGAAAAAATGTCCGACACACCACCAGCTTATGAAGGTGAACTTAACGATGGTCTTTCTGTTTGATATTGATACTGTTCATGGTCATCAGACTCATCAAGTACAAGGCGAACACGTAATCCTCTCAGAAATGTAGCTATTTGAATTCGTGTTGGTCCCTCCGTGAAATTAAATAATTAGGGACATCTTATAGTATATGAGCCAGGCCACAGGAAAAGGGGTCTTATCACAGATTTTTTCAATATTCTGATTTTTTGTTTATCTTAAAAAGCACAAAGAGACCTTTCAAATGAGCCATGGCTTGTGTCTTAACATTTTCCCCTTGCATATATAGACCAAAAAGTCGGATTTGAATTTAGCACATTTCCTCTAAATTTTGGGCACATTTTTGGCTCTGTAGCACAATTTTAATTATTGTGATAATACCGGTTTTCCTATGGCCAGGCTCATATATTGAAAAGTACTGAAGAACTTGAGAATGTAGTATTGCACCTTTTTGTCCAAATAATTCTGTTCACCCAACTTGAATTTATAGTATTGTATTGTACATGTTTAGCTGTGGAGTGAGCCATGTCAAAGCAATATTCTATTATCAATTATATTATATTACAATTTATTTTCAGAAAGTTACGAGGGTTATGCTGATGGCAGTGAAAAATCAATTGTCGAGGTGACATGGATTGATGACCCAGCTTTGGGCAATGGAAATCAGACACTTCTTCCCGAGAAGGAGTCTTTCTTTTTCGAAGACCTTATCCAAAAATATCTTAAGCCAAATAATGATCAAATTCACAAAGAAAAAGAAGAGATTGCCTTGTCTGATCTTCGCTATAGAATTGTTTTTGGCTTTGGGCTTCTGAATGCGATGTACTTTACTTTGATATTGGGTCTTCAGCTTATTAAGGAAAGAAACGTTTATTTTGATGTTCCTTGCATCCTTCCTGTAGCATTAAGGGGTACCCAAAATAATCCCAATCTGCGCTTGGAGCCCATTGGGATTGGCTTCCTTTTGTTCTTTGGTTTGGTGTTGATCATTCAGTTTTTTGGTATGATTGCACATAGATTTGAAACAGCAATGCACATATTGTCCTCAACCACAATCCAATGCTGTGCTTCTTTAATGTCCTCAACCAAAAGGAAAGAGAACCATCAAGCTGATAAGATTAAACAAGCCTTACAAACGGCTAAAGAATTGAGCACACTGCAACCAGATGAAGACACTATATCTGTAGTTTCTATAGATCCAAGTTTAGCTAGTTTAACGCTAATTGGTGAAGGGGATGACAATGCTAACAGAAACCGCTTGAAAGGAGCACAGAAAATTAAAGCAAGTGAACGTAAACAAAAACACTTAATGGGAACACTTGATGCTGCCTTTGCAAAAAGGTTTCTTAAAATTCAACAGCAAATTGAGACTGGGGCAGATGTTCTTCCGGATTACCCAGATGGGTTTAATCCAATGACTAATCAGCAACTAGTGAGGCGCCGGATGACCAAACAGTTTATTGAAAACAACAAAGATAATCTGTTTGAGACAAGGAAATTAGAATATGCAGAAAGGCGAGCAAGTCTGTACCCACGGGACAATTAATTAAAATAAAACTGTTTTTGGAATCCAATAATTCAACTCTGCTGATATAGTAGCTTATTTATCTACTTTGCCCACTCTTGAGTGTTGAGTTAAAAAAGCGCCAAAATAGCCGCCTAATCTTGTGCTGACATCTAAAGCTGGAGTATTTGGAAATAATCACTATTTTTTGTACTGAAAATATGTATATTTTGTATTATAAGCAATGGATTCGGCTGCACTGTACTGCGCTTGCAAAGTCATAATAATTGCATTTCCGAAGCTAGTACATATGTATATGACATCCATCGTTTACACGTCAAAAAAATTATTTACTTTTTTGAGTATTTCATTGTGAAAATAAGATATAATAGTGTATAATATAGTATAATAGCAGATTATTCGCTAATATTAACCTTGAGTTCACACAGTGTAAATAAAATTGATATATTGTATTCGAGAATTTATATGTTTGTCTATTGTTTAATAATGCTGACACCTAGACTTGAAGCATTTCTTAAAAAAGAAGTGTAAACTTTTGAGTGCATAGATCTAATTGATGTTATAATATTTATTTATATGTAAAACAACATGTGAAACATAAACACTGTGTAGAATAGTGTTTATAATACAGGGCATCCACAAAAAAAGTATACCCAACTTCAATGCCAGGTTACTAGAATTCTGAGCAATTTTTAAAAAATACAAAGGTAGCAGTATAGTAAAAGGCCTAGTTTGTCGCCCATCCAATGGTACTTAGATCATTATGTAACTGTCCTAGATGACTGAGCAATCATGACTTTTAGGAAAGGTGGTAAAATCAGCACTGTGCCAAGTTAGCATTCAAGTAGGAATGACACAGTAAATGTTTTTTGTGTTCAAAACATTATTAATGTTCAAATTGACACTTGTTTTATGTTCTTCCAACTTTTGCATAATTTTCCATAACTTTTAGTTGGTACCTCCCTCTCGAGAAATTGGATCCGAAGAGTCTCTTGAACAGCAATGAAACTTCTACTTGCTGATATGCAGCTTTGAAGTCAATTGTATCTCCATGTAAAGTCAGTAACCCTTGCTGAAATCCTCATTCTCTCAGAAGAACTCGAATTTATTGAATCTAAACAAGTAGATTAATGTGAGAAAGTATTGCTATAAACCATTTCAATAGTAAGAATAGTGGTTCCATAAACAGTACATGTGATTTGCCTTTTAGAACTTTTTGTTGGCTCTACTGCTCAGGAGTCAGTTGAACCAGTTTTGCAGGCCTATTTTAGAGTAAGTTAAGCCTTTTGCCAAACCTTTTTCATAAGAGAGTTACTCAGTCCCAAGTCCAGTTCAGTATGGAAGGCCTGTCCTCTAACTTAATGTAACAGAAAAAGAATGCTAAGCCAATTACACATCAATTGCCACGCAGGAGGGTAACTTGGCACAGTGCTAATTTTACCCCCTCTCATAATGGTCAAGATAACTCAGTCATACATGACAGTTACATTATGATCTTGGTACCATTTGATGGAGAATAAATCAGGCTTTTTACTACTACTTTTGTATTTTAAAAAGATTGCTTATGATTCCAGTAATTTGGATTTGAAGTTGGGTATACTTTTTTTGTGGACGCCCTGTATAATTCAATAAAATTTAAAAAGTTAATGAAGGTACAAAATGTGGAGAAATATAACAGCAACATTATTGTTTTATAAAACGATGATGCAAAACATCTTTATTCTAGCTATTCTTGAATATATGCAAATTCATACAAAATATGTTTTCATTGCTACAATTATATTGTACATGCTGGTTATAATATGGTTATTTACAATTGTATTGTGAATGAATTGGACAAATGGGGCAAAAAGCATGCAGTGTAATCATTTAATGCATGCTACTATAATAGCCATATTTTATTCAAACCATGTATCATAGAAAAGTAACAAGTGAAGTTGGAAATTTTGATGAAAATATTTAATTCCAAATCTACAGTCAATCTGATCATTTCTGATCGCCTATTTTGCCGAATATTACTCATAAGTGTTAAGTATACATTACTTTCAGAATACTGACTTGACTGTTATTTTTGAATGACTGGCAATGACACAAAATACGATTGAATAATTAAGTCCAGATTGGACCCTTGAAATTATGTTTCATATAATGGACAAATATAAGAAGGTCTATGGGTTATTCACATTTTTACATAAATATACATTTCTCTAAGTCTACATCATCACAATTAGCTTAATACCTTATATTGTATGAACAACACCTCTAGAGCCATCTTTTAAAATACTTGAAAACAAATTTGGCAAATAATTCTTTATCCAAAACAAAGTTTAGACGACTCATCTAAATTTCGTTCCTATTGTTAATTTCCTACTAATTGTAAATCTATATGGGCATACTCTGCATACTTATATCAATATAATAATTTCGAGATAGACACATCGACAACAAACTGATAATGCCAAGATTTTTATAGATCTATATTGCCATATTTAGTTTATCAAAATCTACAGACTTCACAATATGAGTAACTTTTAACAGTTGAGATCCATGACTTATTCTTCTTTATCCTTGACTCAACTGTTTTTATGGGTAAAATATATGACCAGCCATCGTTTTTGTGATTGTTGGACATCTATAGCGATTAGAAAATGTTGTTCCCTTCCAATAAGATAGCTTTAAACAGCAGTTCCCTCTCGAATAGCACAACATAGCATCATGGAGAATGCCATTCCCAACAACTGTAAAATATGGTATACATAACGTAAGTAAGCACAAGTGGCAAACGGGGAATCAAAGGAGTATTGCAGAACCCAGCGAGAAAGAGAGTATCTTATAGAACAACGAGTGATAAGGAAAACAAACCCCCAAAATCCCAAATTGTCATCTGATCTTGTCTAACAGTGCATAATGAATTATAATATGCTAGATTTATAGTTACTATGAAACATCGTCTTTGTCAAATTAATACATCACATTATTATTGTTCGATCATTACCATCATGAGATTGTTGGTACTGACAACAAACATTGCTTTATGTAGTAATATCATATACAATTTTGTTCGAGTGTTTTAAATATATCACGTATACTAGAGTTTTGGTACGTACCATTAGGATACCTATGGTTATTCCTACAGCAGCCATTATAACAATATTTTCATTCAAGTACCACATCAGCTCGATATAACATGGCTGGAAATAACAAAACAAAAACATTAGTCCGTCAAAAATGACCTTTTCTTGAGATGCTTAAGTATTTCAAGAAATCAAAATGACTGCTATTTACCCTGGAACATCAACACCAATGTTTATATAATATATGTGTAAGTGCTTCCTGAATGTGCTTTTAGAGTACACAGTTTGTAATTTTTATATTATTTCAGCACTGTTGGATATATTGTTTATTTATTTACTTGAACAGGTAATTTGACGTCAATTGCCAATGGGCATTATTAGCACTATATACATTTCAACAATATCTCATTATATTATTACACATACCTTCTTATACGTAGGTGGTTTACAAGATGGTGAACCAAGGCTTTTATAGTCCTTCAATCCTTTATAAGCACCGCAACATAGGAACTAAAACAAAGAAAAAAATCAGATGAATATTCCACCAATCATCAATCTACCCTTTTTAGCATAAAATGTGGAATATTTGCGGGCGTATACGGTAATGACTTCAGGAGAATTTGTGTGTCACAAAATATCCCATGGGCAGATTGATTTTTTTATTGATTGGTGATAAAAATATTGTCATTGCTTTCACATGTATGTCTCAATAAATGTAATCAAAACAGAAAACATGGTTTCTCATTTCTGATATAAGACAAAAGATTCGTTCGTGCATGATCTAATACAGGCGTGTATACATTAACATAATTTTACATTTTGTTCAGTGGGATTATGAATTACCCATTAAATTACTCTGAGGAGATAGGGACTGTGATCAACGTCACTGCGTTATATAAGAAAAGTGTTGCGTAACACGTTTATATTTAGTTAATTATGTAAATATAAAAGTACATCCATTTAATCGGATTTTGCAAGGAATTCTGCTTCCTTTCGGGAATTGTAACAATGGTCGGTCTGTCATGTCTGATTTCTGGAAAGTTTAATACAAACTTGAACTGATTAGTAGAAAACGAGACGCTAATTTGTTTCTTTCGTAAAACAGGAATAGAAATGTGATTCAAATGTGTGGTGTATACCCAGTGCGATGTGTGGTTAATGTGCACCTCCCATGTGTGTTAACATTAACGGTGAACACAATGAGTCCAATATGCAGAACAGATTTGTAGAATTTATTGGGTACTTTATTGGGCAGTTTACGAGCTGGTTACAACAGCGTAGGTTGGCACCTAAGTGCCTGATATGATCGGCACTTACAGTCTACAATATGGATCGAGTATATGTTGTAATATATCAAAGTCTTACTCATTCTGTTATTATTTTGCAGGTGGTACTATTAAGTGATAACGTATTCTTCAAATGATGGAGTACGCAGGTTAAAAACATGAATTGTTGAGCGTGATTTTTGATACTTGAGAAATAGTTGATAATAATCCCATTTCCATCATCATTGTTAACATGTAGAATCATGATAAAAGGACTATTTTGATGTCAAAGTCTGTATTATTAAGTAATCTAATATTGTAATCGAGTATTGTTGCACTTACATTTGGCTGTACATTGTCCATGAGGATCCGGGCAGCTTTACCAGCCACTGTGTTGTTATTGTGATAGTTCTCAACGGCATTTTCTAGAGTATCACCAACTAACTCCCTCAGCTGAAATTGAGTTTTCATACATTCAAATGATATTAAATAAAGTTGGTGATATTTTATTACTCTAAAAGTTTAGAGTTATATTGTACTCAGAAATCTGTGTTATGGTAAATTCAATGGTGGCAGACTTCTTATTACATGAAAAATTCAATCCATTAGTAGACTTACAGATCCCTTCGTTACAAGCCCCCAGATTCCAACAGCAACAAGGGCCAAGAAAATGAAACACAGTCCTCCAAAAAACTGAAAATATAAATCATGACATAGTTATGATACTAAATTAAGTAATATACAATAATATATAATATGTATAATATATATTATATATACAATTTAACTGGTTGGGCATTGTACAATTGCACTTTTGATATCATCTGTGTTGTCAATTTACACATAAAAATAAGAAACAGCTCGTAACTTACACCAATAGACGTTACATGCCTAAAATCTGAAAATAATTGATCATATATGATTTCTTTACATTTGGGATATTTTGAATCAGAGTTACATACGTAAGCGTTATGAATAAGGCCTCTGAGCCATTTTTAATAATAATATCGAGAAATGTAAATGAGTCAGAGCGTTTCATGGAAAGTCTATAAATAAAACATTATGCAATCTCATTAAAGACTTATTGCTAAAGAACTTTGTATGTACTCAAGCATCTCATGCACTTAACACTCAGTTATATAGACATAACTTTGCACTTAGGAAATTAGTTGCAAAACCGAACGCCTGCTTTATATCACAATTTTCATTTTATGAGCTTTAACAAGTGATCAATTCTTCAGGGTTGGCCAACTCTGAGTTTATTTGAAAATAAGCTCTGTGTCAGATATCATTAGCGATAAGGACGATGGAATTATACCTTATCTTTAACTGGATCCAATTCCATTTCGAAGAAACATTTCCAGCATAATTATTTTATATTTCATTTATTGATATTCTTTGATTACTTATGGCTTGAATAAACATCTCATCAATGAGTGTGTTAGGTGGTAATGTCTTTTGGCTGACTGTTCATTTGATTGATCCTTCCTACTTGACAGTAATTGACAGGAGATTAGAACCTGAGCAAGTCCGTTTTGATTGTTGCAATATGCATTAACTGTGTCTTCATAATTGATTTGTGGACATGTTGCAAAGGATATCCATAGGAAACAATCGTGTGCTTTGGTCAAATTGAGTGAACAGCAAATTGTTAATTGAAAGGTCTTTGTCAGAGAGAAGCACACTAAACGAAAAGGCCACATGGTAATAATAACTAGTGTGTTCTTGACAACTTCACACATTCATGACATTATCACAATTTCCATCGATGTGGATATCTACAGGGTCAACACGATACAGCCTTGGCGTTCACAGTTATGCTTTCATATTTTAGAGAGCCAACAAGCAAGGCTACACTTTTCAATTGACTTCAAATTAAACTTTTTAAAAGAAAGCTTCATATAATCTTCATGGGTAGGCTCTGGACCAGGGTCCTATGAGGCACACATGACGTTGCCAAATTCTCTGATTAGAAGCCGAATGTACGATCAATCAGAGGCTTTGATAGTTATATTTAATTAAGCTCATATGGTAGTTATCCCCCTGTATCTTCTTTGTAAACAATGGTTCATGATCCGTGTGAGCTTGGACCTGCTTACTGATGAGCTTCACTACCTGTTTTATATTTATTGCTTTAAAGAAGAATTACCATATCTTATTTATCAGATTTTTACATGATTTGTTTCTTTAATGGATTGGAAAATGTCCAAAGATACTGTGATGAAGTTTACATTGGAAAGCGAGTATGGCAGGAGATTCGATATGATGTCACTGATGTGATTTTTCTGACAGTATGAAGATGTGACAATGTGATGCTACCATTTTTATGAAATGCTATATGACAGCATTATTTGTTAACGTTTTAGCCAATAATGTGATGTAACAGTATGATGTGGCAATGTGATGCTACCATTTTATGAAATGTTTTTATGAAATGCTATATGACAGCATTCTTTGTTAACGTTATAGCCAATAATGTGATGTAACAGTATGATGTGATAATGTGATGCTACCATTTTTATGAAATGTCAGATAGTATTATTTGATAATGCTATTGTAATATGACATTTTGACGAGTCGAAGTGACGCTACGCTTGAGATGTCATTTGACCTAATATTTATATGTCTCTCTATAGTGTCTGCCATGAGAATGACATTATATGATGTGTTATTGTGATGTTACAATGATGATATGTGATGTGTATGACATAATGATATGTCATTTTGATATGACACCATTTGTATGTGATCATCAATCGTATTATGATGTTCTTTTAACTTATTGCAACATTCGATTCGATTTTTATTTTTTCATAGCGTGTGATTCAACATCACTCATGCTTCCTTGCCTATGATGTTATTACAATGTCAGATATCGGAACTTGACGCAAGAGTGTCACGCGAGGAAAGTTAACAAGCCCTTATAGAGCGTCTCTAGAGTATGGAATTACATCGTACTTGTATTACGTATTATACACATTTTGAAATAATCTACTGTAGAAGCTAAATTAAATTATATCACGAAAAAAGAATAATTTATGATGGTTCCAATGTATTTAACATTCAGCAGCTGACTGTTACATACAGCCCCCAAACTGGGATTACGTTATATATTATACGTTACAGCGTTACGCATGAAAATAATTCCTAATAAATCCAAAAATAGCGTTGATGGAACATATATATGATTAATGAAAAAATGAATATATTACATATGCAAAGTACCATAACATGTACTGTGTCGTTACAATTGCTCCATCTATCAAATTAGTACATACCGCTCCTAATAATACTTGACTCTCCCTCACAGCACCAAAACATCCCAAGAAACCCAGGAGCATCATCATAAGACCCACGGCAATCAATATGTAAGCCCCGTGGAAGAGTGACTGGAACGTCGCTGCGTTGGTGACATATTGGTTAAACTTAGGGTCGACACAAACCCATATTCCCACCGCAAGAACGGCACACCCCAGCAGCTGAAAACATAGATATGCAACACATCAATATAATGACATCGAGTATGGAGTATGGATCTTTATAAGTTTTTGTTTTAAATAGCATAGTATTGTTTTTGTGGATTTGTGTTATGAATTGATCTTATATAAGGGTTGCATGATTCTTGTAATTTCTGATTATGATTTATTGATTCCTGATGATGGGAGAATGAGTTTACTTTGTACATTTTAGTTTGGGATATTAGGGTTTGTTTTCCTTATCACTGATCGTGGTATTTGATGCATCATTGTCTTGATGTGTAATATTCTTTAGTGTGGTTACAAAATTGTTAATTATTAGTATAATGTCATCAGTGGCGATGTGTTCAATTTTGTAATAATGATTATTGAAATGTGGGCAAGGTAACTAGCGGTAAGGATGGGTAAAATGCCATTTATTAGAAAAATCGTCCTCGCGAGTGTAATCCCGAACCCATTTGTCATCCAGTAGAAGTCCAGGAATGATATGCTATAGAATTTTCCTCTCATCTTTCCTTTAACTGTCAATGTAGGAATAATAATTCAATGTTAATTGTCAATTAGACCTGATAAATATAAAATACAAACAATTTTAGCTCATAAAAGCACCACGGGGACATCTTTTCACTTCATAGACAGTATTTGGTGATTAACCTTCGTTCCAATATTCCTTTAACACTCATATTTTAAATCCTAATTTTTATGAGAACCTGAATACATAACTTTCTTGCGGGGGTAGAAAAAAGAAAAATAACCGTGTTTAGCACAAACGTCTTTGAAAGGTAATATTAGATTTTCCTGAAAAAACTTCCTTGTAATAGTCCTGCCGAGTTTCAGATTCCAATACTTAAAAGCGTCGAAAAAGTAGTTAATATATCAAAGGGGCTTATAAGTTTAAACCTCTACTAAAGTAAACACTGGAATGGTAAGTTTTCATTTGGTTTTCCTGCAGTCTGGTTACTATCATCACAACCCCTTCTCCTTTTAAATGAGACATCAAATACCTAGTAAAACTCTTTTCTGATAGCCTTTAACTTGTAAACATTTAAATGCTTGAGAAAGTGAATAGCCCACTCTTTTTACTCACCTACTACAGAGATCGATGGTTGAATCTTAAGGATTTGGCGGTAGGTCATATACAGTTTACCGTAACACAACATATTTATATTTCTCTCATGGTTTCAAGGATATAGATCGAATATCACATGAAGATATATCTGATATGTGGATCAAGATATCATATTTTATCAAAAAATTATCAAAACATCGAATATCACTATTAAACTATCGGATATCACTTCTTTAAAAGTGATATTCGATGGTTTCAAAAGTAATATTTGATGGTTTTAAAAGTGATATTCGATGGTTTCGAATTTTTTAAAATTATTTCGCTGTTGATGATTTCCCGTGGGATAAACGGACAATCCTATGGTTTTTCAGAAATATCAATTATATCCACTCATGGATAGCAATATCCACTCATGGATATAAATGGTATTTTTTCAAAACCATAGGATATTCATTTATTATTCCATAGTTAGCATGATATTCATGGATAACATGTCAAAATAAAAACGGTATTTTTGTAATCAGTGGTAAAATATGATATTTTTGACAAATTTTCATTTAACCATAGCATACGGAGTTCTAGCCATGACATACATAAGGGTTATGTACTGGGAGGTTTTGGATATGGGGTTTATCCAGAGGGAGATATGCATATCTACCTGAGGGACCGTAGGGACCGAAGGTAGATTTGCATATCTCACGAGGGATGAACCCAATATCCAAACCGACCGTACATAACTGCTTTATCCTATACCGAGTAGAGTTTTCTAACTTTCTTTCAATTTTTTTTATTTTTTCAATTTTTTCACATTTTTCTAATCTTTTTTCAATTTTTTCAAATTTTTTTCTATTTTTTTTATTTTTTCAATTTTTATTGTTTTCAAATTTTTTTTCGAAGCGGAAAGATATGCCCTGGAGCGGGAGATATGACGGGAGATATGGAGGTTCAGGATATGGAAACCTCAAAATCAGGATACGGGATATATCTTACCATCTTATCTGGTATCTTATCATAGGATAAACCGCCGTATGCTATGAATTATGGATTTTTGCTACTTCAGACTCAAAACGAGGCAAATGTCAATATCGCCGGATCGTTTGGAAAATTCGAATTAAATCACTTAATTTCCGACGATTCTGATGATGACTTTAACTATGGAATAAAAAGTGATATGATTTTAATCCACTCATGGATATTGATATCTGCACTCTCTCGCTACGCTCCTTCGTGCAGATATCATATCCATTCGTGGATAAAAATCATATCACTCATAAATCATAGGATATCCTCTATATACTCAATTGTTACTATTTTAGAATATCATGACAAAAAACGGTATTTTGGTAACAAGTGGAAAAATGTGATATTTTGGCATTATTTCGGTAAACTATCGAATGCAGCTTGTAAACCCTTATCCCATGGTTCACGAGCTTTTGCAACTATACAAACAAGGCGCTGTCATTAATAAGTTTGATTTGAATGAGTTTCACCACTCATGGATATCTGCACTCGGTCGTGTATTCGTAAATTCATATCATTCGACCCATTCGTAAATAAAAAATCATAGCACCCACAGATCCTCGGAAGTCCTCTACATAAATGGATTAAAAACTTAATGACACTAATACAAAATATCACAAGTGCTAAACTGCAGTTCGTGTGATATTGACAAGGGATTCATACTTTCATGAAAGAACGAAATAACTACCTTATCGTCATCCGACTTATTTTCAATATATCATGAAATTACCTTGATACTGATGAGGATGATTTAGCAATTGTATTCTGCGAAAACATTATATCTTATGAAGCCCATTGTTCGTAATAACCACCTGTCACCGTATGTTCCCATTAAGTCAATAAATGGCTGAAACAAACATACAACTAAAGGAGCAATAATCGAATCATTTTCATGCGACACGCTTTCTACACTTTATAATATCATTAATCTTCGGGGGTATAATCAACTTGAAGTGAAGACGTGGCAAGAGTTAATACCAGTGATTCCCAGTTTCGTAGATGTATCTATTTTCCCTCTCATCAAAAACACAGTCAATTGCAATTTGATTTGGGCAAACCCAAATCTGTTTTGTTATTCTTGAACAACGGAATAAAATGCCCCGATAGGTGTGGTTCGTAATGCTGCAATCTGGGTTTTTATCCAAGTTATCAATCTGATATATTTTAACTATTAAACAGGTTTAGCCAAATAGCTGTCTGATTTGGCATAATTGTCAAAATTTCAAAATGAGACATTTCCTAAATTAGAGACTTGGTTAAGAGGACATATTACATTTAGTAATGGGTATGATATTTTGAATATCGTCAAAATTTATGATTATATTTTGAGATGTTTGATTGACAACGCTTTCCGCATTTTGCTATCGCACATTTTACTTCATGAAGTTCAGACGTACTTTATGTGGATTAGTTTGGTTTGATATTTTACTAGTAGTTCCACCGGACATCTTGACTTGTTCAAGTATTTCATGTCAAGTTCCACAGAAATGCAATTAGGCCTCCTTAATTATATAATAGTGCAGCAATAGGATCCCTTGTGTTTGAATCTTCATTTGTTTGATGAACCTTGAATATGAAAACGTCAACTTTTTATAATGTCCTACTAGAAATCAAAAAATTAAAAGTGTAACGCGTGTCTTCTTAGGCAGAGAATATGGTCAGAATGCACATAGCTTTTTCAAATATGAACCAAATTCATCGAGCGGTTTTCAAGTAATATAATAACCAAAAACGTCACGACGTCACCCTTGAAGAAACGGCGCCAACTTTGACTTAATTTTAAGGCATCATTTTGACAGAAAATAGGGAATTCCTTCAACTAAAAACAAAACCACCTTTGAAAACGCTATTAATCGTTCTATTGATATTTCATTCTTTCAGAGAGACGGACGGATAGACGAACGACTTTGCTTCTCCATTTCCCTTTACGAATTTTGGATAATGACGCTGCAGCAGCAGCTCGGTGCAAAATCCAATTCCAACGACTCTATTTAATTCATTCATAGTGATACTTTGAAATGTACTTGAGGGTTTTTCGCCTATCGACATAGTACATTTTCAAGAAAGAATCAACTTAGAACCTTTATCTGTGACCCCAGAACTACCAGAATTCCTCAAGACGATGGAACAATCAAATAGTAATGTCAAGGACCAATTGACTGACCAACATAATAATATAACCAAGGATATAATATCACATTTCAAGTTAAAGCCATACAAATATTCCTCCCCTGCTCTATTTGTTATACTTCGCATGACGAAATGCTCTAGGAGAGTCCCTGTGCAATCAACTGGAATATGTTTCTGTTCAATTGTTGGCACGTGATTACCATTGCTACCTTAGCGTCGCTGAATTTGTCCAACTAGTGGACGAAATACCCTAATAAAGGCTAATGATCAATCCCCGGTGATATGTTCTCCACATTTTATCATGAACCTCATCAAAACCTTGATTTGATATGTAAATATCTCAATACTCTTGAGATTTCAAAATTGCGTTTCTGAAATGTATTAATGACCTTATTTGGAAACTCGTGCACGAAACACTCACGGGACGTCAACTGTCCTCTAATATGAGCAATCTTTCGTTGAATAGATGGATGAAATCTTCCCAGGTCATCAATAATTAGCCTTACCAGCATAGAACTCTCTTGGCCCACGAGTGCTGTATTGGTAGAAACTGTGGAGCCAGAAAGGTCTGGGAAGATATTCGAGAGGGACGTTTCCATATTGCAGCGCAGAGGCGAGTCAATGGGCATGAATCAATTTTAGGTAGTAATAAAAGGGTATGTCATCTGTTGCGATTAGTCCGAAACATAACATTTTATATATATGGTCAAAGGAGGGGGTCAAAGACTCTCTCATTTATAATTCTAAGTCCTTTATAGAAGCGTGACCTGTCACGTGGGTGATA